GTCTTTTTTGGACTACTTATAAAACATCTCCTTCCCCATCCCCAAGAATCAAGAGGTACCTCACAAGACCAGCCATTGTCTTCTGAGGACATGAGGCAAGAGCCTTCTAACCTCTTAGAGAGGTATAAGAAAGCAGCAGCATCAGATAGGTACTGACTAAATATGCAGTACATAATCCTACACTAATGCACTGTGGAGTTAAATTTATGTCCCTTTTAGTATGAATTTTTGCAATTAACATTAACTTAGTTGTCTTGTACTGAAGCAAACAAGGAATGCCTGCTTAGTTATAGCATCTCATCTGGGAGAACTAACACTCAGCTGAGAAGGTGGTACCATTCCCTTAAAACTATTTAAACAGGTGAACAGGTTCTCTTTATTTTCCTAGTATAGAGAAACCTAAAGTGAAAATGATATTACAATACCTACTCACTCTTATAAATAGCAAGAAAAAAAACTTGGTCACTGAGTAAGTCATGGTTTTCTATCACCTGATTTATGCAAAAAGGTGTTTGGGTGTTTTTTTGCTGTTGGAGTTGTGAAAAAGCACATGTATTTTCCCAGGTCTGTGCACGAGTAAGTGCCTTTGTTGGAGCTCACTGCTCTCCCAGAAGCAGCAAAGAACATGTCTGCTTCAATTCTACTACTCAGGACTGGAAACTGGAGCAGCATTAAGTCCAACAGCAGCCACTAACTAATAACGCATTATTTTAAAACTACAAAAATACAAAAAAAAAAACACAACACAACTATTTGCAGAACATAAAAGAAAAAGTGTTTAAAGGGTATAGTGTAATCTCCAAGTAATTTACCTGTTTGAACCAATAAAACAAAATTCAGAAGTGGAATTCCATCTTCTCTTCAGTTACTGAAGATCAGAATTAAGCAAGACCGTGTAACAGCAGGACATGTAGTTCTAATGCCCACCCATGTTTGCCAACCATAACCAATCTTGTTCTGTGATCTCTTTTTCTCTTCTTTTTTCAACTACTTCAGCTCTACTCCCCTTCCCAGCCTCTGACCAAATCCTCACTCCATTAAACGATGGCCAGGTTCGCTCTCTGGCACTCACTGACTGCTTCCAAATGGAAGATGGTTATTGAATGGAAATGGACGTGGCCCAGAGGAGCAAACCTGTATTGGAGATACCATGCTGCACTACAATATTGTCCACTGCAGTACGTATTCTTCACTCCAAATACTCTCATAGTCCACAGATTTTCTGAAATCCTAAGAGGAAAAAAAAAATACTATTTTTTTTTAACCTCTTGATGACTGACTAGCTAACTACAGAACAATTTCTGTTTCACAGAGGAGGACTAGAAAAACGGATAGTGTCAGTAAAAAATATAGTCCCAAACGACACTCTCGGACTATTATCAACTACACTATTCTTTGTATGGCCCCCTTCAGATTTACTTCATATGTAAAGCTGTTTCTTTCAGATCTTTAAAAAGTAATACAAAACTGGTAAGTCAAGATTATATACTCTTCAAATTGAGATAGACTAATGCTTCATAAATCATGTCTAGCTGTCACATTTTAATCACGATTTTACCATGGTAGCATCTAAAAACTTGTCATACAGGATCCCAATGCATTAATGAGCAGGAATGGTGAAACAAAATGGGGCAAAAGATTTAACTCAAATAAATAAATAAATAAATAAAATACTCCTACCCAAGACAGACTTCTTCTGCAGGTAATATAGAACAAAAACATGAAAAACTGAATATTCTTTCTCAGATCAGATTCTTCTTAGGAAACTGACTCCATATAAATGAGCCTCGTGTTCCTCTTAAGACAGGTAGCAGACAGTAAAATAGTAGAATATGATGCACTTAAATCATTGAGCACTAAGTAACTACCAACAAAAACGACTTTTTTCTAGTCACCATCATGGAAGACACCTCCTGTGAATAAACTGTAAGGCAACATAACAGGAATTCCAGCGAGTTTTGATAAGGCTTTTTTTTTTTTTTTTCTCTTAAGCCTCCCTCCTTCACAGCCTGCTACCGACTCGGAGGATGACCGGACACACACAACGCGCGGAGCTTGGCCGTGGCCCTACACCAAACGCGCCTGAAATTCGTTACCGACAGAAACCCGCGAGGCGCCCTGAGAAATCCCTGCGGGAGAGGCAGGGACCCTCCAGCCGGCCACGGCAGCTGCCGGGGGCTCGGCTCGCCGCGGAGAGGCCTGCAGAGGGGAGGAGGCCATGTGGCAGGCAGGCAGGCGGCCGCTGGCTGTGGCTGAGGGGGAGGAGGCCCCGGCGTTCATTCAAACCGCCGAGCAGGCCCCGCAGCGGGGAGGCGGCCCCGCGCCGTGCCCGGCCGCACGTCGGCCTGCGGAGAAGCCGGGCCCGGCCTCGCGGCCCCACCGCCGAGCCCTGCCGCCGACCCCCCCCCCACACACACACCGCGGTCCGCCCCCAGCCTCCCCCCGGCGGCCGCTGTCCCCCGAGCCCCCCCCTCACGGGAGGCGCCGGGGCCCCTCACACGCCGACCGCCGCGGCCGCCCCGCGCCCAGCCCCGCACGGTCCCCGCGGTGGGCCGGGGAGGAGCCGAGGTTCCGCTCTCCCCGTGACGAGGCCCCTCGGCGCTGCGACCTCCGTCCCCCGAGCCCCCGCCGCCCGCCAGCCCAGGCCTGGGGCCGCAGCCCTCGCCCCTCGCCCCGGCCACATGGCGGCCGCGGCGCCCGCACTCACCCCGCTGGCGGCCCGCGTCGCCCCGCGCTGCTCAGCGCCTGGCCGCCATGTTAGAGCTGGTGCGGCACGGACTGCGTCAGCGCGAGGCAGCGGCGGGAGGGAGGGGAGAGGAGAGGAGAAGGGCGGGAGGGGGCGACCCCGGGGGCGGTGCGGCGGGAGCGGCGGCGCCCCGGGCCGGTAGGGGCGCGGGCTGTGTGTGGGGGGGCCCCGAGCACGGCTCGGCTCGGGGAGGCGGCGAGGGCCGCTCGCGAGGAGCCGAAGCGGTTGGGGGAAGGGGGGCGCCCGCCCCCTCCAGCTCGTCAGCGCCGCTCCGCCCCGCCGCCCGCTCCCGCCACCTCTGCTGCCCGCCGCCCCCAGCGCGGCCGGGAGGGTGCCCGTGCGGCGGGGGGCCGGGCCTCCCCCTGCGGGCACAGCGGGGCTCGGCCGCCCGAAGCGCCCCGGACTGCTGCTGCTGGGCTTCCCCCCCTCCCCAGCCACGTCTCGGCGTCCGGAGTGACCGGGACATAGGTAAAGGAGGCGTCCCACACCGCCTGCTATGGGGGCTCGGCGCGCGTCAGTAGGGCTCGTAAGGAGCTGAAACGGGAAATTTCCTGTAGAAGTTCATGTGGAACAAAGTTCCTGATCTTATCGCACGTCTCTACTCCTATTCAAAGTTTGTATCAATTTGTAATAGACATAGAGACATGACATTTTATGACGCTATGTAAAATTGTGAGACCCTTCAAAATTTAGTCAGACTCACCCCGAAGCACATACCTACTGCTCAGACCAGCGAGTTGGCTATCATACATAACAGGAAATAATGAAAGTGCTAAGTTCAACAGGCTTCTGTTCCTGTTGGAAAATTAATTTCCTCCTTCCAAATTTCTGCCAGAAAAAAAAAAAAAGGAAAATAGAGACTGGCCCCTGTGAGTTATGAAATCCTGTAAAAGTTGGTGATCAGAGTACTGTTTAGCGAATCAATACCAGTTTCAGCACAACATACTTTAGTAAATCTTGTTTTCTTCCCAACTTAAAATTTAAGGCAATTTAACATTTTTAATTTGCATTATTAATTGATTAGCTAATTGATTTCACCCAAATGCACTTGACGAGTCAAAAGTAAAATATTCAGCATTTTGTAATTGAAAAATGCACATAATTTGCAGAAGTCCCTACATACAAATATCAAAAAGTTTACTTTTATACAGGGAAATTAGACTCCTGGAGTTCCTTGCTAGTTTGCACAAGGCCTGAGATTCTCTTAAAAGGTACGTGCTACCCAAAATAGGGCATATTTTACTACTTTGTGAGATTTCCAGATTCATAAGCATCCACAATTTGAGATATAAATGCGGTCAACAATGCAAAAAAGACAAAACCAAATCAGCTATAAAACAGGCAGTCACTTAACTCAAAAGTTGGTCATGGTAATAATACTGGTTGTGATTTTAGATAGAATGATAATGATCTCAGACTGCACCACAGAAGCTATAAGAATAAATGAGCACGATGAGTATGACTTTATCGTTGCCTTAAATCGAACGATGTGACTGACCACATCATTAGCTGTTAGATGGTTTTTGTTATTTTAGACGGTGGTAGAGAAGGTCCAGAAAGGTGATCTGGAGCTATACATATACAATGTAAACAACATACATGTTACAACATATGTCAGATGTGTGTAATAGAACTCATATTTTTAAACTTTTTTTTTGGGTAAAGCATAGAAAAATATAATGTACAAATAAGGTAATGTTAATTCCAGTACAGCGAAGCCAAACACGTGAACTTCACTCTTGTTGAACTTCAGTCCCAGTGTGATTTTTCTGGACAGAGATGGTGTTCCTCCCCTCCAAATATGTTATATAAAAGTTGGTTTTGTTAATGGGACCTTAATAATTGATATTCGTGGGGTGCACCAGGCACGAACCTACAGATAATAATATGGCCTTGGAACTTTAAAAATATTCTTTTATTTGCTTTGGAAGGCCTAATTTTTTCCCCTTTTTCTGTACATCTGGCAGCTCATGGGGATGTTTCCATACATCTGCCAGCTCTTGGTGTGTTGGGGCACACATCAAGGCAGCGCAGAGACGCACCAGGGTGCACAGAAGCGAGGCGATGTGCTTGTTTTAAGCGAGCAGCCTCCTTTCGTGGCTTGCATGGCAGAAGTCTTGCGAAAACGCGAGTTAAGGACTTGTCAGATTCAGCTCGGCGGGCGTAGGGATGCCTTAAAAGTCGCAGATAACACTGATTCCCGGGTTTCCTTATTTAATCTTTAAGCTAGCACCAAGGACACACCTCGCACCCCGTAGCCGAGGCTGTGCCCCCCGGGCGGCCTCCACCCCTCCGCCAACCGGCAGGCGCCGATGGCCGGGCCCGGCAGGGGCGGCGGGACCGGACCGGGGCCCCCCGGGGCAGCGGTGAGGGCAGGCGGCGCCGGGCCGGGCAAGGGTGGAGGGCCCGGGCCGCCGGAGGAGCGCCCTGCCGTTCCCGCCGCCTCTGAAGCGCTTCCGAGTCACCACCGCTCGGCGGGGAAGTGGGAGGCGGCCTCGGAAGGGGAGGTAGAGGAGGAAGGGGAGGAAGGAGAGGAAGGCCGCGCCAGGAGCTCTGCCAGCCACACGCATGGCCGCGGCGCGGCTCGCAGGAGGGGAGGTAGCGCTCAGAGGCCGGTGGAAAGCGTCCCGTGTGGCATAAGCGGTTCTCGTAATGCCCGAGCACCTTAACGCTCTGCGCCTGTCGTCCTCGGCGCGCAGAGGGTGTACGCGTGTTCTATGTGGTGTTCTGTGTGGAGAATTTCCTGCCTCACCCCAGTTTATAATGCGGTCTTGATAATACTACGTTTCGGGCGCTTTTATCTGTTTTAAAGTACTTTATTAAATTATTAAATAATTAAAATAATTTATTGTGCTTTAAGTTTGTATGGTAGATAGAAGAGGATAGTTACTTAGGTGGGTAATCGTTTCCTACTCTTAATCCATGTATTCCTAAGTTTAAAAACATACAATGTTTCCTCTTGGGTTTCTTTTTATAAGATATTAAAATTAATTACAACTTAAATCACATAAAAGCTTGTGGTAAATCCCTTGCATCTGCTAAATACCTTCCAGAAAGGCAAGTCCTTGAAAACTTCCTGCAGTTTTTTTTCTACAGAGATCCCAGTCACTAGCACAGGGGATGCACGGTCCATTGCAGCGCAAGAGGGGGAGTGGATGCATTACCTGGGCTTATGGGGAAATTCTGCGTGTGAAGTTTTTGTCTTTTCTTTAGCTATTTTATTTACTTCATTCTGTCTTCTAGCTGAGTAGCTTGCCAGTGTGGTGGAGAGTAAAGGTTAATTGATAAGGTAATTTTTTTTGCAACCACATGGACATATGAAAATTGGAACAGTAAACATGGCAAAAATATCCTAATAAAAAACTTAGATTAATGTTTTGTAATACATTGTATAAATTCTTTAAAACAAGTTTAAATATATGAGCATTCTTTTAAAGGGATTCCTCTGATGCTGTCTTAGTTATCCAAAAGGATAATAATACAAAAATACTCATTTACAGCTAGGACTCCAGATGTGGTCTTGCAAAAAGGTTAAAACTGTGCTAGTTTTCAAGCTGTATTTTGCTATCACATCATTAGAGAGGAAACACATTATTTTTTCGTCTTTGTAAACTAGGTTGTTTGTGTAGCGCAGTAATTCTGATAGCAGCTTCTACTTAAAAGCTGTTGGTGGAACAGTCAACAGTTTCTGCTTTTGGCTATGGTTGCTCTGTATGATTTTCTTCATATATATGCATCTACACAGCAAAAGGGAACAGAGGAAGTATTTTTAAAAAAGCTTGGAAAATATGTGGGATAAAAAAATTGCTGAATGGTCTTATAAAAGAGGTCACTTTACAGATCTTCGATCTGTATTTCAGCTTATTGAATCTACATTTTAAAATCTCATATGAGAAGTTTTTTTTTCTTTCTCAGTAGAGACCTAGTACCTGTTGCTGCTCTGGTCTTGATAACGTTAGACTGATGGAATCATGCCTCCAGCTGAAGATCATTCATATTTGTTGATGGGAATAAGGTATGTTGATAATTTTTGTTGGTAGTGGTTATATCCCCTAAGCAAGACTTCTGGACTTTTCCATGGTCTCTGATTTAAGGGAATTTAATGGGTCTTTTTGGTGTACCACAGTATTTACCACATCTGGTCTATGTTCTGCAGCTCAGAACCAATTCTGTAGCTTGTAGAATATGTAATTGTTGGCACTACATAAATTGGGGGATATATTAAGAAAACAAATCACTATTTGTCTTTTTTTTTTTTAGATAAAACTGTAGTTTCCACTATAATTTGGGGAATTAGCTTGTTTTTATTTTGTACAGTGATTTTAGCTGATGGGACTGATCATCGTTCTGTGTTACAGATGTGGTGAACCTTTGTGACTAGAAGTCAAATAGCAAAGTCTTCAATGTTTACAAAACAGGGACTAGAGAGAGCAGAGTGAAAAGAAAACGCTGGGAGAGACTCATAGGCAGGGAACAGTTGCTGTTAGTGTGGGCTGGGCAGCGGTATAGGTCTGGAGTCAGCCAGCGATGCCAGCTCAGGAGCTTTTGCTGGGTCACTTCCTTTTACTGCCAACAGTTGTTTCCTTTCAGTTCCCAGACCCCAGTTTGGGAACATGCTGCCGGCACGTTATAGAGCCCATCTTTGCCTTCTCAATACTAGCATGACAGCACATGCATTTTAGAGGTAGGTTTCTAAATCTGAAAACTTACCACGCAGACAGGTTTTCTTAGCGCTTTTGAGTGTTTTGGTGTACGTTGTTAGGAGGTTCTCTGAGAAGAATTCAGGATGTATGTTTTTCTTAAGCTTATGTTAACTTAGAACATTAAAAGGCAGAGACATTGATTTTTAGTAATTATAACTGTACGTGACTGCTTTAATTCTATCTTACTCCAGGTACCTCAGAAATGAATTATTCTTAATACAGTGGCCCTACTGGATGAAAGGAAAATAATCGCCTGTCTTCCAAATGCCCAAGTTTGTTCTTTGTAAGAACATGTTTTACTGTGAAAAATGAAAGAACCTTTCTGGACACTTTAAAGATAGCTGGTGGACTTAGCAAAATGCTTTGTTTGAGGAAAGCTTACTTGTTTGCACTGAGACGTTACCAAGCTCGAACTCTGAGTAGTGATCTGCTTTTGAGCCAGATAAATAACTGCACCCATGAAGATGAAGTGTTCAGTCTTGTTGGAAGGAACAAGGCCAGGCTTTCTGAAAAACACGTGGGAATTGCACTGAATGTGCTGTGGCAATTGCAAAAGAAGAAGCCTCTTCTCTTAAGGACTAGTGACTACGTAAGAAATCACTCCCAGTTTCTTGCTCTTTGCATTTTAGCAGAAAACAAGGTAGAACACATGGAAAATGAGGTGATAGTGGACACCCTGTACAGTATTCAGAGGTAGGCAGCATTATGTTGAATTCCACGTCTATACATTCTGTATCTGGTAATAAAAAGAGTGTCGCTGTGAGTCCAAATTCCAGCTATGAGGAAATGGGGACACTGTTCTGCCTGAGCTTCTGTACTCTTACTGTGTGACAACTTTCTGTGCCTCAATTTGCCAGCTCCAAGCAGGATTGATATGTTTTGCACTCCCAGTAAATGGGGTTATGATTAATGCACAAATGCTTATAATGTGTTTTTAGATACGTTTGGAGGGAGTGGTAGAAACTTAAGATGTGATACATAATGTGAAGATATGTCTCTTGCGTGATTTCCTTTCAATTTCTGAAGCAAACTTTCAAACTGTTATGTCTTTGTTCTGAAGGCTCAATGTTGAAGACCATGATTCTCTAGCAGGAGTGCTTGTTACAGAAGCATGGAAAAGATTAGAAAGGCAAGTACTGTAATTTTGTGCTTTGTGAAGGGTGTAAGGTGTAGGCATGGTTTGCCTCACACAATGCTATTCAGAGTTCTCAAAGAGTATTTACAAGATGTTTCAAACATTATGTGAGTATTTTAAGTGTCTGTTGCCTTTTGAAGGTTTTGGAAATTATTTTTATATAATGTTAAGGCTTTTAGTTGATGGAGTTTGGTACTTGGATGCTGAAGAGATTGAGATACTGCAACAATGGATGTCTAACATGGATTTTGAAATATATTGCCTGTGATTTATGTCTGAAGCAAATTGCAAGTTTTGATGTTTACAATGATAACTTCATGCTTGCTGTCCAACCTTGAAATGGTAGTTTGAAACCAGCTACGAGCTCATCTTAATACTAGTAATGATGACTACCAGCTCATCTTAATACTAGTAATATTTTTTTAATTATTATTTTAAAACACCAGTATTTTCCCATTGTGATTTTTTTTTTAGTATTGTAATACTAATTTTTAGTATTGTAATTTTAATTTTTTAGTATTGTAATTTTAATTTTTTCACCTCAGCTTAATGGCAGGAGCTAATGTCAGTCTGGGCACCAACATCACAGAATTGCCTTTCCCAGCTTAACACCTGGGGCATCTTGACAAATAAATTCAGTGTAGCATGAACACAAAATGACATTTAGGTAATAATTTACATCCATTTTAGCTATTTCAGAATTTATTGCTTCAGGATGTAATCCTCATAGATCTCTTACACTGATCTGATTAAACTGAAGAACTTCCATTTTTTGGAGAGCTGTGTGTGCACAGTATGTTTTCGTATAAAGTACAGAGGTATTTTGACAAAGTTCAAGGTATCACTGTAGGTGACCAAATAGGAAATGTGTAAATATCATTTCCTTGTTTTGTAATTTGAGTTTAACCTTTATACAGTTGCTGAATTAGTTTTTTGCCTTGCTATTCACTAGAAACAAAAGGCAAATAATATTTTCTTTCTTTGATGTCTTAACAGGCTTAGTTTACCAGCTCTATCGAAATTTGCACTGTGTTTATACAAGCAGCGCAGACAGTTTAGTCCCGTAATTGGCAAAATAGCTCATATTGTGGACATGAAACTGGATTCTATAGAGGACATAAGGTAAGTGTCAAGAGTGAAATTGAGTAGCATGAGAAGCAGTATGTCACAACTGCTGGGGTTCCTTTGTTAAACACTTTCCGTTTTTCTTAACTGAAGTTTTTTTGTTTGTTTGTTTGTTTGTTTTCTTCCCAATTTGGGCTTTTCATGGACAGGTTTGCTCAGGTGACTCTATTTTCCCAATTACTTTGTGAAGAGTTTCTCTATTACCAATGTAAGTGCTGAATTAAAACTGATGTTCCACTTACAGTGGAAAAACAGCAGGTATTTCTTTAACCAAATTCTAAATTTTACATGGAGTTTTCAGAGAATTTAGAGGCTAGTGATTCACTAGAAGTTGTCTGTCTACCATGAGATGAATAGTTTCTTTCTTATGACATTAGTATAGTTTATTATTGTGAGTAGTAATATGGAATCTTAAAGCAGTGTCATTTTTAGACTGTTTTTTTGACAAGTTAAATGAATCAATTCTCTCACTAAGGTATTTATCGGATTACCTTAATATTAAAATGACTTAAAACCTGTCTCTCTTGTCAAAAGAGTCTGAGCTTCTTTTTCTTGTCTCTGTTCTGTCTGGGTCATCTTAGTAAAGTCCGCTCTAGGCTGCTCTTTTTTTATTTCTTTGTACAGCACCACCACCAGTCTCAACTTCTTTACTTCTTTTTTTATTATTATTATTTTTTTTACAGATATGGGCAGCCAGTTTATGAATCTAACTGAATGAGATAGCATTTCTTTAAAGGATTGATTCACCTTTGGTTTTAGTTATCCCCTTAGGAAGGGATTTTTTCTTTAGGAAGGGTAGTGACTAGTTTCCCCAGTCTGTCTCTTGAGGATTGATTGGGTTTCTTTAGTTTTCACTGAACATCAAAGATCTTTTTGCATATTTGAATTGGGCAAGTCAGGGGTGTGCATTAGGCAAACATTTTTATCATAAACAATTTTGTCGGAGGTGGTTGGAAAATCACAGTCATTTCAGTAATTCACTGGAAGCAGAATTTTGAAATTATTTAGACAAGTGATTTTTGTTTAGCTATTTTTTGTACATTAGATTTAAAATTCTCCATGACACAGAAGTCAGCAACATTCTAACTAACATTCCTTTCTTTGGCTAGTTTATTTAAGAAGTCTGAAACGTGTTACTTACCATGTTCAATCTGTAAGCATAAAATCTTTTGAATCTTTTTAGGATTTTGTCAGTTTTGATGATCAGCATATCTGATGTTATCTCACAGAGTTTTCGAGATCGATTACTAAAGAAGGCTGAACAGCTCTTAGGAGAAGAGGATGAAGTCTACTTCAATTACGCCAAAAGAATAACACAATTTCTTCAAAATGTTAAACTGACATACTATCCATTGCTAGAAAAATGTAATAAGATTTTCCTTAAAAGTGCCTCCCAGCTTGATTTACACAATATTAGTATTATTTTCGGACTGTATGAGCAGCTGGGTTTTGACAGTGCTGAATTCCGCTTAGTTGCTAAACGGCTGCTGTCTGAATCGATAGATGATTATCATGATCCTGAAACCTTTTCAAAATTATTTTTTATTCTTGGGCCTATGGCCGGATCCAAGGTGAGAGAAAGGTAAGTTTATTAACAATTTTGTCTTATTTATGACTTACACGTAATCTTACACACAAATTGAAAATGATTTAGTGTCTCAGGGAATTTCTGAGTCTATCCATGAGCTGAGCATTAGGTTTTCTAGTTGTAACTTTATAGCGATGAATTATTTCATTTTGGAAACACTGTCATAGCAGTTTGTCTTGCCTCAATTGCATCAAAAGCTGGATCTAATAAACAAAGGGGAGTGGGAATACTGTTATTCAAGGCCGTCTTGCAGCTCTGTCTCTTAAACTGAATCATTTCCTTTCATGGCGGATGGTGGTAACAAACTTACTGACTTTCCCCTGAGAAATACATGCATTAGCATGTGTTGCTTTTTCCTTTTAAGATGTGCAGTAGCTGAAACAGTCTGAGTCTTGTCCTATCTCAGTTTGCTGTACATCCTATTCTATATGAAGGGATGGCAGCAGGGAACCCTCCAGCATTAATTTAGCAATTAGAGCATAGTGTTGTGTGACAGATCTTGCTCTGCCTGTTTGTCTTGCACCACAAAATCTTCTTTGGGGGTGGTGGTAGTCATGTATCTCTCAAAGTCTTCGGTTTTAGGCAGAATTTGCTATGTTAATTATGATTAGTCATATTATCTGGCTTTTCTTCATGAGCACTTACTTCTATTCAGAGCTCTGGATATACTGTACAATCAGTTATGAAAGCCTGTACTGGTTTTGCCACAGGTGGCCAAAACCTTTTCCTAGATCTTTCTGTACTTCTTATTGAAGGTCAAAGTGAAGCAGAAAGTTATTAGTCTTACTTGTCTCAGAACAACTCATGTTTGATTCTGTTATCTGTAGTTTGCTGATTGATGGTGAATTGTTTAGTGCCTTAGAGTATCTTTCTTATTTTTGTACTACTTTCAGAAGTGTTGGACTCGCTGACCTGATGTAGTACGTTTGCATCTCTATCTGTGCCATAGATCTTTGCCATACTGTTCAGAAGAAGGGTTCACAAGATAAAGGCCCTTGGTTTTCCTGTATTTCCTAAAGTAATATGTTGGTTCTTTTTCCTGCCAGACAAAGAACATTGCTACAATCTTTGCTTCATCTTTTCAAAAATTTTGCTTAGGAAAATAAATATTTTCTTTTCCTCTTCAGGTTGCTAGTGACTGCAGCGCACGTGGCAGAAGGATTTAGCAGTCATCAGGTGTTGGGAATACTAAAGACAATGCAGAAAATGAAATGTAGAAATTCTCATCTACTCAAAAAGTAATTTTTTTTATACTATTAAGTGGTTTTCTTCTATAGGCAAATTATTTCCATGTAGTATGAAAAACTATGTAATATCCCACTGGGAGTGGAGAGTGTGTCACTTACATACAAATGCATACTCTATATACTTAGCTGTTACAGACTTCAGAATATCACACCTTGACCCAGAAGTAGTTGAGACAGTTCAGGAATTTCATAGAAGGGCATTTGAATCTTATTGAGATAATATAATACAACTTTTATCTTCTTTACTATATCTTTTCTGAATAAACTTATTCTCTAACAATTACTGTAATTTTATGAGAGAAATGAGCATACATGAAGTTGTAGAGAACGCGTCCTATCTTAGGGACACGTTACTGATGCGAGTTGTTTCTTCAAAAGTTATTGTGCTCTAATTTGAACTAAGTTGTATTGTTAAGAACCAAACCTAGATTTTCTGCAATTGTAAATTGAACCTCGTTTATAGGAGAGGTACTATCTTTGATACAGTTAGGGTGCAAGCAATTGAGGTTTTAGGTATATGAGACTATCATCAGATATGTGATATGGAACAGAGTTAAAAGTAGGTTATGAGCACCCCAGATGGAATGTAGTTGTATGAACCAAATAGATCCTTGTAAGAAAATAGACAAATGTAACTCTGGTATTGATGGGAAGACCAGGTGAATTCATGCTTTTTCTCCTTGAATCTCACTGTCTAAAAAAGGTCTTAATAGAAGTCATTACCACACTATACAAATCTAGACTTCTCTGGCAGTTTTAGACCAACACAGATGTAGCGACACTACAGTTACAGTTTAAATGAGTATAGTTGTGCTGAACCTGGCAGTGGTGTTCTGGTTTTTCCCATTCTTGATTTGCTCGTTCCAATGATCTAAATTTAACTGGTTGTAAATTCAGTATCAGAAGTAATTAGAGAGGAGTAGCTGTTTCGCTGTGATAGTAGATTAAATAACTAAAGCCCAAAGCTGGAGAGAAGCTGTTGTATCTAAGTGGAGCACCATCAAAACTGAGGTGGAGAGGAGTACAGGTGTATACAACCCTCCACTTAGGTACTGTGCAATGTGGGACACCCCTTTTTCATGTGGCATGTTGTGTTTTGCAGTATCTTTTGCATTAATATAATACCATGCCATCTTTTTCTGTTTGTATTCAGAATGGTTTCTGTTCTGCACAAACACTTGGATAGCTATCATGTATTACAGTTGATAAAGTTAACGCAGTATTTGATGTTGTTGCGTTGCCACGATCAGGAGCTGTTAGCCAAACTAAAAACATTGCTATTTGGGTAAGTATGTATTCCTGAAAAAGTAATGGCCTGTTGAAGTATTACACGGTTGTCTAAATATTTTAAATAACAAGCTAAAATGTTAAATTGTTTTCATGAAATATGAAGAAGTAACAAACTCAAAACAATTTGATTCTGTGAACACGTACATGAAAGGACAGAAAATTGATATTGTCTCAACTGTAGACCTAGCAGTATCTGCTAGTAAATTTGATATCTTTTTAAAATAGATTTTCTCTTCCCTCCATTGGCCACTGCAAAATAAAGACATTGAACAGGAAATTTTTACTGGTACTTTACAGGAAGGCTATGCATTACTGTCTTCTCTGATACTTGAAGGAACAAGTAATGAAAAGTATATAGTAAGGGTGTCCTGGTGGGAACAAGTGAAATCATGAAGCAGAAGTAGTCTTCTATTGATTGAAGAACTTCCTAGTTCTCGTGGTTAAAAGTTGCCACATAGAATGGGAAATTCTGGAATTGTGGGAAAAGAGATCTGCCACCATCACTTTCACTTCTCAGCCTCTAGGAACGAAGTGCCCTGGCTGAACGTGTTTTTTTGTGGATGATACCTTTGTTCCTCAGGCATCTCAGAACTTGGTGCTCCCCAGGACACCTGCTAAGAAGTTAATTTGGCAGTCACAGAAATTACCCAGGCCCTAGAAACCCACAGACTCGGCTAACAAGGGCAGATCTTCTATCCTTATTAAGGACTTTTGTGTTCTCAGTAACACGTGAAGCCTCACTGGCTTAGATGCCCCCTGTCACCTTCTTTTTTTCAATTTTGAATAAATCAGAAGAAAGAAGCTAATCTTGGAATGAAAAAAGCTGGTAGTCATTCTCTATGTGAACTTCTACAATGTCATTCATTTTGTACTTATGCTTGAAACAATGTGCTGCTCTTGACTTTTTGAATAGAATTTTCATGCATGTAATTTACTGATTTATTTTAACGTTTGCCCTATGTCAGTACTGATGGCCTATTTTTCTTTTGCATCTCTTCCAGTTTTTTAAAATCTAGTGTCATACCTGCTGATACTGCTGCAATAATTCGTGTTCTGGCCATGCTTCCTTCCTCTCAAGTAGAAGAAATCATTGTAAACAAAGCAACAGCAATTCTACCTCAGTGCAATCTCCAGCATTTGAATTATATTGCTACAGCTCTTATCAAATGGAATCACTATGACCAGTTGCACTGGCAAAACACTTCAGAGCTATGTGTAAAGCTTCTGCAGAAAATAAATGACTGTGGATTTCAGAGGCTTCGCAAAGCTGGGAATTTAAATCTTCTGTTGGAAGAACTCACACATGTGAATGGAGAGTGGTTTCAGGAGGTCATCAGGGAGCAAACTGTGGCCACGTGTCAGCACTTGATAGACCAAGTAACATGGGCAAATGTATTACAGTTGTCTTTTTTTCTCATAAAGACAAACCACCGCTGTCCTTCATTACTTGACAGAATAGCATCTGTGACTGTTGAAAATACAGACAAGGTATTACCGTTTTTCTTTCCATCTACTGTGTAAGTTACTCAGTAAGAAAGGACAGATTAGTAGTAAATGGAACAGGTTTAAAGCCCTAAAAATCCATTGGCTGGTTTTACCTGAAGTTTTCAGGTTTTACCTGAAGGTTGTGTTTTGTTTTGTTTTGTTTTTCTCTTGAATCTACCATTTGAAGTGAGTGAGGATTTTGAGTAAACATAAAAATAAAAATAAAAGGAATGTTCTTAGGTAGTGTACTCAAGTAATCTTTTTAGCTCACTTGCAGGAGTTTTATATGAAGCATTTTGTAATTTCATTCCATTAATACAGATTTCAAATACAGATTTGGACTTGGCTACTGTTTTCTAAGTAGATACTTAGATTGCTGTGGCTGTCTCTTATTTTCCATGATACTTGCAGCTTTTTAACAGTATTTTTGCATTGGGCCAGAGGTCATTCTAGCTTAGGATCCAGGCTTTGACAAATGTGAAAACAGTTTGGTAGCAAGGACAAAAAAAGGTTTTGAGATCCTCTCCCTGGAACAGTCTTCCACAAATGCCGAGATTTTGTAGGCTAAAGATGGCCTATGAATAATCCTCTCTAATAGCTGTTAATGGATCTGTCCTACACTTTCTTTTTTCTGGATTTGAATCTACTTATTTTTTAAGCCTTTACAAAATGGCACACTGATAGTGATTTTTTTTTTAAGTTAATCATGATTGTTTAAAAGCATTTCCTTCCGTTCCTTAAACATGAAATCTGAAAGTTTCAGTACATTATATTAAGAGAAGCATTCAGCTTCTCCACAGCTGTGTGTTATAAACAATGTAGTGTGGCTGTACATGGAAACATACACTCCCAGTACCTTTTCTATTTCTACATCCTTCTTGAAGGATGGAGGTGGTGGACTAGAACAGCACAGTGCTAGGGATTTCTCCTGAGCATTGAACTGATGTGTTTCAGAGAACGAGCCACAGCTTAAGAGTTTTCTTCAGTGTAACTCTCTTTGGGGCTCATCTTTGCATTCAGGTGTACATTATAATTAAATATTTCTTTTATCTTCTTACAGTATAGCCACATCGGATGGTGTATGTTTTTTCATTACCCCTTCTTGTGTGGATCTCCTCAGTACCCTGTCTTTTTGGTCAAAATTACTATGTTTTCCTGCTGTCTTTTTTCAATTTTTTGAAAATTTTCAATTTTTTCTTGTGAGAGCATACTCTCTTTAAGAGCGTTGGATGGGAAACCTTTTTAAGAGGTTAAAGTCTAAGCATATAGTAACAGTTGGATTATCTACATAAAATAGATTTTGATTTTTAGCCATAGTTGCAATTTTAATGACATGCACATTTTATTATTTTATTCATTTTTCTCCAGTAAAAGCTAAGGACCCCCCCCCCAAAAAAAAGTCTTAGTCTCCCCGTTCTGAACGAATTATGAAACCTTTTTTATTATAAAGCAATATTAGAATATTTTACACTGGCTTAATTTACAATGTCTTTTTTCTCTCTTCCCCAGATCCATCCCTTTGAAATGTATTTTATTCTCTGCCTTTTCTCTGTTCTGAACTATGATCCACCTGGCAATGAAGAGTTCTTTGAGAGTTGTATCCAACATCTTACTTCTAACTTGAGTAAGTGCATTAGAAAAACATATGCTGAGTAACACATAGACATTTTATTTATACTGGGCAAGAGTGGGATTAAGATGGCATTTTTTTAAGCCAGGGGAAAAAATGTGCCTGTATGTTACTACTAATATTCTGCAAGATTGAATGTATGTTTTATGGGTTTTTCTAGCTTCATTTCATCCTTTAAAAAAATGCTGTTAATAAGGGAATAGCGAAGTACCATGAGCATAGTGTAAAACAAATGAAAAGTCTGATTAATGTACTAGGCAGGTATTGGAATTAATTGTTTTGGCACTCCCCAAGGAAACATTAGATGAGGACAGGACATGTTTATAGTTCGTCACAAAGAGATGACTAAGTTGTAGGGGAAAATGTATGGCCACTCAATTTTTTTCTTTTTTGTTTGATGATATAGCCTAATGGAAGTGCAAAAAATTGTTAGCTACTGAAATGTTGTGGAGTTGCCTTTTTAAGACGGAGTTGTTTCCTCCTGCAAAGAAATGGCAAGTGTTACCTTACACTTTGGTGCAGTTAGCAGAGGTACCCCTTCATCTGGATATGTGTTCATTTAATATGTTAAGACAGAAACTTGGATGAGTTGAGATGCAGGAGAACATTGCAAGTCCTTTCTATGGTATGTTGTGTTAACATGGATTTCCGTTTGGCTTTTAAAGGTTGTTTTGAAACTCACCACTTGGTGCTGCTTGGTTATGTTTTGGCAGTGGCTGGTTATTTTCCTCCAGCTCTGATAAAGACAATATTTAATGTTTCTTTCCTAAGCAAATTGGATGCTCAACTTGAAGGTAAATATCTAACTCTGATGAATTTGGTTATGTAGTGTTTGACATAAAATGAAATTGTGGACATATATATGACTTCAGAAGTAGACTTATTCTTTAAATCATTTCGTGTTCTGGAGAAAATCCTCTGTGTAATCTAGTCAGTATTTGAAGGCTAGAAGGGAAGGAATGAACAAAAATCTGTGCTTTGTTTTAAAATACTGATATATATTACAGATGCTGCTGCCAGATGAGGGTTAATCCAAACAAATTTTATAGTCAATTTATTGCAATCAGCATATTCAATTTCATTGGGAATAAAATTACCTGAATGTAGTATTATTGCAAGAAAGAGCCATAGTCCAAAGGTCAAGAAATAATGTGGAATTCTTACCTGTAAGAAATGAGTTGCATTGGTTTCTTCTCCCTTAGTAAGAGACTGAGTGTTTTTTTGTCTGTTTCCTGTCCTTGTTTGCTATAGATGCACTACTGACATTTTGTCATCCACCACCTAACTAAAAGTTAAATGATGAGAGAGTTTAAATTGCTACTTTCTATTATGCTATTCTTCTTAATATCAAACAACATTTACTTTTTGTTTTTCTTTAAAGGATTTTTGAGAAGCTTTTAAAATTTTGTGGCATGAATATTATAAATACTATAGTGCATGGATATTTATTTAGTAAATAATTCAGAGGTAGCCAGCTAGTAAAATGTAATGGGTTTTTCACTCTTCAGTTCACAGCTTTTTTTTAACTTTAATTTAGTCCTGTCTGATACCTTAAAGCAGAGGGTCCGCTCACGCCTTATGAAACTGAACAGAGCAGTCTGTCTGGAATGCCCGGAGTTTCACATCCCTTGGTTTCATGAGCACTATTGCCACCACATCTTTTATACAGGTAAGAAATTTAGGAGGGGAAAAACTGCCCTTGTAATAATCTGTTTTCAACCGTCTGCTAGGCACTTGTTCTAAAACTTTCCTGCTGACAATAGCACACAATAGAAGCTCAGAAAGGCACACTCCCATTATCCACTGAGGGTGTGTTCTTGAAAAGTGTGAGCATATTAATGTACTTAAGAGGGGATATTTATACCTAAGAAATACAATTTATATACACAGAGTTGGTATATATGACATAGGGAATGAAGCAGGAACAGGATCATCAGGATTGTCTACTAGAGGAGATGCTGTTTTTTCAGAATGCGTCACTGATCCCTACTTCACTTAGGAGGATGAACATTTGACTTAGATCTCTTAGTGTGAGCATTTTTGCTACTTCTTTTTAAACTCACTGCTGTCATCTTCCTCAGAAGAATCGAGGTCCATCAAGGCTGAGAGGTGTTAAGTGTTCAGCTTCACAGATGTAGGAGCTGAGATCTTCAAGAGCAGTGACCATTTCGGAAAGTCTAGACAATGTAAATCCAGTATCTCCTCTATTAATTCTTAAGGAGAGATCTACTTTGCAAACTTGTCTGCGTTACCTATGAGACTGAAGATATTTAATGGAGCAAGGCATTAAACAATCTGAAATAGGTAGAGCAGTGACAGATAGTGGGGTATCCCCATAAGAGATGCAAAATCAGTAAATGTTTATTTAATGGTCTAACTCTATAATATATAGAGTATATATATAGTCTATAATAAGCTCTAAATGCTTATTTAGTGGTCTAAGCAAGATTAAAAACAAGTAAAAGCGAAACCTGAGAACCGCTCAAACCAGAAGCCAGAGTGTTTGTCGAATGTGAGTGGGAAAACTCAGGATGGAAAGTCTGGATTTGCAATTTGTGCACCTAGTACATTAGTAGGCACCTGTCACTTTCCTTCCAAAATGTGATGATATGATCTCTGAGTTATGATGGAATAACACCAGGGAACAGTGTAAAAACTTCTTCAATTCAGTGGGCTGACTGTTAAAAATGCAGTGTCACAAAATTCTATTTCAAAATGTTGGTTGTTGTGCATTTTGATATGTGAATTCTTTATTTTGTCATTACAGGTAGGAGCCGAATAAATCCACTGCGACAGCACATTCACAAAATGCTGGCAGAGATCTTAGGAGGGAGCCATTATACAAGAGTGTCTGTTCTCACACCATACTACTATGAAATAGGTGAGAATTTACTCCTTTAAGGATTGCTATGGAGACTGCTAATACCACTATTATCACCAAAGTTAGGAAGCCCCTGGGGCTGGGGATTCTAAGGCCACAAGATACTGCAAAGAAGAAACTGCTGTTTTGGCAGTTAGTACAAAACACACTTTTTAAAAATGTTATGTAATACAGATACAAATGTTGGATACTGTGAACTATGATTGTCACTTAGTTTTTCTGAATGTAAACACTATACTGATCAAATTATGTTTCTTTTTTCAGACTCCTAAACAGTTGTGTTTTCTTACAGATTTTGAGTGCATTCTGGATAAAAATAAAAAGCCTCTTTCCTATATGGCTCAGAATATACTTCTGGGTGCTTTGGAGGGAATACACTGGAGATGTGACATCAAGGTTGAAGAGAGAAAGGCTCTGCCACCAGGGGCTCAGAGGTTAGTGCCTGGAATTATTATATGAGTTCTTCCCAACTTAGGTCAAGTTTAGTCCAGGTTTCTGATGGTTTTGTCCTAAATAGTTGGTGGAATCCTTGGGCTGTTTATTTTTCTGTTCCTTTTCCCAAAGCTTTACCCTTCCTAGGTGTGGTGGGTTGGCCCCAGCCAGCAGGTAAGCTTCTACCCACTTGCTCGCTCATTGCCCCTCGGGTGGGATGGGGAACAGAATCTGGAGGATGAAAGTGAGAAAAAATATGTATATTCAGTCAATATAAATATAGATTAAGAACTGAAGGGGAAAAAAAAAGAAACAGAAATCAAGCGTTGCAAATGCAGTCACTCACCACCAGCAGATCAAGCTTTCACTACTTTGGAAAAACTCCTCATCTTATTGTGGGCATGAAGTTATGTGGTGTGGAATATCACTTTGGCCAGTTGAAGTCAGCTGTCCCAGGTGGGCCCCCTCCCAGTCTCTTGCCAACCCCAGCCTACACCCTGTGGGGGCAGAGTGAGAAACAGAAGGCCTTGATGCTGTGCAAGGACTGTTTAGCAACAGCAAAAAAATGGGCGTAGATTTATCAACACTGTTTTGATCACTAGTCAAAAATATGGCAACATAGAGGATGTTATGAAGAATATTAATTCCGTCTCAGCCAAACCCAGTAGGGTAGATTTTGACATTTTGATAGGGTAGATTTTGACATACACTTGGGTAGATTTTTGACATTTTAGATTTTTGATTACTCGGGTATGTTCTTGACCTTTGTATTTTATGAGATTAGAATACTGATCTCCTCCCGCCTCTTTGAATGTAAGCCTTGAACATGTTGGGTGCTGGTTTTGCCATTTGAACAAAACAGATGCAAGAAAGAAATACTTTTTCAAAGTGATGTGAAGTTCCAGTATGGCTAGATAAATGTAAGGAAAATGTTTTGTCTAGTTTCAGGAAGTTGTTTAATTTTCTTTTTCTGTGAATTGCTAGGTCTATCTAGTAATGGTCTTACTGCAAATATCAACTGAGCTAGAAATACCACGTCTTGGTATTCAGGTGGAACCTGAAAGTAAATCCACAATTTTGTTGTTTGCAGAATTGCTTTGGAACTTCTTGATTCAAAAGCTTTTATCAAAGGTTCACATCACCTGAAAGGAGAAGCTGCAGTGAAAAAACGACACCTGGAAATGCTGGGGTACCGGGTCATTCAGGTGAGCAGTCAATAATATTCTGTGTCTTCTATTGAATTGTACCTGTAGTGCAGATTGATACATTTTCCTTACAGCAGATTTAAAGGTAGTTTTCCTCTAATAGTTAAAAACACCTACTGGGTGAGAACCATTCTTTAATTTAGGGGTGAAATTTTGAGCTGTTTATAGACTTTATAGAACTTGCACGTTCTCTGAAAGCACCTGAAGCAAGGATGAAGTTAAAAAGTCTTAGCCTTACCTTACTGCAGGCAAACTAGCAATCTCAACGTAGCCTGAATAAAGAAAAAAAGTTAAAACGGAAATTTCAGTTCAATACACCAAAGATTTTTGCATGAGAAAAAGTTGAACATACACTCGTAGACCCACACAGAATCAGTTATGGCAACTCACATGTGGGTCATGGATGCTGGCTGTCTGGTGGAGTGGTAGTACTGTGACTACAAAGACTAGTGACCAGAGTTAATTCTCACTCATAAGCATAGATACATTTAGGTAGTGGAGGTTCATGAATGCAGATTCTCCAGTATATATAATTAGTGTGTTACCTACTCTAACTTTAATTAGAACCCTCGTGTAAGCTTAAGGTTTTCTTCTTTCTGTCAACATGACAAACATCCTTTTTCCTATTGCCTGACAGTAAATGTTAGCCTGCTGACATACCACCCAGTTTGATGCATTAACGTTGTTAACTATGATGACCTGGGATTTTTCTCTCAGTTTGGGTTTCAAAATATGGAAAGTGGGAGATGGTGTAATGGAGTAGTCATAGCCTGTATTGTATGGGTACCTGCTTCACATCTCTGCAACTGTTGCTGCTTTTTGAAAGCAAACTGACTCTACTTGCATAAAGAAGATTTTTTTTTTTTCAGTATCTAGAATAAACCTAGCTCTTAGGACACAGATGATAAAATATGTTAAGGTGGAGAACAACAGGTATCAGAGAGCCTTATCTTTGCTGTAAGATATGTGTATGTGGTTTGTATCAGGCAACATTAACACTAAGTTTTTGTGACTTTGTTCTACAGATTCCTCACTTTGAATGGAATTCTATGGTTTTGTCTACAAAAGGTGAACAGCTAGAGTATCTGAGAAGGTGTCTATATGAAACACAGTGATGTCGAAGACATAATAAAAAGTATTTTTTATACAAACACTTTATGTTCTATTAAACTTCTCATAACATTGGAATACTTACTTTCCAAAAACTGTGAGGTAGCTGGACCAAGGCTTCCCATTGGGTATTGGGTGTAATGAGACTGAATCCGAAATTTGTTAGAGTATAAAAGGCAGGTCACAATGTGCCACAAAGATATGATAAGGATGCTTAAAATCTCCCCTTGGTGGAAGCTGTATCAAGTACATGGGTCTGTGACAGTTTTGCCATAAAAATTCATTATTGCCTCCTAAATAAATAGCACAGAGATTGGTCAGATATGAAACTGTCCAAAGAAAAAGCTGGAAGTATTGTGACTGTAAGAGAGGAGGCAGCAGACATAGTGGAAACTATGTCTGTCCTCCAGCTTGTGACAGGATGAGCAATAGAGATCAAACAGAGATTCTCTGTACTGTGAAATCAAGAAACTGAAATGCAGATTTACTAAGAATAGGACTGCTATTACAGCAATAGGACTGCAATTACAGCCATTCTGTTTTCATCTTCTAGAACAGAGAGAACATGGGTGACTGTCAGGGGAGGGTGTTGTGTGGTGAGGAACCTCCCAGCTGCTTGCTTTTTCTACCCTGTGATGTGGTGTGCGCACAAGAAGTAACGGCTTAAGCCTTCTGGAACACCTTCACATACCTGAAAGGTAAAGTAGTTCTAGAGATCTGGCAGCCACCTAGACTCTGGAAACATCTGCACCACAGTTCAGTGTAACTTGAAAGGGATAACTGAGATATTTACACAAGATCAGGAGGAAATAATGCTTTTTTTCCAGACATAGGTACTTATTAGTGACTGGATAATTCATGAAAATTTTTATGGCCTTGTTCATTGGACTAGCCCTCACTAATGATAAAATTAAACTGTCTAAATATATTCTGGAAATAATGCAATGCATAAAAGAGCAAAATTAGGCTGAAAATGAAACCAAGAATCAAGACCAAGAAAAGTCTTTAGAGAGTCATAAATACTACCTTGGTTATTGGTGGTGAAAAACACTCTTTTATTTCTGGTGTTTCAAAACCATCTGCCAGTTATCAGGCTTCCTGTGATCACACTGAGCCTGGGTTTTGTCAGGTGGCATAAGATACTGAAACACAGAAGGAAAAAAGTAGAATAGCCAGGAGAGTGTTCATTGTAAAGTAATAAACTGTAGACTGGTTACACTATGGCAAATGGGCCCATTTTCAGAAGCAGCTGTTGTGACTACACTTCCTGCTACCTCACAAGGACAGCAAGTTGTGCCCTGCCTCTTTCACAGACACACACAACATTTGTATGTTTTCTTGCATTTTTTGTACAAGCATTCTTTTTACCACATTGTTTGAAGGCTGGCAGAGGTAAGCAACTACATTTCTGAATTGACCATTGTGCACCTGGCAGTCACTTTTTTTTAAACCTCAGTAACAGGAGAGGAGTATATTTTTATTGACTCAATCCAAATCAATGTGCTGATGAAAAGCCAGGAAAAAGGGACAGAATTGATCTAAGTTGCAAGGTGTTCTCCACCTGAGGCAGTCCTCATGTGTGGGATGACTGAAAATACTAGTAAATTGTCTGCTTGTGGTTGGTGATGGTGCTTCTGATCGAACTGAAAAAGGCTCCAAGGGTCTGTTCTGTAAAAGTGCTTTAAGGAAATGTCATTAAAGGCACAGCATACAGACTATCTGTATATTCTATTTTGTGTAAAATTGAGAAAATAATCATCAATATATGTTAGGATATCAGAAGGTGGGCTTCAAGTCAGAGGGCTGTCTTATACCCTGCTTCCATACAGGTGGTCTTCAAGTAGCAACTATGCAGTGTAAAAAGGTAGCAGTGGCTGTAGCTGGAGTGATCAGTCATGGATAGTCATGTGCTTGGGCTGGACCCTGCATTTCAGGTATGTTTGAGTTATGTATAGATAAAGTTAGTACTATTCACAATGGGGAGATGATTGAAACTTGCAATCAGTGGATTCAGAAAGTGCATTTAGGAGAAGTAAAATATAAAACAAGTATTTTGATAAAATGTGCTGCTTTTGATCCTTTGCAGTCATTGTCTTTCTAAAATAAATCTGCGAGTTTTAGATCAGATAGGCTGCTCTAAACTAGTGATTTAACTGGAGTCGAGGAGAAGATTTTAAGAGCCGCTGAAAAGCTGAGGACTTAAAGGAAAAACAGAAAAGATGTCCCACAGATTATGTACCCATGCACTGTAACATGCTGAAATGAGCTGTGATGGCTGTGCCTTTCCCATGTGTTTGCCCCTCTCCTAGGAAGGCAATAGTTACAATTACCATTCAGTCAGGTGTAGTGGGCCTCATTTCCAGTTTTCCTCCTCCGTCAGTTGAAATTACATTGCTTGAGTGTTATGATACCCGCTTTACTCAATGGAGATATCTTTTGAAGAGATTTTCTAAAAATGGCAGGCATGTTCTACTTCAGCAAAACTGAGTGCTCTGATCAAGGCAAAGGCTATAACCTGTATCCAGTCAATATGATAGCAATGATGAGCTGATTATTAAAAGAGGCACCACTGATATTTTTAGAGTCTTAAAGTTTAATTGTTACTAGTTAAATGCTTAAACATCAAAATACATCAATTCTTTATTAGGTGGAAAAGTCCTCCATGTCATAAGTGCTTGCAGATGATCAGTTGTTCTGGGACTTTTCATGAATGCTTGTTAATGGCCTCAGATCTCTGAGGAAACCTTCCATAAAATACTTGCTTTAGAAATAAATACAAAAGCATAAAAAAGTGGAAAATCCCTGTTACCAGAAGCCAAAATATAATACGTGAAACTGCAAAGCTATTAACCTTGTAAACTTTTCTCTCTTTCCTCACGGCTGGCTACTAGTACAGCGTTGGCTGAGGTCGGTATTTCTTGAGCCACATAATACACTTTTTTTTTCAATATGTGTTTTAATTTCAGGGTAAATTAATTATTTTTAGAAGGCTCTAATGAAAATATTCTCAAAATATGGCTGAAGAATGCAGGATTTACATATACTGCTAAAGAGAGAAATCAGGCTGTGCAAACAGCCAGTTAGTACAATGTAGCTAATTTTATTCTTAATTTAACAGTTAATTCATTCTTGAGCATTGTTTGGGGACTAAGTCATCACTATCCTGGACTGAGTGTAAGGATAAGCAACTAGTTTTATTTTCCACTAAGTGGAAAAACAGAGTTCTCTGAGAAATCTTCATTTATTCTAATCAATTTTAATTCTTCAGGATTTTAAAGGTTAACAAATATTCACCTCTTGTTGATTAGCTAGTCTATATCTTAAGACTTGGATAGACAGATTAACTGTTTAACAGTTAGGAGAATAACTAGTATGCTGCTACAAAACTCTGAACAATTTGGGGATATTTTCATGCAACAAAACCAGAAGAGCCTATCTAAACTCCCTCGCCATATCCCATTTTCCATCATTTTGTTTACAGTTTTGATAGCTTGAAGAGATTTAAGCGTGTAGCCAGGCAGGAAGCTCCAGTAGCATATCGAATCTCTTTGAGTATGCCAATCCATTCCTTCTTTTCATCATCATACCTGCATTTAACAAAATAAGGTCAGAACATAGCTTCTTAAAATTTGAGTTTGACATTTATTTATTTTTTTATATGAGTGAAAAAAGGATAGTCCATACATTGCAAAGGCTTGTAGCAGCTTTGTGCTGAACAGTGCTACAGAGAAGTGCTTTTGTCCTCTTAGAAGAGAAGTATGTTCTTGTGCATGTTAGTTGTCCTTTTCCTGGTCCCTGAAGCTCACTGCTTCCCTGTGTCATATTTCATTACTCCTATGAAAGCCTCCTCATCTTAAATACTCCAGCTGAATTTCTTTAAATTCTTACATATAAAGTTTTTTAGTTTTTGTTTTTCTTTTTTTTTTGTGGTAATCCTTCCTCTCTTTCTGCCAGTTAAAACTCTTGTATCCACCTCAGCAACTGAAGCCACAGTAGAGGCACAATGTTTCATCACTGCTACCATGATTTAGGTAAATAAATCTAGGAGATACAGATTTCTGATTTCTCAGAACAGTTACTTATTTGACTAATAATACATATATATGAACCTCTCTGTGTATACATGCTTCCTGCATAAGAATGTCACAAAACAGAGAATGTTTGTAGAGCACACTTAACAGGCCAAACCTGCCAACAGAATTTCTTTTTTTCCATATATCCTTGCTATATGGTAAAAAAGAATCTAAATGTCATGACTCAGACTGTTCATAAGTGCTTCACAACCTGTGATATGATTCACTTCTAGAGTTAAATATAATATTAATTTTATCCTTCGGTGTCTACAAACCTAACTGCTAATAGGGCTATCCACCAGGAAAGTATGATCAACATTAAACTTACTTCCATATGTCAGTGACTTCGCTAGGTGCAAATTCTTTAGATTCGAGCTGAATCATTGCAAAGCCTCCAATAGCATACAAAGATCCACTTAAGGTGACTAAACTGATGGAACTTCTCTCTTGGGGAAATTCAGGCAGAACCTCCCACCTGGAAATGAAAAGAAAAACCTACGTCAAATACATGTCAAATATTCTAAACTGAATGTACTTAAAATACATTTCTCGGCAATGTAAATGCAGCGGCTGTGGACCACTTTCACAGAATCACAGAACTGTAGGGGTTGGAAGGGACCTCTTAGTGAAACCATTCCACTTTAGTGAAATGGTTTACTAAAAGAAAAAAATGAATCAGTACTGAGTTTGTTTCTCCATCCACACAGGAACTTCATGCAGAAATACAAATCTTAATGCCACAGAATTACACTGATGACATCTCCTTCTAGAGACCAAGTCTTACAGGTCTCCTGGTCTCATCATCACTAATATGCTTTATACAAATATGTCTGTCTCCTCTGATGCCTCATTTTTTCCCTATTGTTTCCAACGTAAGTTTTCATTTCAAGTGGCACAGACATAATAATTTGAGAATAAAAAATAATAATTAAAAAAAGTAGAGCTCATTGGCTTAATTTCAAATATTCTGCCAAGTCACACCTATGAATGTATAAAACATAGAGATATCTCATTGCCTGTCAATGTCAACATCAAAACCAATAGGCTACTTTTCTTCTTACACTCACATGACTTGACAGTAACGAAACAGAGTAAACTGAGACAAGAACCTGCAGATGTTTTCTGACCATAGGTTGCGTGTCTGAACAATGGAAGAGAAAGAATGTGCCAAACATAATGGTGACAAAATGACCTTAACTTTCATTTGCTTTGAATAGAATGTGTAGAGTCCAAAACTGTAGAATTTCTTCTTGCATAATTCATTTTTTATATTGTTAAATTCTATAAGTAGGTCTCTTTAGGATTGTATATGTTTAAGTTAAAGTTTCTGTTGTGAGGGTGATGGCTGCAATTCTACCTTAATACTGAAGGCAGCACAGCCAAATGGGTTTACGTATGATTGAAGTACTTTAAAATAAAGGTACATTGAGGACCACTTAAAAGTTTAAGCTATCATAGAAAAGCTGTGCTGATGTTAGAATAATATCAGCACCAGATATTTTTGTGGCTATCTCAAGATCTTAAAAGCCAAGGCGATAGAATATTTGCTTAAAAATAGTTTGATCTTAAAAATAGCTTGCACTTACTTATTTGTGGTCAGATCAAAAGCTTCAACAGATTCAGTCAGGCCTTCTTCAGTGACACCACCCGCAATGAAAATCTTGCCTTTATGGATAGCTGTTCCAAACATTGAGCGAGCCACTTTCATTGGAGCCAGGTCTCTCCAGTCTCCTTTCTTTGGATTGTATACAAATACTCTATTAGTACATTTCCTGCAGAGAAAAAAGAAAAACTGAAATCGTTTCTAATGAACTTCTGTTTTGTTCCAAGTGAGACCTAGTTGAGGTGGGTTTTGTGGGTTTGTATGTAATATCTCTTTCATAAGATCTTCTCTCTGATTTAGTGATGGAATTTTTACAAGTCTGTAAAGCACTAATCATCCACAGAACTAAACTAAATGTTAAATGCTGCTTCCATAGGGCAGTAATTTCACTGTACCTTACAGGACAAAGTCAATATCCTTTCTGAGGGCGTTCTGCTCAGGTGGACTCTTACGGAATGTACACCAAAGGTTAGGGTCAACAGGAATTAACTGAATTTAATAATGGAGAAGATCAGAATAGGTTTATTTGGTAGTTCAAGATAAACAAGTATGCATGTATGTGGATCTATGCACCTTTATGAAATATATTCAGTTGTTTTACAGCTCTAATACTGAAACACATGAAGAAAAAGGGAGCAGTGGCTGTGCAACAGACAGTTTGAATCTGTATAAATTAACAAGACTCATAGTGGGAGGAGCTAAGATGACCAAACACTAACTATTGCTCTCTTCCAGAAGAAAAAATGCATTGAAAAATAACTCCATCAAACACCAAGAGAGGTCTTTCCATCTTTCCAATGATTCAAAGAGAATGTAGGCAGATTTGCTTAGACCCTAGATTTTCATACTGTACATGAAGACTTGGGCTTGGAAAAGTCACTTTCGCTCCAGAACAACACCAAGTTGAAGTTCAAGGCATACCAAAAGCCAACACATGGACACTGCTTTACACATTAGCTTATTTTAGTTTATGCTAGGTATGCCTCATATCATTTCTCAAAATTTTATTGTTTTACATGGACTCTTAGCCCAGCTGAGCTCATTCTAATGAAAGCAAATGAACCAGTAACTTCATCTGTACTGCAGCTTTATAACCACTGCAACTTCTTGTCACTATGCTTTAGTAAAGCACTCGCTTGCTTGGAAAATTACCACCACACACTCAATAGCAGCAAAAACTTTGATTTTTCTTAACGTTATACCCAGTAAGGTATAACAGGCCTTACAAGTGAAAAAAATTGAAGATCTGACAAAGTAGTTCCATGGTACCTAAGCATTTCTGTCTGGTAAGAAATAATACTTCTAAAGAATATTCTCACAACTAACTGTGATGACTGTGTGTGCGTTCAATTCAGAATTTGCCTTGGAAATAAGTAAAGTGATTAAAACAACTGTTAGGGACTACAAGGTAAACATAATTTTACCTTATAATGAAAAATATACTCTGTATACTATAACGTGTTGCCTTCTGCCAAATTGTAAGCAACCTTAACCCAGAGATGCAAGAAAGGGATACCCTGCTTTCTGAGTGAGGACACAGAATCTATAAAGAACCAAACAATGTTCTAAATAATTACGAAAAGACTTACTTATCATCAGTTTTTCCACCAAGACAATATATCAATCCATTGTTTGAGATAGTAGCATGGCCATAAACTTTGATAGGTAGTTTTTTGATCTCACCCCATTTTATTGCCCTGAAACAAGAAGAATATCACTGTTAGGCTCTTTAAACTAACGATGGGCTATTGACATGTCCTCAGTGGGCATAATTAAATTGTAAACATACACAGGATCATAGCACAGGACTGAATCCAGTGACTCCTCAGTGCGAAGGTCTTTGCCTGCAATTACGTAGATCTTGTTGTCTGACTCTCCCAGCCCAAAGAGACACCTGGCTGATGGCAGTGGAGGAAGGGCAACCCACTCACCAGCAATGCTGTCCAGCTGAAAGAGCATCACAACAGAAGATTTAGAAAAGGCAAGTAGTAGAAATTCATGCAACAACAGCTGTTCCACAGAATAAATCTAATCATAGATCAGATAATTCTTTTTCCAGAAGTGTGTTCCACAGTCGAGGTCTGCATGGTAAACTGCATCTCCCAGATTTGTCAGACCACTCCTGTCGGACAAGACATTTTATTGCAATGGTAATATGTAAATCATGGCCATGGATTGCCCCTGTAGCTAGATCTGGGTAGCGTTCAGAGGACAAAATGTACGCATCACGGGTCACAGTCTGTTCATTGTATCAGTCTCGAAGATGATATCTGTACTGTTGATAGGCACTAAACTGGTCATGCATTTTTGAGCTATTGGCAGCCTGGTTTTGTCTTTGGCTGCTAGCTACCAAACAAAATGTCAATAGGTTATAGTAACAGAGTAACAGGTGCATCACTGGTAGAGAAAGGGACAATAGTAAGTGAATGTTGGTATGGTTCACATTGATATTTTAGAGGGATATTTTAGCCTCATGGGTAATGCAGAAAAGAATTTTAACTATACATAGTAACAGCAGCAAGCAGTTTTAAAGATGACAAGTGAGAAAGAAGGATTCGGGGAAATAGTTTTAGACATATGAAGTAGGATTTTAAAATTTCAGCAATTTCTAGTGTCAATGTTGAGGTTTAGTTTTTCAGGGGCCCCTTTCTAGTAGCCTAAGACTGGTTATTCAGTTCTAAATTACACACATGTACATTATTGACATCGTGGTATTTCTATTGGAAGAATGTATCTGTATCAAGTTCTGCACTTCACTGAGTAATGTTTTATACCTACAAAGGGACATGAACACTGTCCTCTCTAGCAAACTGACTTCCCTCTCACAGGTATAAGAGATTCCTGAAACCAGCTCTTTCACTGTGTGTGAAATCACAGTGAGCCTTAGTGCTATAAACACTTAATATTTGCATTTTTAGATACCTGAAGGCTTTAAAGTTCTATCACTACCTATCCCTCTATTTACTTCATATTGGCAAAGGACCTACATTCACTCTCTTAGGGCGGTGTGCCTAAAGACAAGCTGTGGCCAGCAGCATACTGCATGATTCATTAGAAGATCATTTAAATATCAAAGAACATGTAGACAGATAGCTAAAAACACAACAGACTTAGTTTATGATGTAAGCGTGCCAAATGGTAATTCTGCTACTTTTCTGAAATACGTCATGGGACTTACAATTTATACAGATTTACAAAGTCAAGAAAAAAAAATGGATTCATAGTTGGAACTTTGTATTTAGTCTACTGGCACCAACAGTTTGTGAGAACAACCTTCTACCTATAAATAACATATTTTGGAATGCCCTCAAATTTATGTTTTCAAACATAAATGTAACAAATTTGGAATTTTAGTGAAAAAAGTGACATTTAAAATACAGACATTATTACGGTCATAAAAATATTTCAGATACAAAAAAAAGAAATTGTATCTAAAGAAGCTGAGTAATCAACATTCATGGAACTTAAATTCACAGAAGACATTCAACAATAATATTTTTAGTCTGAAGTGTATGCACCTGTACAGAAAAAAAAACAGGACTTTAATGAAAGCTAGTGCCTGGATATAATGTGCTAGTTAATCTTTTCTGAGGTCTCACCATGGACTTAATCTTGAAAGAGAAGATGCAGGTCCCTTGGTTTCACTTACTTGAAAGAGAAGATGCAGGTCCCTTGGTTTCACTTACCTTTATGAGACAGGAAAAGCTTTCTATAGGAATTTTTCTCCACTGACCAGAGACTAGACAATTCACTTGCATAGACTCCAAGTACTTTTCAGTGACTCTTACAAGCACCTGTTACTGCACCAATAATTATAAAGCTTATACCTGGAAGAAATACGATTGGAAAGGCTGATCCTTGTTCTCCTCTTCTACATACAGTCCTCCAACAACGTAGACCTGATTTTGTTTGGTGACTATACTGGAATGATTTCTGGGAATCTGTTCCGCCAGGGCTGCTAGGTAGCATTCATTTTCTAGAGGATCATAAGCTACTGCGGCAGTGTCATTAACCAGAAGAATTAGGTCTTTGACAAACATACCATGCCTGGGAAGGTCATTTAGATAGCCAGGAAGTAAATCTTCATCTCCTACATCACCATTTACTTCCCCTTTGTTTGACTTGTCTTTATTTTTGCTAGAGTCAGGCAGTTTTCCAGCAAAAGCATCCTTAATAATCTTTACTTTTTTCTGAAGATCTGAGTTGCTTTTAATTATATCATCCTTTTCAACATGTTCTTTGAAATATTTTTCTGGCATAAGACGAAAACGTATACAGTCAAAAACTTCTCCCAGGTTCTTTACTCTGTTTTCCTTGTCTTTTCGGACCCATTTCATTACCGCTTCAAATACCAGTTCTTCCTTTTCTACATTTAAGCTGTCAGGTGAAATAACTGAGATAAGTTCATGTGGCGCAAGCTGCAGGAATTCGTCTTCTTTGCAGATCTGCACAAAGTGATCTGAGACAAAATCACGGGCAGAAAATGCAAGTCTTGGGCAATCAAGCAGAACACCTAATCGAAGGATGGCCAGACAATTACCAACAGCAAGCCTCTTTTGAAGATAGGAGACACACACGGTGAATACAGAAGGGATCTGAAAACGACTGGCTAAAGCAAAAATATCTTGCACGTTAGAATCATTAAGATCAATACTTGCTGAATAAAGGTATTTGACAATCATATCCAGGATGTTGGGGTCAACATTATCCAGAACTACCTCCTTCTTTTTCTCTTCATTTTGCTCAGATAAGAAATACTCACGAAAATAAGGGCTACATGCTGATAGAATCAATCTGTGGCAGGGCAGGCTTCTGTCACCAGCTTTTAGGGAGCAATCTATAAACTTTTTCTCTTCCAGGAGTTCCTTGAGGCCATCTTGAAGAAGGGTTGATTGGTAAAGTCTCAGTTCTTCAGTAAGTTCCCTTTGGGAATCCATTTTGTGAATGCTTGTGAAAGGGGGGGGGGAGCAGAAAGCTTTAGCTGTTGACTGCCCAAAGGTCTGTCCGTAAAAAAGGCAGACCAATGTGCTTTGCCCTGCCTGAAGCCCCTGCAACTTAATATCACTAGCTAAATATAGGTACATACTCTTACAGGTCGGAATTTAGCATGGATGGTTTGGAAAAGAGTTGCTCTCACAGCTGTCAAAGACTGAAAGAAGCAACTGCTGCTTTTAGTTACTTTGGTCAGGTTTTCCCATCATTCTCCACATTTAATCAATGACATTACTTGCAATGTAAGAAATTACTTGATATGAGTAAGGACAGCAGAATCTGACCCTCCGTGAGACAGCTATGAACAAGATCATAAATATACATGTTATCAAATACTCTGAAATGCAAGGATTATGAATCAAATTGTCAGCTGCAATTACCGTTCACTTTTTCAGGAAGTTGCTTAATACACCTCTCGTTGCTACAGCTTTTAAGGAGGTATCAGTCACAGAGATATTAAAAAACCTTGAACTCTGCATCAAAAAACATCTCTGCTCAAAAAACAATTTTTACATATCTCGCATCAGCATTTTTTCAGATACTGAAAAACAACCTTTATTTTGAGGTGCTTCTTAGCATAGTTTTGATTGTATTTATTTGGAAACAAACAAAAAAATGTTTAAAATATGTCTTATTCAGGTAAAGTAGTTTTCAAAAATAATTTAAATCTCTACCCCCTCAATAAGCAGTCACTCTTCGGTTCAGATAATCGGTAAGCACAATCAATCTTTTTAAATTCAGCTGTTTTAGAAATGGTGTTAACTGGTGTTTAATGCTAAAAACAGTACCTAGAAGAAGCAGGACAACAAAAAAACACGTAATACAACACATGAACAGTATTTAATGGATGTGTTGTTTAACAAAACTAAAAAAATGATCTAAGAGACCCAAGCAGTTTAAGAAGTGTGAATTTAGAAAAATTATGCATATGATGGTTTCACAATTTAGACTGAGAACATTCTGATTTTTATTAAAGGTGGTAATAGAGAAAGTTGTATAGTAAAGTTGTAGAAAGTTGTATAATATACCTTGATAAAGGATTGTATTTTGTCCATACAGGGAATGCTTTTTACCCAGATAGTAATTTTTTTTGCTTTTAATATAATGGAAACAGGACAAAAAGACAACTAGTGGAATGCAAGACCTATAAAGAGGTATAACATTACTTGAGTTTATTGAAATCTTAATTGCTTTTCAACCATAAGTAGTGTTTCATTAAAATATATACCTTTAAAGATTTTCTACAAACATATCTGCACCACAATTAGTTTACTATAACAGTCAGCTGCTAAAACAACAGCTGAATAGACAGCTCATTTGACTTTTTCCACTTACAGAAAATAGTACAGAGGTCTTATCTCTCTAGAAAATGTAACAGCTGCATCTTCCCTTAAACAATAAATGACTCATTTCTAACACATAACACCATACAGGTCTAATGACTCAGACACAGGATCTATTTATGTGTGTACTTTGTCATCCCATAAAACAAACAAACAAACAAAAAAACAAACAGGAAAAAAATATATGAAGATACCTGGATTGCAATTGAATACCTGGAATGATACATAATGAATTCTTCATAAATGATGAGATATGAAAACTAGTATTTGGAATGGTATTGCTTTTTGTCAAAAAAAAAAAAAAAAAAAAAAAAAAAGAAGTCAGTAACATAACACTGCTACAGTGACACAACCAATACATCTGGATACAAAATGTTGTACATTTAATTGTATTTCTATGTAGCACAACATGAAACAAGTTATGGAAATTTGATTTAGATATAATTACAGGAGAGTACATTGCTGTATGAAAATACATGAATACTTTAAGTTGGGCATGAAACTACATTCATTGCACAATCAAAAATGGTGTTTTCCTTTTCTAGTATGCTTCTAGGTAAAATGTGCTACAAGGTGAAATGGCAGGAGTGGCTGATCCCGGCAGCCATGGCACTAAGTGGGGCATTAACCTGTTAAAAGCAAAACAAAAATGGTGGACCATCTGCTTTTAGGGTAGGAAGCCTTTGCTCTGATACCCTCTAACACCCTGCCTTAAAACACCTGGGGTACCAAGGTGTCAAGAATGGCAGTAAGCCAATCACAAAGCTATATTAAAACACACGGTGGGAGACATTTTCATATAATGCTGGTTAGAATGGCAGCTGAAACAAACAGCAGCCACCATTCATGTAGAGGAGAAGGACTTTCAGATTCAGTGGAGTGGGACTGCAGGGGGCTTGTAGAGCACGTGTCTGCCTGCAGGGGGTGGGACTCCCACCAGAAGCTGGGGCCACACTCCTGTCCCGTGCTCTGGCGGATGCTGGTCCTCTTTCTACTACTTACAGGAACAATGTAATAAATAGAAAGCTTTTATGTGTATACAGCTTTTGAATAATCGTTCTGGCATATCCTGAGTACACATTATATAGTATTTGCCTGTTCTTTATCTGCTACTCTTGTATTGTTCAATAACCTATAGATCTCATAAAATCAATAAGAGCTAAATGTTTAATTGGTTGGGAAACAAATACATAACGATCTCAATCAGGTCATTACTTCCCAGAGTCCCTGGAGTGTGAATCCATCCTTTAGCTTCTCTATTGCAAGTCCTAGTTCTTCTGAAAAAACAGGCTCCCGATCATGTTGCTTTTTGGGATGCACAAGACATGAGATAAAATAGAAGAGAAGATACTTTTAAACTTAATTATCCAATTTTTAACAACATGAATTCAACATCATAAAAAAGGTGTTCTTACCTTGTTTTCATCAGCAAAGTAAGCCTGCAAAAGAAAGAAAAAGCAACTCAACCTCGAGAAAAACATCATAGTTTAAATACAAGTTTGCGAACAATTCCTTATTCCTTGGGATAAAAATTGTATTTGTCAAATTTTCTTCAACGAACCAGTTTAAATATATAAATATATATATATTATATTTATATTATATATATATATTTTATATATATTATATATTTATATATATAAATATATATATTTAAACAAGATCAAAGTAATTCCTATGTTGAACTAATTTACTAAGGGCTTTACTAAAGTTGGTGAACATGTTTTCATTAAATAATACCAATCTCTGAATTTTTCAACATAATAAACAAAGACTTGAAAACTGTAAAGTTTATACATTGCATTTGCTACACTAACAAGTACTTAGTAGGGAGTAAAATGATAAAATGCAGACAAGCTAACAGAATCCTAATATTTTTTTCTTCAGGTGCAGCAGTATTTATTAATCAGTTTCAAAAAACGTGACTTGAAATGCGTAAGTAATACCAAAATTCAGTTAAGTAATACCAAAATACAGCTAATATCATACTCAATATAAGAAATGATCACAGATTAACTGCACAGTTAACCAAAGTTTTATACTCTTGGACAGAGGTCTGTGAAAAAGATACAATCTTTCCCATTCTTTGTGTGGAGAAATCAAGACTCAAACTCCTTAGGAAGAGCAATCTCTGAAAATATAGCAGCTTTGTAAGCCTCTGGATCAGCAGGCTCTACATCATCATACTCGTGAAAGAGCCTGAGCTTTAATCCAGGTAAAAAAGCTATCAAAAAGTAAAACAAAAAATTCCTTTAATTAAAAGGTCTTCAACCATGCTGAAGACAGAATAAACAGTGAAAAAAAAAAAAAAAAAAAGGAAAAAAGGAAAAAAAAAGGCAAGAAACAGAGAAAAAGAGAGAAGGGGTAAGGAAAAGGTAATGTGATCAATGCTTATCTGCCTTAATAAATGACAACAAAAGCAAAGAAGGTAGAAAGAAAATTGGTGCTAGTACTGCTAATTCACCAAATTTAAAAGATGGATTATGAAGACTTGTCAAATGGCAATGTGTCAAGGCTAGCATGTTAAAATGTACCTGTGCAATCAATTATGATCAGCCAGGTCTTACTGAGATGTGTGTGCAAGTAAATTTAGAAATTCCCAGAAGGAAGATCATCAAGTCCTGGACAGTCTAATGTGTTTAAAAATATTTTTTTCTGAAATACAGGGAGATGGGTACTAATACAGTTTTCTAAACTGGTATTGGCAGGAGTGCAAAGGTCGTCAAGAGTGACTCAAAATTATCATTGCCTTTCTAAAAATCTTTCAAGTTTGTATCTTAGATGAATACTGAGCATATAGACATCACCTCCTATTAATCTGCTCCAAAAGAAGGAAGACTTTTTAATATGATATATTTGATTATTCTGTACTGCTGGTTCTTGAGCTATTCCTGACCTCAATGTGTTGATAAACAACTTGCAACTACTACTTTAAATATCGACTACAATTTATTTTGAATAATAGTTTGTGCTAAAAAAAAAAACAACCACAACATAAATTCATGAGTAATCATGATTATAAAAAAGGCATGTAGGCAATATAGGCTTAAATATAGAAAGTTCATTTGTAGCTTAACTTTCATAGAAGAATGGAGCTATACACTGCCTATATTTGAATAACCAAACAAGATTTTTTTTTTTAATTTTTCTGTGGATAAGCTTACCACAAAAGCATCTGTCTGCTCATCAGATTCTATTTCCACATCATCTTGAACTTGCTCCACTGTTAAGTCTTCAAGAGGCTGGGGCTGCAAGTTAAAACACTGAAGTAAATAAATCCATATATACAATACATGTTAAATCCATATATACAATACATGTTGAAAGTACTTTTATTACTGCTTGTTAACACCAGATTGCATCTGTTTCAAAATAAATGAATTGACTACCTTTTCTTCCATTTCATAATCCACTCCAAATATTGGGTTAACTGAATAAACTCTGTGAAGTGAATTAATTTCTTTCACTGCCTCCTGTAGTTTCTCCACAGGGTCTATCTTAAAACCAAGTACATATCCTCCACTCTGTGTAATAGAGGAAAGAAGACTTTATTAAGAAACTATCGTTGCTTGTTATTTAAACAACTTTTTCCCCCAATGGGGATTTGTAGTTTAACAAATTTCAGGTTGACGATGAAAACATTATCTGTATTTTGGTATCTTATTTTCAGTCGGCCACTTAAACCATGGGTGGAATAAAAACAATGACAATGTTTCTCCATGGGATAAATAAGCTTTAAACTGTTAGTCCATTAGACAAATGGGAAACAAACTTATTACAAAGAAAAACAAGATCAAACAAGGGAAGGAGAAGTTACAAAGTGATGCTAATGATTAATTTCCAGCTACTTAATGAAAGTTTAGTCTGTTGGATCTTGATATCATTATTAAAGAAGCTTGTATGTAAAGTTAACTTTTTTTAAAAATGACTATTAAAAGCATTTCTAATAAAGGTCAAATTGAAGAAAAATCACTGTCTCTTAGAGCAAAGAATACACAGGTGAGAAAGATTAAAAATAGCGGTCTTAAGTACAGAAGTAATGAGTTACCAAAGATAATCTGTCAGAAAACACTGTCTTTAACAGTTAAATTATTTTAAACTGGTCATGCTGGCATTGTTTTGCTTAGAGAATTCCTAACTCACAACAGCCATATTGACCTGAACATACTGAGATTTTTAAGCAGTGTAAAGAGGATGTTTTTTAAAAGTTGTGTTCTGAAGGCCACATAGAAGGAACACTAAGTAGCTTAAGAGCAGCACTATCACATTTCAGCATTAAATAATTGTATGTATAAAAATTTAACCAGCTGAAAAAGGCTATTAAAGCTTCTTACCTGCTGAGAACTCTCTATCACAAGTGCCAAGCCAAACTTGGAGTCTCTTATTTTTATTGAACGCTAACAGTAAAGAGGTAAAAACTGTTAAAAACTGTTTTGGAATTACTTGATATAAGTTTGTTTTGTTTATTTTCAATTATTATTATTTTGCACAGTACTAATTACCATTACTGTTCCTGGAAGCTTGGCTAGCAGCATTCCCTCCCATTTACCATTACAAATCTGAACCACTGAAACCACAAGGAAAAATGTTTTTTATAAGAAGTGATAATAGTTAATTTCTGGACATTGGGTTCACAGATCATTAGTCTCACAGTATGCAGTTGACAGGAAGCACAACAGTAAATAGTTTGGAAATTAGAAATACAAGCCGTTCTTCAACATCTTGACATGCTCATGAAAGCCTCCAATTAACCTGGACAGAAAAAATCCACCCTGCAGTTAATGCTGGTAAGACCAAATTCTTCCCTGACTTTGGGACATAAAATACTAATTCAGTGCGAAACGGGAGCATTACTTGAAGACTAGAACTTAGCCCATTTTGTTTTGTAAATGGCTGTTTCAAGGTACTTACAATTTGTAGATAGGGTATGCTGACATTAAAGCTGTCATTCATATTTGCATGCCAAACTATTCTCACATTAGTAATAAAAAATGTTCCCAAGTTTCCCTATTAAAGAAAAGTATGTTAGAACTACTTTGAAATATAGAGCCTTTTTTCCCCAAACATGATGATTACTGATACCTGTTTACCATTAGCAGGATACAGCTTCACATTTAATTCTGTAAAGGTCTGATCCTTTCCCACCAAAACCAGTGGAAATGCTACTATTGATCGCTAAGAAGCAAGATCCAGTCTTTAAAGGATACAGCACCCAAGTGGTGAAAATCACTTGGGAGTTCCTATTACTGTAGCAAAGCAAGATCAAATCACAGCATGGCAAACCTAATGGGAGTACGTGAAGTGTCTGAGAGTGTTCTTAACTGTACAGATCTGGAATTGGCATATAGAGTAAGTATAATGGCATGTGGGTTAAACTTAGGCAATTGTAGAGATATGTGCCAAGGGAACACAGAGGAAAGAACTTTTTAGCTTGTCAGGATGGATCTTGTTTCCATTCTGGACTAAAACTACGTAGATAAAAATAACAGCTGCCATTTTGTTTCATGGCTCTGGGAAGTACTCGTAACTAATTCCCTGTGTAATAACGGAACTGTTTTCTATTTTCTCCTGAAAGTATTTATTTTACCACATTTTAAGACATAGATTCCCATTCAAGTATTTTCAGTTTCCAGTAATCAAAAGAGAATATAGTCTTACTAAGTAGTCAAGGCTGCAAGTAAACACAAACATGTAGCAGAGCATTTTGGAAATGGCATGACTGTCTTTCAGGATAATACAGAGCTTTAGACTCATAAATATCTCTTACTAACATGACCTGTGTATCTAGTTCCATGCATGTTAGCTGAGTCATGTAGACCTGAGGTTGCCGAGAACTTTATTGTGCTGAATAGCAAATAGATGAAATCAGCTGCATGCAACAGCTAATGAACTGAACTAAGGGTAATACCTCTGAGGTTACACAACTGTAATTGCTAGTTTTTTTTGTTTGTTTGTTTTTGTTTTTTAATTGCCAAAACACTTTACTGTAGTCAACATAGTCTCATTTTTCACTATACCTGGTCACTTGATAAATTCCAAACTCCATTGATTTTATCATATATTTGTTCTTGTGGTAATAATCTCAGTTGCTTGTTCTGAATCAATGCACTTCTCAGCTTCAGGTCACGATACATTTTAGAAGTTTCATAAGCTCTGAAAAAGAAAAAAATCACCAGGTTATGATTTCAGTGTCTTCTATCATCTTTCAGTGCTTGTTTTAGCACCAACATGAAATGCTACATATTTTCAACTTTTCTTATTATCATGTTATACAAAAATGAGAGTACTATTAGATTTTCATCAATGAAAACCTTTATATTTCAGTTCTTACTGGAATTACTTTTAAACTTTTTTTGATACATTTTAATCTCTTAAAACATGTGCATATGCTATTTCTTTCTGTTCCTTAAGATTGTCATCTCCCAGCCTCCACTGGGAAACATAAATCTAGCTCCTATGTTACACATAGTATAGACATCAAGAATAATTTTTCACTATCAGTTAGGTCACAAATATCTAATTATATGTACATCAGTATTCCATAGCTCTTAAATAGAAACCAGTGGTAATGTGTTATACCCACATTCATTCAGATGACTTAACTTTCAGGTGGGAAACATCCACTGCTTTTTATTTCAGTCGGAGTTTTGACCAGTATTTAACTAATTTCCATTACATGGTCCACAATTAGGGAAAATTATTATAGGCAGAAAGCATAAATAGAAAATGTACACTTAGATTATCAGCTCTTTGGTATTTTTATTTAGACAGTTCATACACACAAGATGAATGCTTTGATTAATGACTGGTATTTACACACATTAATTTTCATTATGTACAGTTGTCTACTAGAATTTGTAAGTGTTCTTTCCCCTCTTTCTAGAGATTGTGTTCTCTTCTTTCAGAAAGGTTTTGTGAATGTTAAATCTGGGCAGTCCACCTACCACAGTAATTCCAGATATCTGATCCACTGAATTTCATGAATGAACAAACACTATTTTAAGTAGGATACCTGTGCACAGCAATAACTGAAGTGAAGAGTCTGGGACTTCCAGGAACAACATTGGTAAATATGAACTCAAAGCGTGTATTGTTACATTTAGTCAATATATACAGAGCTTCTGTTTGTCCCCGTAATTTCTGCAAGAAAAATTTGAAATTTAACATTTTGACAATATAGCAGCTTGCCTATCCAAAGGTGCAATCCTGATTCTACTACTGATCTACTGTTGTCTTCAACTGAACAGGGATTTCACTCTTTTTTTTCTCCAGGAACTAGCAGTTCCATCAGCAGCAGAACTAATGAAGTCTGCCTGCTATACATATGCAGTATCACGACAGTATTTTTGAATTTGCCTCTTACCATCCAGAGGCATCATCCTTCTGTTCATGCTCCCCAAATATCCTGGCTCTATGTCACATCCCTTTTCCTGGAATGTACTGGCTGAGCAGCCAGGCCATACACAGGCCACTTGGCCAACTAGCAGCTACCATGTGGCTGGATGGGTCATCTCCCTGCTACTTCTTTGCTGCTAACCAAACAAACGGCTTCAGTGTTGCCTGTACCTCAGGCTATGTATTTGAGAGCTTTCTTGCACAAAATTATTCTCTCTATAAATCTTCGTTAAATGTAGACCAAGCCAATAAGCACATGACCTCCCAAAAACAGAGAAAAATCACCAGTGTGACTACATGTGTTTTACTGCCTTAGGAAACTGAATAAAATAATGCTCCTATAAAAAAGTAAAACTCTCCATTCTTTAAAACTGAACTATCATTACTACTCTGTTACGGTTCTTGCAAGTAAACTTTCAGAGTATTATTTATACAGTGCACTAAGTATAAATAATGAATTGCGGCTTTTTATTTTTATAAGTAACTTACTGAGTTGGCAGTTCTTGTAGTTATGTTTATAATGCAGTTGTAACCAACAGCTAAAAGGGGAAAAAAACACAAAGAACAGCTCTGAGAACAAGAAAAAATAATACACAGAACTAGAAAGTATAATACTGAATTTTTTAGCAGGCAATTTTATTTATTTTGTAAATACATATAAAAGTAGCATAGTTTGTGTGTGTGCAGTCATATGAGAAAGCAAATGCAGAAGAGCAATCAGTTAGAGAACCTAAGTTTACACAGCTTATGAGTGGAATAGATTTTCATTACTGACTGGCTATTGGGACCTAAGCACTGGAAATAAATTGGGTACTGAGTAAGTGCCTCCCGACCCTACTTCAGCAAATTAAGTTAAATGTGAGTAAACTAGCTGACTATTCACATAGTTAAAATCAGAAGCTAATTTAGAGCTTTCAGCAGGGAATTTGGAAAGGCAGGTACTTCTGGAGAATAAAAACTGTATGTGAATACACAGGTGGCAACAAGAAATACAAGTATAGCAAAGTATGAAGAAACTGAAATTGATGCTTCTTTCTAGAAAAATAATAAATCTGAAATACTCTTCAACTTATTTTCTAAGAAATTAACGTTGAATATTAATATTTTACTTTGAATTATTGTAAAAGTTCCTACATTACAAATAGATTAATTCATAACAATTTATTTCAGACTTTATAGAAACAGAACAAGACTTTACTATTCTGTACTATAAACTGTAGTATTGGGAAAGTACAGCATACCACCACAAAGGAATCAAAAAATATTTGCAATCATTTAACAGGAGATGACACTTACAGAGATTGACTCTGGGCAATGACAATGAGCGCCAAATAATCCGCAAATTTGTCACAAGCAGTCTGCCTGGAAATAAAAAGTATAAATAGTTTTCATCTGAATAACTGCCATTAAATTAAACATTCCATTCTGTGGTACATATGTATCTCTAGTTTTGCAAAACCAGAATACTCCTTCCTCTTGATAGAAAGAAGAAAATCACAGGACACCCCAGCAGAACAATTGCTAACCTCCCCCTCCTTTTTTTCCCGAACATCAGGAGAGAAAAAACAGCAAGAGGGAACAAATGAAAGAATCTCTAATATATATCATCATTCCTCAAAAAAGAACCAAAGACATAAACTGCTTTCACATCTACCTGCCCATGGTAAAAATGCAGAGGCACATGATTGTGCAGAACTGTTCTGAGAAGAGATAGGAAAGACTGTTAACTATCCTAATCGAATTCATGAATAACCTTGTTACGTCATATGCGTATTTCTTAGATTCTGTATCATGTATGCTGGCAGCTTCACACACCTTCTGAATCAGTAAGGAGAGTGAATGAGTGTGTGCATGCAGGTGTTACTCCTTTCAGTTTAAACCAGGTTAGGAAAAACTATCAAAATAACTGGAGAATGACATACACCTGAAAAGAGAAATCCTTTAATGTTATAGAAATGAAACAACCTGCAATCTGAAGTGCAAAATTTTATGCAGTGATTGGTCTATGTAAGAATTAAACAGGACTACATCAAAAGATCATAATTATTTTTATAAATACATTATTCTTACAAGGCTTTCAATTCTAAACACGTTTTGAATCAAGATTATCAGCTTCCTCTAACTATGAACTAGATAAACTATTTGAAAATACTCCCAGAAGAGAATGATCTGTGAAAAGGAAAGACATATTTCCTGCAAACAGACACTGGTTAAGTAGTAGGAACGTTACAGTTTCCCTAGGTAAATGGTTACCTCTGTCTCCATTGTTTCCTTTGGTATCTTCAATAGACTCTAAACAGTCTATAAGGACCTCTCCAGGTCTCATTTTCATTTGTCTAAAAAAGAAAAAACAAAACAAACCAAACAAACAAACAAACAAACAAAAAGCAACAACTAGTGAGAAACGGATTTATCCTCCAAAAAAGGACTATCTATATTTCTTCCCTTCCTTTTTTTTTTTTTGCTTAGTGCATCACACTACTGAAAATTCCCATACGTTCACAAATCAACATTATATACCTGAAATTGTTATCACCACACACAGCTTATGAAAAATTCTAATACCTTCATTAATACCTTCATTTTTAAAACCATCATAAAAGATAAATAATTATATAGGAAGTATGACAACCTAACTGCGCCCCAAAAGAGGGAGAATGTGCGTGAAAGTGGGAGACGAGTGCAAAGTTGCATTCGCTCATGTCAATTTTGACAGATAGAGCTTGTTGCCTGTTTCTGTACTTTTAGGTCAGAGGGAACGGAGCTGGGCTCAGAGAGAACAAATGCCCCAATGGAAACGTCAGGTGTACACTGGTAAGGGAAATGCTCTGCTGAATTTTGAACCATTTATTTGTATTTTGTTCGATTTAATTGGCCTAACTACTGAATTATGTATTAGACTTGGCGTGCAACTGGGCTGCATTTTAATCGCACCGTGTGGCAGCCCAAACTCCGCAGCCTGCAGACAGACAGAAACCAAAGGCGTTTCCAGGGCGGGACCTCCCTTCAGCACCCCCGAAACGCCCGTGACAGCTACTTTTACTTCCTATGGCCAAGTGGAAGCAAGACAGGGACCGATCCCCGTGCCCAACTCCCTTCATCCACCCTTTTAAAATATTTTTACGCCGCCCATCCGGGCCGCGCCTCAGCATCCCCCTTAGCAACCGCCTCTTCCCCCCTGCGCTGCGTCACGTGATGAGACCCCCGGCCGCCATCACAGCGGGCGGCGCTGCCAGTGGGTACAGCACCATTATCGGCGGCCGCCCTACAGCCCGTGCCGGGCCGTGCCCCGCGGCAGGGCAGCGCCACTCACTGCGGGGAGATGTCGAAGCGGACATCTCGGTCCTCCCACAGCACGTCCAGCACCGCGCTCATGGCTGCTGCCGGCTGTCGATCTCCCTCCGGCGAGGCGGCGCGGCGCCGCGGCAGCGGGGGCGGTGCTTCGCGCTCCCGCAGCGCTCGGGATGGGTGATGGCGGGGGCGGGGCCTGCTCTGCCGCCTGCCCGGGCTGTGAGGGGCCGGGCGGGAACGGGCCGTGAGGGAGCTTCGAGGACCGTTTGCCAGCCCCGCTCCCCGATGTTACTGCCCGGCCTCAGAAGCCGCCTGTGGGCGCTCTGTGGGGGAAGGCAGAGCGCCTCGGGCCGCTGGACACGCAGCGGCTGGTGCTTGGTAATGGCCGTGTGCTGAGGGAGCACTGGAGCCAGATAAAAGGGAGCTGCTGGAGCCAGCCCCAGACACAGCCTGTGCAGCCGGGGGGCCTAGGCTCTGTGTAACCCCTTTGTGTTACAGCCCTAAGTTTGCTTTTTGTCGTTTTAAGCTAGGGTGTGTGAAACTACTGCTTCAGAGTAACTCCAAAAGTGTATCCAGCTGAGCGTGCTTCAGTGAGCACTTACCCGCTCCCCCCAAAAGATCCGACTAAAGCACGAATCCAGGGAATAAACTTGGCCGTTGACAGGTTTTTTCTCAGAGCAGCCCTTCAATTTGTGTTGAGCCCGCTACAGCCAGCCTGGAAGTTGCAACAAGCTCCCTCAAGTAGTGACAAGTGTCAAGTCATGACAAGGTGCACAAAGGCCCGCCTATCCTGCTCCTTGCACCCACTGCCCCACCTGACTGGGGTGAGCAGGGCACGGCTGAGGAGAAAAATAGTCAGGGAAGAAAATTCTGTCTTCCTACACAGGAGTGCCCAATCTGTGCTGTTTGGTCTCATTACAGATTGAGGCAAAAATCCTGTTACATCATCAGGAGCATGATTGAATGTGAGTGTAGAGTGAGGTAAGTTTCTATTTCTGTAAGGGTACTATTAAACACACTGTCCTGGCAGTAAAAACAGAAATGTTTTATTAGAAACAAGCTTTTAAGCACATAATACAAGTAATAATACATTATATAAAGGCAGACATAAATGTAAAAAGCAATATGGTAGTGACAAGCAATAAAGAATAAACTACACAGCATTTGAAGATTTCAACATAAGTTAAGAGTTTTTAAGAAATAAAATACTAAAATGCATTTAAAAATTAGGACTTTTAGTAGAGGAACAACATGCCAAGAACCACTTTGAACATGAACTAACCTAACTTACTGATGTCAGCTACTGGTGCAGTCACTCATAAATTTGTGGAAGTATTACAACTGCATTTTTCATGTATCTTTCTAGTTAAAGGTAACAGAGGAGAGCTTACAGATAAAAGGGCAAAATCTAACAAGCATGTGGTTGGGAGAGGTGAATAGCTCAACTACCTCCTTGTCTTGTGACCTGGAAAGTGCGTAGGGAACAAACTGATGCATTTACTGTGTTTATCTAGTAACCTCTGAGTAGTGACATGAATGTCACTTGGAGACAGATATTTTGTGCTTGAAATATTAAAATTGGGTTTGTCAGAATACTTTTCCTTAAAGAAAGTGAAGAATCTGTAGAATTCATGCCAACTATTGGGTTTCTGTAATGAAGAAGAGAAATTATGTGATTTTTAATGACCAAAGATTGCTTCCCGAAGCCATGTTGATAAATTAAAATGAAATATAGTTGGTGATTATAACGGTAGTATTTAGAAGGCAGGGCAGTTAGTATCGCAAGTGCTATACTGATGTTACTGAATCTTGGTAAAAAGGAAATGATTACTTTTGATAGTGATGAAAATTTGGTATTTTGTTATACTACATCATACAACACGCATAGCTAGATGTTTTTCTAGTTAGTGAGTATACAACTTCACAATCTTAACATTCTTTAAATTAGTGGGTTTAATTTTACATACTCCATAATTAAACCAGAACAATAGTGTATGATTTATAGCAAGTAGCAAATTAATGACTTGCTAACTATTAATGTAGAGACAGATACAAATTCTTACCTCCAGAAGAAAATACACAAGCCTCTCTACATTCCTCTTCACTCTCAAAACGATTTGCATTCCCATGACAGCCACCATACCAAAACTGAGCACAAGCATTGGCTTGTTTATCATAATACCATTTTATGATATAAACACGGCATGGCCCTTGATCCAGCCTTAACTTGCATTGGAGGTCCAGAACGCTTTCTAAAAAAAGAAAGAAAAAGGAACAAACACAGCTGAGTGTGTAAAAATCAATTGCACTGCTTAATTTTTAACTTTTGAACTTTTTTTTTTTTCGCTGCTGATATTATGTAACCATTTAAGATTAACTTCTAATGATATTAGCGCATCTTAATAGGTCATTAACTAAACTGCCTCTTTTCTGACATGGTTCTAATAACTTAAAAAATAATAGTGTTACGACTCCCCATACAAAATGAGCAAACAGTATTTATCTGATTATTTTGACATCTAAATCTTAAAATCTAATAATCAGCAACAAATCTTGTGAGCAAAACAAAAGTGCCGTCCAAAGACTTCCATCAACTATTTTCAGACCATAAGTGTGACCATCAACTTTCTGCAGTGCATTGCTTTGGTTTTGACACTAGTTCTTTTTGTGGTGTGGGAGCAGAGGCATTAAAATAGTGGCAACCTACAGATACACATTAGAGAATTGTGACTTGCCAGTCTCACTCACTATAATACCATGAGAAAAACATTTTCCCTTCAAGTTTAATATTGTGATATCAGTGTTCTGTATGTGTCATTTGCATCCAGTATCTGGAAACTTAAATAAAATAAAATATTAGAATATAAAGCCTCTGGGTTAGTCGTGCCCATGTTCCCAGGAAACATACAGTCTATTATGATGTTGTTTAATCATAATACATTCTTACTGGAACTCAAACATCTGAACCCCCAAAGTGATGAACAGAATACATTAAGATATTTCATCTGAAAAGAATGAACCCTTTGAGTGGTTAGCTAATTACTGTATTTTCCTTCAAATGGCTTCAAATTCTTTCCTTATTTCTCTTCTGAAAGAGAAATCTTTCCAATTCTGAAATCATTGTGCTGCATCTTCTCTCTCTTTAATGCAGCCTCCTATCTCTGCAGACCAACCCTTTCTGGTTGAAGAATTCCATGCTTACTGGCCCACCTCAGCTAGTGCTACGTTTCTCTTTGATGCCGGTGCCATTTATCAGCTCAGTCTGCTTCTGCTATAAAATGAACAGTGAGGTTTGGCACTTGGGGAGATGAGAACTGGCCAACAGGCTGGTGAAGAATTACAGCTACATCTGCAATAAAATCCTGAAGTGGCTTCTTTTCCACAGCATGGGCTCATGAAATCTTCAGAGTGGATAGGCCCAACAGAGAGACTCTGATTTAAAGCCTTATAAAGTTAGTATCGTGATAAGAGAGAACAAAATGAAAAATTAGTTAGGATCTATAACCTGGCCTTGGTATGAGCCCTGCAGTTGAATGAGTCAGCACTTCATCTGATGGTGGCAATGATGATATGGCTGCAAGTAAAAAGAAACAACATGAGGCTTTTTTTTTTTCATCAGCCAAAAGTAACTAGAAGTTGGAGATATTAACAATGATAATACCTCTAGTGTCCACTGTTAGCAAAGATGATTGTTCCTCTTCCTCTAATTCCTCTTCATAAGCTTCATAAACTACCACAGGAGGTACTTTGGTCTGAAATAAACATTTGATTTTCTTTCCTTTACAGATATTGTGCAGTGTCTCAAAATGAACAGGCCCTGCACTGCTTAGGTTTTCTAATGTTTTTCCTTCCCATTTGCCCAGACTGCAGTGTTAAGAATCAGGATTTTAACCTCACCGGATTGGTTTACCAGGACAGCTGTCAATCCTAAACATGTTTTTTGTTTCTGTTTTCAGTTCATTTTTTTCAGAATTTTATTAGAAACTTTAGCATGCATGTTTCAGTTGAGTTTAATGACTATTTTTAAAGTTAATTATTACTGCAATTTCACTTTAATAAGGTTATTTTTCCCACTGGGACACAAATATAGCTGTATTAAACACAGCAATAATAATATTTGTAACAGTTTCAGGAATAAATTGTGGCCATTAGATAACTGTCTGCCTGCAATATCTGAACATGTATTCAGAACAGCCAGCTCCAAGTAGAGCAAATGAAAGGACCTACTACAGTACCTATCTTGGAAAAAAGTAAGGGAAAAGTTGTATATTGCATCAGGCAGCAGAGTAAGAAATACATCAAAAACTTTTGCTCATTAAACTTGCTGAATTTTCATACCGGGACTAATGGTTGAGGAAGATCACCAAGTCCCAGAGGACTTTCTGCAGTGGCTACTCCAGGTGTCTGTGCTGAAAGTGATTGCCCATTAACATTGTTGTTCTGAAGCATGTAATACGAAGAACTTGAAGATACTAAATGTAAAGATGGTCCGCTTATGCTTGCACCGTTTCCATTACGATTGTATATTAAGGTACCATGTTCATCTTCACAGAACTGGTTGACTAATTTGGACTCCAGAGCTGTTTAAAAGAAGTAGAAAACCCCATCATACACAGAAATTAATTGGATTTTTGAATTTGGATTATTTATACATGTAAATAATGTGCATAAAATCTAGTACTCCTTTGGATTATTTATATGCATCTAAGAAGATGACTCCAAGCTCTCTAAACTGTGTATTTTATTATCACAAAATCGCCAGTTTTTAAGTCCTCTACATGATCCAAAATATGGTGAACTCACTAGGGCTGTTCATTTAAGCTTAGTACCAACTACTAGTTGGTAGTGGGAAAGTGCTTACTTTACTCACATGAATAACCCAATGAGAATGGGGTATTGAAATGAAAGTAAATAATTAGAATTTACCCCAGCATTAGATACTGGTTTCAACTCCAGCAGATCTCGTGCATGAGCACTTACTCAGCTTAGAAAGCTAGTTTAAATGACTGCTTTCCTAGCCTGTAGGCAACATCCCCTGTTGGCATGATATTTCATTGACTTCACCATGACAACTTAAAAGAAGGAAATTTTTATCTCCAAGATCCTGTTATTTTGCACCTTTGAACTAATCCTGATCAGCATCAAAATATGATTTCAACAAAGATAACGTATTTTTTTTCCTCTGTTCTGAGAAGCATCAGATATAATGCAGAATAAAGCTGCAGTGAACGCACCTGGCAGGGTATTAAAGTCATCGATGAGATACATATGTTCTCTGTCTGGATCGGAAGCAATCAGATTTAATTCATGCACAAACTCGGCCTGTGTTGGATCTGAAGTATTTACAATTCCTATCGCATACATTTCGATGTTTGCTGCGTGAGCCTCTCGAACAACAATGTCTAGTTTCACTGCTTCTCTCTTGTCTGCTTGGCCGTCTGTTAGCACAATAGCTACTTTTCGCACTCCTGTTCGAGCACCTAAAAATCCTTCCTGGGTTGCTTTACGGATAGCAGTTCCTGTGTAAGTGCCTTCTCCCATGTATTGCATTTTTCTAATTGCTTGTTTGACATCCTGTTGAGTTGTGTACTTGTTGAGATCAAATTCTAGCCGAACTTCTAAACTGTATAGTACAAGGCCAATTCTGGTAGCGTTTCTGCCTACAGTTACTCTTTCTACTAAAGCTGTTACAAAGTCTTTGATAATCTCAAAATTTTCTGGTCCGACACTCTCAGAGCTGTCAATCACAAATACAAGCTCCATAGGAATTTCCTTACACTTAATACCACAACCTGCAAAGGAAAAATAATAATAAAAAATAACAGATCACAATGACTTGGTATCCTTTTGGAAAGGAGAAGAATGCAAGTTTTACAAAGAAAAACAGAGTCTGAAATAAAAAACTTACCACATATCTCTTTAATTAATTTAATTATATCTTCTCTCTGGATATGAAAAAAATACATATAAAAATATTGTACCATTTGCCTCTTTCAAATAATGCATAGCATTGATGCTACCAAAGATTTTGTTTTTGTTGAGTATCTGCGTCCACAAAGAACCTTAGTGTTTAACTTTCAAATCCGATCCTCCCAAAACTGGAATAAGTTCCACATTTTACAATGAGATATTTTGTATGGCATATAAGAATCATAAACGTGACAAAACAGAAACACCTCTATGTAAAACAATTAACTGCTATTATTGTAAAGAATGTTTGATGATGTGGTTCTCATTAAAACTTGAAGTCAAAACCCATTCAAATTTCAGAATCTAAATAAATTGGATATTCCTTTGCTCTTAAAAACAATAGGGAGTGGAGAAGTAGACACAGCTTCAGGAAACATGCTGCTTTTAGTGAGCTGGCATGTGAGAGTGCCAAGTCAGAATGGAATTGAGATTTGTGAACACTAGTGTACCTGGCCCACTGTATTACCCAGCTTTCAGCACTAAAACCAGCTGTTTTCTTCAGAGTTGTCTGTTCAGAGAAGTGATAGCCTCAGTGACATGCAAACAAAACTTTCTTTATTACTAGAGCAATCATTTATTATATGTTTTGAAGTGGTAGGACTCATTTGGCACTGAGTCAGTCTTTCAAATACAGCCTTTTGCCACTGCAAATAGCTTCTGCCACAAACCTCACTGACATGCTGAATTTGGGCCTTGTGCAATTGATGTTTAGCAGGAGTATAATTAAGGCCCAAGGCATGATAGACCATGACAGGTTTGAAGATCTTTGCTCTTTAGACTCTTGATTACTGTTTTAAAAAGCTTCCTTGCAGCAGGTACACACCTGGCTTGTCTAACACTAACTGCAAAAGAACATAAAGAAGAGAGAGAAGTAAAATCACCAGGAATTTTAAATTCCATATCAGCATGAGGCAGATGAAAAAAAAAATCAGAAGCTTTTCTTTCTATATTATTATTGAGCTACACCTAGTCAGAAAACCCTTCCTATAATAATTTATGTAGGTTGCATTTTAATTGGTCATACCTTGTGTTTTGTTTATAATCTTGCTCTGATGGAATTTAAAGAAAGGAATTTGCTTACTGTGAGGCCTTGGTCTCCTTTTGGTCCAGTTTTGCCCTGTAACAGTGATCATTAATTAAGCTACTACAATTTGTTAGTAAGACTGCTATTCAGAATATTACTTCATCAGTACCATTATTGAATTAATATGTAGTCAATAAGAACTTCTGCTAGAAAAAAGTGTTCTTGTGATACTAGCTTGTACCTACCATATCTGCACCACTGGAAAGATGGTAAGGTCTTTATGCATAGTGGATGACCTCAAGTCTCCCATTGAGTCACTGAATTTTGGGTTATGTATACTTAATAGTATGCAAATGCCAGAATAGAAGGGTACCATGTTTTGTTTTACATGTTTTTGTTTGGCTTTTGGGGGCCATTCCATCAGCAGAAGTTACCATTTTGCCTTCTTTCATCAGTACGTCAGCTTCAACCTACAGTTGCTTGGTTGCCATAGAATAGAACCACATAGCTTTCTTCTTAAAACACACCTGTTGGCTTTCACTGCCTCAAGAAGGAACCCGTGTTTTGTGATTGAGGTACTCAGAACAGAAATGTCTTCTTTGTGCTTTTATATGTTTTCATATTTTCAGTTTCTTAAGTATTTTAGATTATGAGTAGTTAAACAGCAAGAAAAATGCATAACTCAGCTTTAGTTTTGAGCAGTTAAGAAAACAGACACGATAAAACTGAATTACTCACAGGTTCTCCAGCTAAACCAGGGTCACCCACATTGCCCTTGTCTCCTTTTTTCCCCTTTTCACCTGAAGCTCCTCGATCTCCCTTTGAAGCCATGTAGGTAACCAGATAGAAAGTGTAAGTAATTTTTTTATTACATTTTTCACAGTTTTTGAATTTTGTGAAGAAGTTGTACTATTGGGTAAGCATTTTCATGGGAATAATAGCTGAAGTAGTTTGAAAAATGAACCATCCCAAACAAGTCTATGTAGACAGAAGGGTCTCATAGGATACTGAATGATGAACATGAGTATGTGTCTGAGAAAACTAAGATAACCATAGGGAAATTGAGAAGAAAGGTGGGGGATGTATTTGGAATGAGTAATGGAAATATTCTGAGAAACCTTTTGGCCCAGAAAAGGTGCTTAGGTTAGCAAACAAAGGAATTAGTGCCTTCGGGTTTGATTTTTGCTAGGCTATGGGAGTTTGTATATTTTTTATAAACTGATGTGATCACATCCAAAAACTGATTTCAACACACATTTGTCTTAGCACTAGTGTAATCCCCAAATATTGCATAACTCTGTGGGCAAATGAAAGTCGACAATATTAAAACCAATATCTGTATTTCTTTTAGCTGCATTAGCAGATAAGCCTCACATGATATTAACATATGCAACATGGAAATTAATATAAAATATTAAAAGGGTCACGTGAATGGCTGGGGTTTTCCCTTTTCACAGAATTCACATGCCTTTAGTGAGAGCTGACTGTACTGAGCATTTTCAGTATGTTGGTTTGGGGCTCAGACATTATCTCTGATTTAGGTACCATACCTTCTGTCCCAAAAGCCCTTCTCCAGGAGGGCCTCGTGGTCCTGGCATTCCATGAATTCCTTGTTCCCCCTAATGATAATCCAGGTTAATGATATTAACACTACATAGTCACTCATCATGCGTTATTTTTAAATGTTCAAAGAGGAAGTGTTTCAACTGCATTTTAACAAGTGTGTTCAGCAGTATGTCTACTCTACTATATAATGTGTATAACATACAATATTTGAAAACTGCATGATCATTATCTGTTCTAATTTTCCTGTTCTCTCTTTCCATCCCACTTTATACCTTCTTGTTCCCCTTTTCTTTCTTTTTGCCTTTTGAATCCGTCTCATCTGATACATGTTTCACATAAAAGTGCAAAGTACAGGGGAAATGAAACATTACACACAGATTCAGGATGGAGAATGTTTCTCTACCACAGGTGGTAATTCATGTAACTACTTCAAGCTGTCTCTGTGGGTATGAAAGACCTGGGAAGAGGATAAATAATATTTTTCATTCTGGTTCATTTTGTGAGTCTATCTTTCCCTCTTAAAAGATGTCCCTGCTTTCTCCTCCCCCAGTCCACACACCTTTGGGCTTGTTTGCAGCAGTAGAGACAGAACATACTTTGTAGGTGCTTAAATTATCTTTCTCACTGTCCAACCTCAGGTTCTGTTGCCATATAAGTGATAACAGTGTGCACTCTGTTGATTCCTTAATACTGTGATGGTCAGACTGAAAACTCAGCACAGGTTAAATACTGAAGACACAGTATAAGAGAGTCATCTTACCTTAATTCCTTGAATGCCTTCACCAGGAGGTCCCAATGAGCCAGGTGGCCCTGGGCGTCCTGTGGCTCCCTAGAGAGAAACCCTGCATGTTAAGTACAATATTCATAATAAAATCGCACAATAATTTGTTGTACCACCATGTAATTTCCTGTCAGTCCTTTGCGACATTAATATCTTTTTATAAGTAGTGAGGATAAAGTTGCTCTGGCTGATAAATATTTTTTTTTATCCTTTATCAGATTATTTAAATCCAGTTGATACTTCAAAGGAGTTACTCTGGACCTTATGGTCAGAGAACATGAATCACCTTGCTGTTTGAGATGAGCGTTGCACTGAAGGATGGTTTGTATTGGTGGGACACTGAGGACTGAATTATGATTTAAGAGAGGATTATAATTTCCTAAATGATGTGGTATCTTTCATCACCACTAAGCTTACAGCGTCAGACCTGCAAACATACACAGTAATGTGGCATTACAAATACTCTCTTGTTGCTAATTTATAAGCTCATTTTTTAAAGAACTTAGAGAAAATATTTTAAAGAATTTAGAGAAAATGTTCCAGTTCCATATGTTTTCCACAGGAAGTAATCAGAATGCATGCAGTATAGTATTAATTTTATACCTGTATTGCAAATCCAGTGGCCTTGCATGAAATTCTCAGTTTTCTCATTTGTAAGGATCCTGTATTCATGCCTAGCACAGGTGGGATTGGTGCTGTACCACCACTTAGCCATAAACCTAGCCTGCAGGCCAATGTGTACAGTCCAGGACCAGCAAGACACATTGTACAGGTGATACATCCTGATGTTGTGAAATCCTTCCTTTTGTCCCAGTTCATTTCTCTTATATTCACATTCACATCCTGAAACAGCTTTTTGAATTAATAGACTTCTGAAGTCAAGCTGGAAGAGCATGAATTTTCCATTTTGGGAGGTTTCATAAGGAAAATGGCTTCTTATTATTTCCTGGCATTTTTTCAGGATGTATATTATAATTATATATTACATTAGATTATTATTGATTTACTTCATACAGTAAAGAAAAGAAAAAAAAGAATTCTGGAAGAGCTCAGCAGTTTGCCTACAGCTTTAAGACTAAGAAAGGCAAGACACTGCTAAGTGCTTACTAGTCCATTAATCCTAGGTCTGGAAAAATGCTAGATCTGAAGAAATTTTTGCTACTAAATTGGAGGTACTGTTTGCAGGAGCTGCATGTTTTCTTCATGCAAGCTTATCATTTATTTATCCTCTGCAATAGGGAAGAGGCCATGGTTTATGTCAGGTTAACAGAAACATTTTTGATTTTCTACAAATTAAAGACACTATATTCCTTAGTTATCTGTTGGATTATTTATTTCTAGTGAAGTGTGAAGACAGAAAACATAAAGATGTGTATGCATGATCACATTCTATACTTTTTTTTTTTTTTTTAATAGATATGGGAGATGTAATTGTTTAAATAGCTTACTTTTGGTCCTGGCAGGCCTTCTCCTGGGGGTCCTGGGAGACCAATTGGTCCTCTACTACCGGGATCACCCTGAAAATTGATACTTTAAAAAATTAGTGAATATCAAAGTTTGATTTCTAGAATTCTCAGCATCTGTTGTGCTCAAACAGGACAAAGAGAGATTTGCTGAAAAGCACAGTGTAAGTCTAAACAGAGCTAAACCATGAATACTGCAGACAAGATGAGAAAGATAATGGATTTTAACAATGGCCTAAACATACCCAAGACATGTACAGTCAGGCAAGTTACAGATAAATTACAATTCCCATATCATAAAATGAACTACAGTTCCTCCAAGCCAACAAAAATCTTTTTGCTTTCTTGCTTGTCAGAGTTGGATCATACTTGATGTGCACATTGGCACTGCTCTAACATACTTTTCCTGTGAGTGCCTTCAGACAGCTAGCAGTTTGAGGAGAATGGAAAAAAGACATTTCTCCTTTTAAGATAAAGGAGGTATGTTTAAATAGCTGCACTCAATCTGTCAATTGCCTGTATAATTCAGGTAATCCTACAGTCAGCACCAAGATGAGTTCTGAACTGAAGCTTGAAGATCTGCAATGGAAGCTACCTTTTATATACTGACAAGTAAGTTAAAGCTGTATGAAAAAAATACTCCAACGGTGACTGGGTAGGAAGTATATCTGCATGGAGTGTATGTATGCATTTACTTTTCTAGAAGTTAAGGTCTGTACCTTAGGTCCTGGTAGTCCAATTCCATCAGGGCCTTGTTCACCAGGAATCCCAGGAAGGCCTGGCAAGCCCTGAAATTGTATGCACAGACAGAATATGAATTTAACTTAATATGAATTTAACTTAAGGCTATGTTGACTGCATTTTTGTTAACATTAATATGGCTAGTATCTTGAATACATTGTCTCTTAGTGGGGTCACTGAGGTCTGTAACTGCTTAAATTCCACTCTGGTAAGCCAGAAGTTGTGTCAGTGTGCATCTGCATATCACCAATATGCTAAATAAGCTGAATATCCCCAAAAGTTGATTTTATCTATCTGCTCACAATACATAGCTAGCATATCACCAAACTCCCTGACTGTAGGCAGTAATCCTCCTTCAGTGCTCCATACACATGCAAGCAAGGGAGAGGAACAGAAGGCCTTTTCTCTTTGTATCCTCTTTGCAGGCATTAGTCATATGTACCAGTACAGGCTTCTGTAAAGGTCTGTAAAGCTGATCGACCCATTCTTTGCCACATCCTCAGCAGCCTGTTGAATAGAACTGAGGACTGTTTGGTCTTTTGACTCTGGACACAGTTGCTTTTTCAGTGGTTCTGGAAGATAGTGCTGCCCAGAGCACACACCCACGTATATGGACTATACCCCGTTCAGCTGGGCTATGATCTCCTGTTTGGGAGTTAAAATTCTGGATGACTGGGCAGAAGACAGTATCTTACATTAATCTTACATTAAGATATTGAGGGAATTGATTGAAACGTTGGTGATACTTAAAAAAAAATCCCTGCTTAGAAAGTGTTGCATTGTGTAATCAAGAGAAGTGTGGGACTTGCACAGTCTTGGACTACTTCAGATTTCTTTTTCCTTCCATGCTGAAGTGCATTTCCACAGTTGAGGAGCATAAAAGACAAGCAAATCTTTTTTGGCATGTCAGCTGTGGAAGTTAATCACTTTGGTGTACCTATTTGTTCCCAATTCACCTTAAAAAAGCTGTCTGTAAACTTACAGGTGGACCAGGATAACCGTCTCCTTTTGGCCCAAAGGGCCCAGGGGGTCCTGGAAGGCCTCGGTCACCCTGATGAAGGCAGGAAAAACAGATGAGATGACTGCCAGTGCAATTGCTAGCAGGAAATGCTCCATGAAAGTGAAACTTCTTTGGCAGGCAGTAAGTTGATTTTATCTATCTGCTCACATATTTTACTATGTAAATGGTTATTGGAGGTTATTAATCCTGGGCTAAAAGTGGGATATTTAATAGCTCTGAGGATATACTGGACCTTCCAATTTTAAGTCACTAATTGGATCCCTTTTGAGAGCTCAGTCTGCTATTATTATGACACCATGTAAGAGGGAATGGCTTCAGTTGCATTCCCCATATTTTTATTTATTTTTATCATGATTATTATTGCTCCAGTTTTGGGGGCACAAGCCCATCTTGACAGACAGCCATAAGTCTAGCATGGGAACTGAATTACTGAGTAGCTGTTTTAGATAATGCTAACTGAAGATAGATAAACTACTATACATGTAGAGCACTGTGAAAGTTCTGTATTGCTTCTGCACGTGCTTTTTGTTCTTTGTGGTGAGAAAAAGGACTCAGGGCTGGGGACACCAGCAATTTGCGTGGTCAGTTTGAAAATGTTTTCTGTCACAAGGTTCCTGCCTGATTTTGTTGTTCCAGAATTGTATTTTCCTATACTGCTGTGGAACCTCATTAAAGCAATTGAGTATAACAGGAGCTTGTTAGCAGAGATGCACTATTGAGCTCTTTTCATGGATCCAGATAGCTGGAGTATCTCAGATACAGAGATTTACCAGAAAAAGTAAGAGGATTAAACCCTGGCAGCAGCACTGGATGGTGCAGTGAATTGCTCTGAATTACAGCTGAATGGATGATTTGGATGGATGTCTGTGTTTGTCCCTCCAACTACCCAAAGTACGGGTACGCGTAACAGTGCCAAGAAAAGGCATAAATTATTTTAAAAAATTAAGTTATAGAAAGTTTTACCTTGTAAAGTTTGACCTTACTACACAGCTTAGTGCAGACGTTTATCTAAGAGAGAAGCAACAGCAAATGCACTAATATTGATAGCAAAAAGTGAAGAACATAGTCACAGAAACATGCTGAGCATGATCTAAATAAAAGAGCTTTGACAATTTAAGATTAGTCAGAGAACAAGGGACAGGGGCTGTACTCGAGTATTGTCAAATTCACTAGGTCAAAGCCTGAAGAAAAGTTGAATCTAGCTAACACTGAGACAAGATGAGAGAAGTGCTAGAGAGAAGTCCTTAGAGGTTAGCTGCTCTTTCATGTTCTTCTTTCACTGCCTAAGGAATCTCTTCTCACATGGCCAGTTTGGCCCATGTTCTGAGATCTTGTTGGAGTCTACGGATTACTCTGTGCCATACCTAGGAATGAAGCCATGTACCTAAGAAGGACCCTGGCTGAGAAAAATTAACTGTTTGGCATGTATGCTGCTGTAAGCACATAAATCAGGTGTCCTCTCCATATTTACTCATTATAAATTAAAAATAGTCAAATTTTCCCTGGTCCTCTGCCATGTGGAAGCTTATGGTTCATGGAGTCTGGAAGATTGACTGTCCATGGTGATTAATTTATTAATTTAGGAGCTACCTTTGCCCCAGGAAGCCCAAAACCTGGTTCTCCAATTGGTCCAGCAAGACCAGGTAACCCAATGTCACCCTGCAATGATGAAAACATGTACCCTAGTTAGTTATTTCATTAAACATCAATCATAGACTGTTTTTTATTATATATTACACACAAACAGATATGTATCAAATTTAATAATTATATATATATATATACACACATATAACATATATATATACGTATATATATATACATACATACATACATATATATACATACATACATATATATATATATATATACATACATATATATATACACACATATATTTGTTTCATGGGCATTTAAGATAAACACCAAGAACAGATGAAAGAAAAATATTTTGATACCAAAGATATCAAAGACAAAAAATGAACTGAACACAGGTAGACTACACCTCAAGCTGGCAAATAATACCAGGTCATGATGGTAACTAGAATGCACACAATATATAATCGTCAATAGGAAATAAGACATTTTAGGTAACCTTCTAAGGCTGAAATTATTTACACAATAAGCATGTCTACTTCATTGTTTTCATACTGTATTTGAAAGCACTAGGAGCTGGAGTGCAGATGTTACCTTTGGTCCAGGCACAGCTCTTCCAGGAGGGCCTGGCATTCCAAGACGTCCTGGCACCCCAGGCTCTCCCTGCAGTGAAGGAAGGAGAGTGAAAGCAATGGATTTTTCTGCAAGTACCATGAGCATATCTCAGAGAAAACATCTGTGTGGCAGTTTATCATATTCCAATAAAATTCTATTAGAAGTCTCAATATTTTGTTGATATTGTATGTTAAGTGAAATCTAGCCATTGCAGAACTGATAAGCAGTATAGTTCTGATTTCTCAATGGAAATGAGATTCCTCTCAGTCACTGAATAAATGTATATTATTAGAATTCCTTTTCTTAGGGTATTCTAGACTTGGTTCAGCACTCAGGGCTTCCTGCTGAGCTGTGTAGGTGTACAAGAAAACATTTATTTTTTCTGTCAGAATAGATTTTTTTTAATTGTCCTTTTAGTGTACTTTATTACCTCTTTTTATTTTTCTTCTTATGTGGAAATACTATTGTGTGAATTAATAATAAAAGACTTCATAAGAAACTGGAGGAGAAACTTCTCACTTTCAGTGAGTAGTGAGAATTCAAACTCCACATCCCTAAAAGAGTATCAGCCATGAATGAGTCTGATCAGTGTAAGGGAAAATAAAATCCTGTTACACGTGTATATGCTATACACCATATTGTCTTCCCAAATATTTCAGCATAAAATGCCAGTATTAGTGCCCCATAGCTTTTTCCAAGTCACTGGGGAAACAGCAGGTGAAAGTAAAGTTTTTTAAAAATGCTTCCAGATGTTTATAGTGATCATAGTGTGTCTTGCTAAGGGAAACCTTAGCTGAACTTTGTGGGTTTTGGTAGTTCTTAAGAAGCAAGCTAATTCTAGGCAAGTTGTTCCTGCGATCTACAACAAAGCACAGTTCTGTCGGGCTGTTTTACACACATAACATGATAATGAACATACTTTAGCTCCTGCAGGCCCAGGCACTCCTGTTGGTCCTGTTAATCCACGTATTCCTCTCTGACCTTGATCTCCCTACAGAAATGGAGAAGACATGTCACATGTAGCCAAATATTAAGAACATGTAATTGGTGTAATGTCTTGGACAATGACTCCAGCAACTTCCAGTGTCTTTATTTTATAGGGTAAAGATTACAGGATAAAGATAGTGACATGAGAAACCATAATTACTTTTCCATCAGCGAATTAGTATAGAGGACCAGTACAAGAGTATTTTATTTGTTTGTTTGTTTCTTTCTTTTTTTTTGAAAAAGATGTCCTGGATGGTCTATTATCAACTTCATTATTTACCAAGTTGGTTTACACTGAGGCTGGAACAAATTCTGCAGCTAGCCACTTCTAGAAACACTTGTTAACCTATTTTTTGAGATGTATATTTTCATTACTTGTGTTAGACTAAAAAAAAAAAAAAGAAGATTTTGACAAAGCTATTCCTGGAGCCTTACAATTCTGAATGGCACCTGTAGTAAGACATTCTCACCTTCTCCCCCTGTATTCCAACTCCTGGAGCACCTTCAGGGCCTCTAAGACCAGGTAATCCTGGTTCACCCTGGAATGAAAAAATTAAAGCACCGTTTCAGAGAACTAAATACACATGGTGCAGAATTAACTTTATATTCATCTGAATAAACTCAAAGTCAAAGACTTTTAAAAGTCAATGGCAAAATTCCCACTGATGTCAGTGGGCCCAGGATTTTCTTCCCATATTCAGAAGCAACCACTGTAAAACTCCAGGTGGAATTAATGAAGTAGCATGTTTACTAAGTAATAAGTGAACACTCTGAGTACAGATTTTTTAAATATATGGGTATCTCATTCTGGGAAAATACGATGATCATAAGGCTACAAAGGGTTGCCTTTAGCCTTTGTAGTGACCTTCCTTTTGAATTGAAGGGAATTTAGGGGATTAAAAAAGCCGACAACTGTAAACAAGATAATAGATGACCACCACCACCACCCCTGAAAAAAGAAGAAAAGGTTTCCTTAAAATCATATGTTTGAAAGAGAATTTTTTCACCAAAAATGTGCTACATTTCCACTTGTCCATGAACACCACTTCTCTTTTCTAGGTTTGGATATCAGCACAGGGTAAACAGTAGGAATGTTTGAAAGGAAGCAAGAAGGCTGCAGAGAGATGAACCAACCTTTTGTCCAGGCGCTCCATCTTCTCCTGGAAGGCCAGGCAGACCTGCAAGTCCTGAAAGGCCTGGCTCACCCTAACATCAATAAAAAGTAAGTCTTTCTGTTAAATACGGACTTGGTACTATTCTTTTGCTGAATCAAGGAAATTTATTTTAAAAAGGCTACTAAACTGTGTGTATTTATAGCAAACACATGCATATGAACCAAAAATCTTGTATTTTTCAAAATAATGACAACTGCCATTTATTACTAACAAGGGAAGAAATATGTCTGATTGTTCTAACTGTGCATTTTATCTAGACAAATAATGTTATTAGCTGTTAATGCTCCAGGTAATTCTTAAAAAATAATAATACCATAATTTCATTAAGTGGTAGCTTTAAAAGTAATAGGAAGACCCGACTGTGATTTGATGATGGGCATTTTGATGGTGCATATCAATGTTAATCTATTAATGGCATTGGCCTATTTATATAAGGTTCAAAATCCTGACCTAGTTTTAGATGAAATGGGGTCATTTGGGATCAAATGGATTCACTCAGCGTTACCATAGTTTGAGAAATGAAATCAAGTAATGAAGCAGTTTATTTCCTTTTCCAACCCCCATCCCAAATTCCTATGTAACAAACAAAAAAGCAAACTCAGGAGACACCTTTGCCTTTCTACTGTCATGGAAGTGCATTTTCATCTACTCTCCTATTTTATGTTAATCTGGCTGTTGGTAACATAGGGACTTGTTAATATCTCAGTCACTTCAGCACTGAGATAATGTGGTTACAACTTCCTCTGTGTTCCAAACAAATTCTTCTTTTGTCTAGTAGCACAGCTTGCTTACTGTACAAATGTGTGAGGGTGTAGGTGTGGCTCTGTTTACACCATATCATTTTGTGTGAAGAGGGAAGGAACAGTACAATAACCACTGTTCTGTGCTTTTTTCACCAGCTCAGGTTGTAGTTTAGTTTATGCTGGGGACTGCCATTTCTGACAGGTGTTTAATATTTTGGATCGTTGTCTGGGCAAACCTGTAGGTGAGGTGTGTGCTACACTAATCTGAACATGGGTAGGTACATCAAAAGTTTCAGTCACAATAAATATTCCTACTTTTGTACAGAACTGGTATATATTAAATGTTTCAATTTCTGGAGGTTACTGAAAGTCTGTGTTGAAAATTAAAAAGACTAAAAGCCTAAGGTTTATCTCTAAACCTGTTTTAAAGTGCCTTCAGAAAGAACACTCAAAACCCACAATTTTTCAAATTCAAATAAATAAATAGAATAATTCCTCTATTAACAATGTACCTTAGAACCAGGTTCTCCAACACCTCTTTCTCCTGGCACTCCAGTTTCTCCTGGCAAGCCTTGTTCACCCTTAAGTAGAAATTATTATCAAGAGCTTTGTCACGAAGAAATAGAAAAGCAAATGTTTGGTTGGTTATATTTAAGGAAAGATTAAATAAAGATACTACCTTTAGTATAATGTCTTTCACCCTATCAATCCTAAAAATCCTTAAAACCTATCAATCTTAAATCACAAAGATTGATAATCTCCAGGTCCCTAAGTACATTTTGGGCTGTCACCGGAAAGCTGTTGGTGGAAATGATTAATGCTATAAATCTATAATTTTATGCCCCTGTGAATGTTTCCCACCAAAATTTCAACAGCAAAGCTAACCTCCATAAACAGCTTGCCCTTCTCTTTCTTTGTACCAGTAGTAAAGCATGTCCTGTAATCACATCAAATGTAAGAGGTGATCCCTCATGCTCCAAAATACTTCACCTGGTATGGACCTTTGACCCACTTACACCTCTAGTTCCTTTAGACCATTCTTTAATAGCCTTCAGGCATTCAGAACTTCATCTGACACCTCTTTTCAAAAAATCACTTTAAATCTGCATTCCAAACACTTGAAGGTTGACTTCTTTTATTAACAGTTCTGGATTGTGCTAACCAGTCAAGGCTAAATTATTGTGACAGTTTTCCTTCAGCAGTGGTAATCTTCATCATACCTTGGACCATTCTGAACTGCTAGATACAGTAAATTCACAAAGTCAAATGAGGCAACAGGCAGCAGAATTAACATGGAAGGCAGCCAATCTGTAAGGTATATATGTATTTTTCTGGAATAAGAAACTGCACTGAGAATAAAAGATGCTCTTGAAATGGAAAATAATTTCCTGCAATAAGTCAATTTTTAGATTGGTGTTCAGCACTTTAAGAAGCATAAGGATAGAGGCAGACCACTTCTTAATCAGAAAACGTAACAGTAAAAACAGCACAGGAACTTGTACTTCATAAAATTCTCTAACCTTTGGTCCAGGTAGTCCCTGTCCTGGTAGCCCTCTGGAGCCGGGTGGTCCTTTTGGGCCCTCCACTCCCTGAAAAGATTATATAATTAATTATTAAAAATAAAGTATATTCTGTTACTAGACATTTAACTGTGGGGTGAGGGGAAAGTGAAAACCACACCTTCTCTCCTTGAATTCCAATTCCAGGTAATCCTATTGGCCCAGGTAAACCAGGAGGACCAAATTCACCCTGGCAAATGAAGTGCAGTTAAACAGCTGTATAAAAATACAGAAACAATCTTGCATATCTCTTGTGCTAGTACATGTTGACTTAATCACTTCATAAGTCAAGGAAGCTGGGGATCTGACCTTGTGTCTTTCATATATGCATCTGTTCCCTGCTGGTTCCATTATTGCAAACAAGTGCTAGTCTGTTTTTCCAGTTCTAAACCTTGATTTTTTGCACGGAATCAGGTGATTTTTGTAACATTTCCTATCTTAATATAAAGAGATGTTCAAATAGGTTCATAGAATTTCTTGGGCATAAATGTCTACAAAATACCTTATTGTGTGGGGTCTTTTGTGGGTGTCTTGCCTCATTACACCTTTTATAGTGAACAACCCTCTACTACGTAGATTTATTATCACTTTGGCAATCCCCTGGTGTATTTACTGCTCACCTTTTCACCTTTTATGCTGATGCCTGGAAGTCCACGAGGGCCTTTTGGTCCATCAAAACCACGGTCTCCCTACAAGAAAATAATAATGCAGCGTTAACTATATAAATACACAGCTGTTCTCTCTGAAGTAACTAGAGACACTGTTTGCTCTGTCATCATGAAAACCAAAATGAGAAGAACCAGAAAGCAGCACCTGGTTCTGCTTTCCAGGATACCAAAGAGGTCTTCACAAATGGGCTTGCTCTGCAATTTGAAATTGCTGAAGAAAATGCTGAACAAACTTCTTTTTATCTTTCTGCCTACTTCGATTGTATTGGGTCCTGTCCAGCTTCCCATCAATTCAATGACAGAACCATGACTGATTTAAATGTCAGTAGGGCTGAGTTCTGAGACTAGCTGAAGGCTGAATTCTGCTTATTTGTCTCGTGGGTTAAAGTGTTGTAATGAGAATCTGGCTCTCACTAAGAGTTTTGCCAGAATAAAGACCAGGCTAAACTGTCCTGTTTGTAGAAGTGTATTTGTAAATGTCATTGCCCTAAATGTTTATTTACAATCCAGTGGTCTTGGGGAAAATGCATATTGTGCTTTCTTGTATTTCAATTAGTAAAACAAGCAAAGACTGGTAGCTAGTTTATGCAAATTGTAACAGAATCACCCAGGGCAATGAAGTTATATGCCCTTAACAGGCTTTCCCTCTCCCTACTAACCAGTTCCATCACTTTATCTTTGACTGAAAACTATCATGTGGTTTTCTCTTAAAAAGAACATTCCTTACTCCTGAAAGTTCAGAACACTTGCTTGCATTTTGCATTTTACTGAATTCTGAGCTTCTAGCAAAACTGTTCTGCTGAAAGAAAGCAACTGTACAATTTGTCTTAGATTAACAAATCATCTGCTTAAAAGGCATTTAAAACTGTACAGCTGACATACTTGGCAGCCATAACTAGGATTAGAGATACCTGTAGACTTTGTTTATACATGTGTGGCTTCGGGTCAGATTTGGCAGTAAAAAGTTGGGCTTTTTTTTCAGAATCAAGTGGTACAATAATGCAGACAGAACTCCCCTTTGATTCTGCCTATCTCAATTGCTCAACAGTTTCAACTAGTTAATTGAATTAATTATGCATTATTCCATATTTGTGCATTGCTCCTGTGCGGAACTTATTAGTTGTCATGTTTCTTCCTACATGTATTGGTATTTCAGCATCAATGCAGTGATTGCTAAATATACTTCCTTCAAATTCTTTTTTATTTTCATGGATAAGATCTGCTAAACAAATACAAGCCATCAAAAGTGAGACTAGATAATTAATCATAAAATATATACTAAGTGCTTGAAGAGATAATGTTGCTAGCAGCAGTCAAATTTAAATCCACCTGACTGCAGTATTGTGCTAAGCAAAAATTATAAAACTGATTTTTAGTAAAGGGACAATTGGGGCCTGCATCTGTGAAATACTTGTTTATTGTTTTCTCAAGCAAAATTGCCTTGGTGGATGAGTAAAAATGGGTGGACCTATTGCACAGATGTGTGGGAGAGAGGAACTCATTGGTTTCCAGGTTTGAGGCTGTATCTGATAACATTGCTAAAACTATGCTATAAGGGAAGAATTCACCACCTATACTTAGGGTGGTTTGAGTGTCAAGAAGCCCTCTAGGAGGCTTTTGTGCGATCTAGTGAATCTTACTAGTTCAGGATCATTTTTTATATAATAACTATTCATCCAGTGCAACTCCCAGGGAGACAGTTAAAAATTATGTTCCATTTGAAACAGTAATAATCAGGTAAAAGTCACACAGAAGGCCACAGAGAGTGTTTGTCTCAGGACAGACACTGGGAATTAGGAGACTCTCAGGGAATCTCAGCATCTATGGTATTGTTTCACTAAAGCCATTTCGCTCCTGTGCAAGCTGTGCCACTTGTTGCTGTAACCAAAGTTCAAAGTGACAGCCCATGCTGAGTTGGTTTTCAGCAGACAGCAACAGGAGCTAGTAGGAAGAGATTTAGTGAGTCCATCCTTGTAAGCGAAGCTACTGCTTGTCATTACTTCCTACTGTATCTGCAAAACAGTAACAGCAGTTTCCTTTTCCCACAAACTGAATCCAGCCTTTTGCTAAAATGCATAAGCTGAGGTATGATAAAGCTTAGCAACCTGTCTTTCATGAGAGAAAAGATACACATATATAAGGATTTAGAAATAAACAACAATAAAAAGACTTTTTTTTTTTTTTTTTTGTCTAAGGAATCACTTTTGTAATAGTTTATGTAAAGCCAGATGCTAGAGGCTGTTTTAAAATTACAGCTGGAATTCTTTCCAGGCTTAGATCCTGCAAATTAAGTGTCAGGGCAATTAAATATCAACTTTACAGGCCAAAAAGCCTACCTCTGCCTAGAAGTTGTATTTAAACCAACTAAATTCTCTGACAGTATAGTAGATTAATTGATACCAAATTTTATTATTAAATTACAGCTAATTTCTGAGATTCCCTTGTCTGCTATGGACTTGTTTTGGCATGCACTCATTCAATGGCACTGCTCTGCTCTTAGAACCCTTTGATTGCTGTACCTTTGCTCCTGGAAGCCCTTCTCCTGGTGAACCTCGTTCTCCTTGAACACCTTGTGGTCCTTGAGGCCCCTGTTAACGTAAGTTTAAAATGGTCCAGAATTATTCAAATCAAAACCAGCATGTTCAGTGTCATTACAGGTTATAAGCATGTCTTTGGATGTTGATGTGTAGCTATAACCTGTTAAAAATAATACAGTAATATGATATTCACAGTGAATCAGTGACAAGCATTCTGGCCTGCAGCAATAACAAGGCAGCCAGTATTACTTTTCTGGTTGCTTACAAATCACAGATCATGTAGCTGAAATTGATTTTCCTTACACTTCTAACATTTTCACTCCCTAAACTTTAGTTTGATTCACAGATAGTTACTAATCATTATTAATATTTAACTGTAATTATGAGAAAGAGGGAAAACCAGAGTAAAGACCATGCACAATGGTACTGAAGAAAATCTAGCTATACAAAGTTATGATGGCAATTGATGAAGAGAATAATAGCACATTTCTTCTTTTTGAAAGCAGATCTGATAGGAGCATGAGGGGCAAGTAAAACAACAAAAAACTTTCATTAAATGCAGGTCCAAAATGTCTCCATTTTGAGCCTGTTTCACAATGTTTTCCTGCTCCTTTTTCTTTTTTTTTTTTTTTTTTTTTTCTCTATTTTTTGAGATTGCACATACATCAGAGAATGGCAGTGGATTAAGCTCTGCTTAACCTAAGTGTGATTTAAAGTGGTTCTGTATGTGGCTTTAGAACTAAGTCTATTTCCTAGGTAAAGCTAACTGCACTGCATTCAGCCATAAAAAGGAAAGTTTTTTGTGGCAAATAAATTTAAACAAAACAAAACAAAACACACACAAACTTTTAAAAAATCAATTTCTCATGTCATATCAATACAGATAACATGACTAACAAAGATGTACATCCCCTGTTCATCCACAAAGCAGCTCTTTCTCTAAGCTGTTATTGAAAAGACCAAGGAAGCACCACTGCACAAGTCTGACTGACTGTCACCACTGGTCTTATTAGTACTACTCTGTTGTTGTGAGCTCTTTAACAAGAATTTGCTTCTAAGTGTATTTTCAAGCAGGCTTGAGTTCGGTTAGTTCAGTGATGAAACCATCTTTCTGTTTGTTTTGGAAGCACCTCTTTTGAAATAATTGTTACAAATCTTTCCCTTGTCAATGGGCAAAAGCTACTTCTGAAAAAAAATGGACAGCATTCCCTCTTGTGGTTGTACCAGAGCTCTTTCATCCAGGTGACAAGAATCATAGAGTCAAGGTTGGAAAAGAACTTCAAGATACCTTGTTCAACCATCACCCTACTACCAATGTCACCCACTAAACCATGTCCCTAAGCAATTGAGTCTGCTGTATTGTAACTAGCTCAGCAAAAGGTGCTGTCTGACACTTTGAAAAAAGGGACTATAAAACTGGCATACTGATTTTCTGAATTATCACATAGAGATTGACTTTTTTTTTTTTTTTTTTTTTTTTTATCGGAAGGAGGAAGGGAAAAGCCTTCAGGTCCAAAACTGCTATAAATTCTGGAAGTCAAAAATTTTTTAATTTCTTCCTCTTTTATCTTTAGTAAATGCAATAATGGTCAGATTATGTTATCTGGTACCATTTGTACAACATGAATGTCTTGATGTAGGCTGTTTCACGACAGTTTCTAACGTGTCAGTGGTTGAAATGAATCTCTCTCCCAAAGCTTATACTGATGTTCTAATGGTACTGAAAAGCATTCAACTTCAAAGTCATCATATTTAGATTTGAATCTATTGGGAACAGATTTATGTAAATATTTATTTGGCTTTGCACAAGATGTCAATTTTTCATAGCTAGTATGAGACTAAGATAGTTAGAAAAGTTAAGGAATTGGACACATTTTCAGTTTATTAAGGGAACTGAAAGTCAGACAATGTAGTATGTATGATGGTGAGAACTAGTGGACGAAAAAAAGAGCATCATTTAACATACACATATCTCTTTTAATAGGGTATATTATACATACACATATCTCTTTTAATAGGGAAGCACTATCTTCTAGTAGGGTGAAGTCCCACTTCCCCCTCACCAATTAAAAAACAGACATACCAGAAGTCCTGGCTCACCAACTCCAGGTGGGCCAACAGGGCCTGGTCTTCCTGTCAAACCAATGTCACCCTTCAAACAAAGATGTATTTTTAAATTACTTTATTTAGATATTTATATGTGTAGCATATAACAACTCATCAGACACTCTGACTGAAATATTTAATGTAGGAGAATACAGGAATGGCAGAGTGTATATACCTGACTGTCACCTCAAAACCTCAAACTAATGCAACATGCAGGAAGCAACAGACATTGAACTGGTGCATTTTCACAGCCATTAGGGGACAGCCTCATTTCTGCATTTAGGAGAACATAATGTTGAATCTAAAGGATTAATTATTCTCATCATATTCGTCGTACATTATGTAAGTTACAGTACTTTTCCAAGAAGTCCATATTTCTATCTTAGTGTTTCTTTTTTCCTTATGCTCACCCTAACCAAGAAGCCTGTTTTTCACAGAATAATTTTTGTTTAAGGCTACATATGCATTTTTATTCAGCTATACGCTCCTTAGTTTGGCTTATATAAACCATAAAAACTATTGTAAAAAAATACTTTAAAGTACATACTTCAAATGTACTTTTTTTTTTTTTTTTTTTTTTTTTTTTTTTTTTCCTCCAAACAGTTTTGATCAACATACAAAATACATCTCCAGTACCACAAAAAAATAACCATCTGGGGGCTTGAAGTCTCATATACCTTGAAGTGTATTATCTCAGCTGTCTCAGTCTTTATTCTTGTCCTACAATACACATAATACAGAAGATTACAAGTACTTGTACCTTTGGGCCTGGCAGTCCTATTCCAGTCTCTCCAGGTAAGCCTGGTGGCCCCGGGAGACCTCTTTCACCCTTTTAAAAGAATGGAAAAAGAAACAATTCTGCACATAAATTGGTGTCTGATGAAATCAGTTTAACTCAGTTTGTTGTATAAGAACAGATTTTGAAGTTTATTTTTTGTATATCCTGAATTTCAGACCACTGGAATTGTCTTACACATTACTTCATCTCTCTTTCAGTGTTTAAAAATTCCCTTTATCAAGAGCATAGATTTTCCTGTACAAAGTGATACCAGGCAAAAATGGAAGAATGCTTTGCTTCATGTGAGATACGAGTTTTTCCCACCCAACTGCTGTATGACTCACTGTTGGCCAGTAGGCACTCTAAATATGGTGCAAAAGGAAATACCAAAAGAGATATCAAAAGAGATAATGTCCTTTCTAAAGTAGAGAGAAAGCAAAGTAGCATGTAAAACTGGTATATTTTGCATTACTGTGATATTTGTATATCACATTACCTTAATGTGATATTTGATTTCAAAATAAGTAATAGCATTCATTTTTGAGTTTTTCCTGAAACACTCCTTTTTAGTAGCTGGAGAACCCCTTAGCCTTGGATGAAGTACTCAGTTTAAGGCTTGTCTGAGAAGCAAAGTGTAACTGTTCTCTCTCTTAATGAAGTTAAAACAGTCCCTGTAATTGTGTGCAACATTCAGGGATATTTGTATCATACTAGTTTAACAGAAGACAAAGATACCAGATTATTACAGGACCACAGAATGAAGTCATTGCTATTGGTATACCCAGAATTTACAAAGGGGAAAGTAAGAAGTACCCCCAGCAAATCTTAAGGATTTAATAGATGTAAATCCTATGTTTGTGAAACAAATGAAACAAAACAAAACAAAACAAAACAAAACAAAACATATTTACAGAGGGGACTGGATCTTGCATTGAAACATTGTGTGACTTCTGGGGCCCACCTTCAGAGGGCCTGCTGCAAGACTGTGTCCTGAGTTGCACTCATCCTGGTGACTTTCAGATATGTTTTGCTTAGCATCAGTAAACAACGGAATTACTAATTTTCAACTATAGAATTCTTGAGAATGTACAGTTCCAAGAGAGGGCTTTATATTTGAGATCCCTAACAAAATTCCTGCTTGGCACTTATGGAAATACAGTTTTACACTGAAAACTGAACGAATGTAATACTACACTGCTGCTAAATAATATTCTGTGATGCAGCCATATTTTAACTGTTTATGAGAGAGGAACAGTTTGATTTGGACCTGAATCCAACATAAAGAGCAAATTAATACCTTTCTTAGGAACTTCTTAGAATACGAAGAGTATATGATTTACTAGCAATATCATATTCAGATGCATCCCCTACAAAAAGGATATGGGCTATAAAACTAAAAGCATTATTGTTGTGAGGATGTGTTAAGATGCCTCTTAATATTAAGAAAGAGAAGAAATAATGCAATTCTTGCCTTTGATCCTTGCAGGCCTTCAGGCCCTTGATCTCCAGCTTGTCCTTGTGGACCCTATTAAAACAGGTGTAGTTAATGAGATTTTTCAAGGTTTCAGAACAATGGCAGTTTGGAAAACAATCTCTCCTTTGCTATAGCCTATATGAAAATACAAGTTACAAACATTTCAGAACTGAAGCTATGCTTTCTGGTGCACGTGTAGGTTCAGTTACTCTGGTCCTTGGGAGAGATAATTTGGCTCTACCTCTACTTCAATATAATAAAAGGCAATCTATTGTGAAGATTTACTGAAACATGTATTGTGGGCTAAGCTTCTTGGCTTTCAGCCAGAATATTGGGATGAAAAGAGAATAAAGTGTTCCCATGTACTTCTGTGAGAAAATGGAATAGTTAGACACTGAATGGGAAATAAGTTATTTTATTTTTTTATGGAACTGCATTTGCTGTGATATTTGAGACTAAATAAATTATGAGGGTGATTTAGTTGTCTAGAGCGCTCCTCCAAATTGTTAACGTTGCTGTTTAAGAAGATAGATTTTGGATGCCTTGAGTTCAGTGGCTCAAGAATTCTATGAAAGTTGTGGCCTGGTATAATTTCAGAGCTTTGAATACCAGGAACTATTTTTTCTGTTCTTATCATTTCTTCTTTATTTATTTATTTACCTGGAGCCCTCTTGTTCCTCTGGGGCCAACTGGACCTTCAGGACCCTAAAAGGCAAGCAAAAAAAAAAAGACAATTTTCTGTATATTTAAATTTGGTCAAAATCATTTGTGTAACTTTTTAGTAAGGTATCTGATTTAGATAATTTAATACTAAAAAAAAGAAAAAAAGTCAAGAAGAGCTCACCACCAGCTCCCTTTAAGTGGACTGTGGTAATCAGAATGCAGAGTAAGAATGAACAGAGTTAATTATCAAGGATTCATAGTCCAGGATTAAATTCTGTTTGTTTCATTTAAAATATTCACAGTGATTATACACCAAATATTAAAGGTTGGTGTTGGAGTTAAAAAGCCTTTGTTTCATTTTCATCTCTTATTCCCTCTGACTACTACTTCAAGACTTCTGTCTCTGTTAAAGTCAAGTAGAGTTTTACCATTGTTACAAGCAGGTTTAGGCTTGGGCCTTAAGAAGTACCATATTAAAATACAGATGGAGCTGAGCAAATTACTGAAGGTGCTATCCTTGCTCGCTTTCATTTTTTTCAAACTGTACATTGTTATCTCCCTCAGCTTTAAAATTGATATTTGCCTTAAATCTATCATCATAGTTGTTATTCAGGGAGATGTATTTTTTTCTCCTGTATTTTACTTGTGTTTCCTGAAAGCCTGACAATTTTGTGGCTACTTACTCTGTCTCCTTTTATCCCTGGGATTCCACATTCACCTCTTTCACCCTTAAAAGGAAAATGAATAAATATTTATTCCTTTATAGAATACATAGTATAAAGAGCACATCGTCCTTATTCATTGGGTGCTTTCATTAAAACTCATGACCTAAATGTGATTATTTTCCTGACATATTATAGCAATCATGCTGTGAGTTCATTGGTGAAGAAAAATATTCTATTAGAGCTTGTGCAGCACTTGGTAAAGAGATGTCAATGTTCACTAGTATTCACTAGAAATATAGCAATATACATAATAAATACTAATCATATTTTGATACAAGCAATTTTGACTAAAAGCGGTACCTTCTCTCCTTTATACCCAGATTTCCCCTAGGAAAAAGAAAAAAGCAAAGCAGTTTGTAAGGATATATAACCCAAATGAACAGCATTTCAGGATCTAATGAGCAGTCATGGGATCTCTGATAAACATTGCAATATGTGTAAATACTACTTCTACTGGTCATGATAGATGTTTTTATATGTGTGTACAAATCTTAGGAAGTGCCATTTGTCTGGGATTTTGATTATGTAATAGCAGATCAACTAGCATTAATATTTCCATCATAGTGAGAAGCATTCTAAAATAAGAAAGCAAGAAAAAAGTCACTAAATAATAAGAATGTATTGAATAAATATGAACAAAGCAGAGCAATTAGTAAGTGAATGAATTCAGTCAGGCACTAACAATGTGGTCCTGTACTTGCTCCTATATATATTTCTTTCAACTTTTTCATTACTATTACACTTTAGAACCTGTATTTGCCAAATACAAAACTGATACAGACCCATGAAGATCCAGGCAGTGTCAACTTCTGTAATGTTCTTAAATTATTGTATTAAAGCATTCATCTCATTTTAGGATGTATTATGTATTATTAGAGAGTATTTCTAGATCATTCTTACAGGTGGGAGTTATTCCCTCTTTTTAAGCAATCATAGTGTTTTCAGCTCTTTTAGTGTTAATGAATTATGAATTATTAGCTGGTAAACCAGAACTGAAACAAAAATGTTTTGCCTTTTTTTTTTTTTTAATCTTGAAGTAGATCAACATCAACACAGCTCATTGGAGAAAAAGGGGAAAAGAAATTATTTTTTACCTCTATTCCATCTTGACCTGGGATTCCATTAAGACCCGGCTCTCCCTGTGGGTAATCCAACATCAAGATCAGTGAAATTAGGAAAAAATAATATTTTCTGGATGAGCTGAATATTGGCTTAGTATTTCTATATTAACAGAGTTACCAAATCTTTTGCCCAAATCTGAAAACTCACATCACCTTTGCTCCTTTCAAGCCTGGAGCTCCGTCATCCCCAGTGCGACCCTTTTTACCCTGAAAGAAACAAAATAAAACTCTTATATGTTAGTCACATAATTTTATTTCACAATATATAGACTATATATTTATGTTGCTTCTTATAGATTTATTTTTAAAGCATCTCTGTATTTACGATAGCCTTGAAATTAGATTTCTGGGAACAGCATGGACTCAATGGACAACAGTTTTTCTCAAAACAAAAATTGGGTTCAGTTACTTTCCTAAAAACTACCAACAATGAAATAAATCTTGTTTTGTACAGTGTATCAATTATTCAACAAAAAGAAAATGAGAAATGACAGCTACTTACAGCAGGGCCAGGAAGGCCTTTTTCTCCCTTTTCACAGTTACATATGGCAACCTGCGGACACTTTGAATGAAAATAGTAAATCCAAATCAGTACAGTTTAATAAAGAGAGAGAAAGCACTTGAACATTACTTATAAATTCCTGAGTAACTACTTTGAATGAACCAGAAATGATCAGAAACCTGTTATATTTACATGTTTTACAGAAAGTTTTTAGCCTTCTGTTTACCACCCATGAAGAATGTGGCCTCTGTACTCCAGCCAAAATTCCATATTATTCCTACTCCTGAAATTTCAGTCATCTTGATAATGGCTTTACCTTCAACCTCCTCACAAGGTCAGTTTATTCGTATGATTAGTGTCTGTGATTATTGATCTGTTTAGATTAATAGTCTGTGTAGAGATAGCCAAGACAATGGAATAAGAAAACATCTATCACCCTTTTTACCTTTATTCCACTGCATGTAGGACAAATCATAGTCTATCTCCAGATTGATTTATAAACAAAAGATGTAATGGATGGATACTTTTTTTTAGTTAATGTTGTTCATTGTAATAGTTTTATTTTATTTTTTTCTTTTTCTTTAATCTATATGGTCATGTGCTCCAATCAGATATCATTGTGGTACATAGTTACATGATTTTTATTTGTGATTTTTTTTTGAACTGTTATATAATACAGAATTTGTACAGCTTCTGGGGTTGTTTTTTGCAGAGGAGTAGAGAACGTTATTTTTATTTTTGGTTGTATTATTTCTTAAACATCCACTCAGTTTGGAGACATCTGTTAGTGAAGGGCTTAAACACCATTCTTGTCTCAACATCCCAGTGCTTAGTAATGTGTCTTCCAAGGGTAACACTGAATGGCATGCTACTTCAGGATTTATTTTAAAGGAGAAAAATCAACACAACAGTGAGAATTAAAATGCTTCAAGTTGGCAAACGCTTATAATATATAAAAGTTTCCTTGCGCTGCTCGTCAGAATGGTCTTTCCCTGATATGACTGTAACTTAAGTAGGACTAAAATCTTTAAAAGAAGTTAATTTTATTATACCACAAAGTGGCAGCCAGACCTACTGGTGCCTACAGACAGGGTGACACAGTGTGGAAAAACTGAAAAAGTACAGTGTGAAACTTTATTCCAATTTCTTCCTTTTGTTTAACTCTTTATCTTAGGAAGGTCATTAAGGGCTAGAACTGCACCACATTCAACTCAATGTCATGTGTACTTATCCACTGAGTCTGTTGAATGACTTTCTAAGATATATCAGCAAATTCTTGTTAACTTAATACTCACATGTTGTTCTTTCTCAGCTTTGAGAATAAAGAGAAAAAGTAAATGAATTTAGGATAACAAATTAAAGCTCTGTTGTGCAAATACAAAAGCATGTAGTTTTACTTGAGGACAATTCCATTGGAGTCCATATGTTACTAACCCACCATGCTAACAGCTTTATTAAATTTTATGTTTCCATGTAATAGTAAATGTCTATGGGAATATATTAAGCAGGAGTGCTGTATGGGAAAAAATACTTACCTCTTCCTCAGACAGATCTTTCTATGAGGACAGATATTGGAAACAACATTAGAAACAATGTCATAATCCAGCTCTACAGGAAGAACGATAGATGTAAAAAATAATTCTTTCAGCAGTTAATTAAATTAAGCAAATAACATATTAGATAACATTAAATTTTAATTAATGAGAAAAATGTTAACAATCTCTATTTTAAAAAATAATTTCAATAATTTAATTTCCTATTATAGATTGTTGACTGCACAAATCACTAACTCCTTGTCCAGCCATAGCTTGCTACAATTACAGTGGTAAACAGACCTGAAACAACAGTTAGCTAGGTATATGGGAACAGCACACTCGGGGACTGTGCTGTTTCCAAAGTGCTGAATAGCAGTAGCCCCCTAGAATGAGTGAATGGTACATATTCTACACTTGAGAAAACATCAGATGCTCTTCTGATTGTGCCTAACAGTGTGTGTACAAAATGTGAACAGTAGTAGCTTAGAAAAGATGTGACTTAGAGCATGTTTCTCTTTGACAGTCATCATCAATTAACTGTTGTTCTTTTATAAAATCTGTACAGCTGAAACACCCACACGTAATGTGTTCCTCCAGCCTTTCACAACAGATTTAGTCCCTCGAGAGGACATAATCATGGTGAGGAATAGCAATGCAATACAAATCTCCAAAATCCACATCTATGCACATACAATTATGCCAAAACAATTATTTAAAACAGACATCATTAAAACAGATTTGATAAAGCGTGCTTAGTCACTTGAGGGGTGGTTGCTGTGTTACAGAAAACCAACGGTAATAGCAGAGAAGATAGGAAAGGTGATATGCAGGGAATCCAGTGCAGAATGGCAGGCTATCAAAGTGAAGGACAGACAGGAAGGCCAGATCTTATGCAAGCTCTAGGCCTGTATGAGACCCCTCAGCTGTTGGGTTCGCTGCTGAAGTCTCCTGGTTGTTATTCATATTTTCTCTATGTATGGTCAAATCAGGACTTTATCCCCAGCTTGTGTCACCAGATTTATAGTAGTCTAGGCTAGAGCATGGCACTGTTCTCCACACTTGGCAAGGAATGTTTTTTGTAAATCAAGCTTACACACAGAATAGAGGCACCCAAGCAAAACAATTTACACATTTCCTCTTGAATATGGGGTAGATTTTCCATGGAAATTCATGTCTGTGATCAAGTTCAGGTTTGATCTGAATTGACATAAGGTCTACAAATTTATTTTCACTTCTGCAAGAGCTGCATCTTTTTTGATACAACATCACATTCCTGCTTGTCACAGAAGAAAGCATTAGGATGTCAAAATTCATTGTTTTAAGAAAGGAGCTTTAGAATACCTTTCTTAAGAGGAGAAAAAAATGATAAAAATAACTTCACAACAGGTCTCCATGAGTCTAATTCAGTTCCAGGTTCAGTATTTTGGATGACAACCTGAACAAAGAGGAGAGAAAGGAAAACTACACTTTGACACAATGGTTTTGTTAATGAGTGTCTATTAGTGGGCTACTTCAGTATGTAAAAATAAGTTATAATGCTTTAATAGCATAAGAATTTCAATATATTGGGAGTAAGAGTTTTTTTCACATGTTCCACTAGCCATTTGTAAATATTTCTCTGTACATACCATTTCTTTGAGAACTTTCTCCACAGTTCCTTTGTCCTGAAGGTTGAAGACGAACCTGGATGCTGGAATACTGGCCAGGAGCCGGAGCTTGGCAGCATTGCTAACCTCCTCAGCCACTCTGGTCATTCCCATTGTGAACAATACAATTCCTTGGTGTTTAGCGTCAGCTGTAGCTGCAAAAATATCTGGGTTTCTTGGATGGTCGACTCCATCGGTGAAGAGCACGGCTAGTTTCACACTACCTGGAGTCCCTTCAGTCATGTAGAGTTGTGTGAGGTTAGTAATAGCGTAAGTTGTGTAGGTACCATGACCTATGTAGGTGATGGGAGCAATGTGAGATTTGAACGCTTCAGGACCTTTCCAGTTACGGAAAGTTTGTTCTATGAGAACAGTGCTGCTGTACTGGAGTAAGGCCATCCTCCAGCTAAGGGTCCGTCCAGAACTAAGCTGCAGACCTTTCATTCTGTCTACTGTTTCCAGGACAAATTTTTTCTGCTGTTCGTGATTATAATCCTTAGCACTCTCGGAGCTGTCCAGTAAAAAAGCAATTTCCAGAATGCAGTCTTCATCTAGAATAAATAGGTAGGAAGGTGAATGGAGTGTTTTCATACTAACTCTCCTTCTACCCTTACCTTTCTGTGTATTTTAGGCTTCAAAAGTAGGAGTTCAGCTGTGGAAATTTAAGAAAACATCTGTGATTCCAGGAGTGAGACCCTTGTGAAGGTAGAGCATATAGAGGCTGAGGAATTTACTCCAGAGCAGATGCCCAAGGGAATAAGAATCTAAAGGTGAGGTAATGTCGTGGAATGTGGAATGTTGCAGTGGTGTTTATACATTCATTCTGTCCTCGTGCTGGGTAGCAGGATTGGGACTGGAAAGGTGGGAGTGATCTTACTCACAAAAACAAGTCTTATTGAATGAGACACTGGAATGTGATTTACAGAGGTAGGTTTCTGTCCCTGACACTCACATACAGTGACATAAAAAATTCCAAGAGCAGGATCTGCACCAGTGTACACTGGAGAATAATAATTTTCTGAACTACTGATGTATTACTCTGATAGAAATGCAGTTACAAAAGAAACAGTTAAAATAACATGCTACCAGCCATATTAAAAAACAAAACAAAGCAAAACCAAGTAATCTCCTCTTATAAAATACACAAAAGGGGAGGGAGAGGAAAAGAGCAAAAACATCGAAGTGCAAAAATCAAGTGAAAACCTACAATGAGGTGAGTCTGGCTAATTATAAGTAGTATCCTAGAGGGCGAGTTAGCCACATAGTCCTGAGTAAATGAATCAAGGAAAAGAACAATACCTATTTTAAAATGATAATACTCACCTTGATCACTTGGGCTGGGATATCTTTCTACAGTATTTGACAGAACATGTTTAGGTATGGGTCTTCTCAGTCCATAACTTTTTTCTTCCCTGAGATTTTCCGCTAAAAATTGATGTTGTTCAAGTACCCACAAAAGCCACCAGAGTCCGAAGAACATAATTTGTTTGGTTTCTGTTTCCTAAACAACATAAATAATAATACAGTAGTAGTTCAGCAGTACACAGACAATAAAAAGTTCAGTTTTGCTTTGACAAGTTGCTTAATAGGCTCTTTTTTCAAATATTCCCTAAGAATGAGCTGGGTTTTATTTTCTTTAGGTAAGAGCTTCTCCAAAATATGTCATAAATAATAAGCAGAGACATGTTGAAGTGATTTTCAGGCATAGTGCATACAGTTAGAGCACTTGAGAGACACACATTTCACATACATGCTTCAGTTCTTTTCTCTCACGCTGCCTAGTAGCATTTATAAAATTAGCATTTCTCAAAAACCATAGCATTGGCTGTGCCCCTGTGGATGCAGAGTGAATCCCAAGTGAACTTCACAGGGGTGTTTTTTGAACTTGCTGTGCCCAGGGTTGGCACAGAAAGGAGAAGGAAGAACAGAAGCAGAAGTTTTTCCATTCTCTCTACTCAAGAACCCTGTACCACTGAGGGTCTCAGCTGTCCTACAGAGGAACAGTCATGGCCTGAGGTTGCTGTCCAGACATGAATGTATTACTGTGCAACCCCGGGGCCACAGCGTGCTGAGCCCAGGATTAAGAGCTACCTATAAACAGGACTTCTTTCTTCTGCAGGGACTGAGCTGTTTGTCCTGGGCTCACCAGCATACCCAGAGTTCACAGACTGCTCAGGGCTGCTAAGTCAGTGCTGCCTCACTGACATCTCCCTGCAAGCTCTTCCAGGTCAGTGCAGCACATAGCAAAAGGGCAGCTCAGTGTCAAGAATAAACCTGCCAGGACCTGAGCACCTAAGAAAAGTCCCTAGCACAGCTGGGTCTGCAGGGCTTTTCATTTCCTTCTGGTTAGGGCAGGATTTGTGGTGCCCATGGACACAGAGAACACAGGGGTCCTTACCTTGATGCTCCTAACCAAGAGGCTCTGCAGAGATGCAGGATGCTGCCCTCAGCTTGCTGGCAGCAGCGCTGTCCTGCCTGTGCTGGGTGCTCTGTGAAGAAAGGAGGGAGAAGTAGGGTTGGAAGCTCCTGTGAGAACTGGTGTCATTTGTAAGGAGGGGCCAGTAAAGGCAAGGAGAAAGGGGAGTCACAGGAATTCTCACTCCCCCTTCTAGGCACCCACCCACACCTCTCCAGGCTATGCATATATATCCCTGGTTTACACCCCCTTCTCCTTCTTCCTCCCCCCTGCCATTTCCTCATACAGATTTTCATGCATACCTGCACATGTATGGACGAGGACTGTTTGCACCCCAACACGCTTCCCTACCCACTAGCCTACTGACATTCACTCTTTTCTCCCACCACCACCACACACCTTTCCCTCCCATACTTCTGTGCATCTGTCATGCTTTGGCAAAGCAGCTTTTGATACCAGGTGTTGTGTTTTCAGCATCATCACAGTGGTCCATGCCACTTTCAGACCTATGTGAATCTCCTTATAAAGAGGGATTCCTGTCACTGCTGTAATAGAAAGATTTGTAATGTCCCATGGGCTGGGCCAAGTGAAATGTCAGTGAGATTACCCAGCATGACAAAGCCAAAAGACAGATCAGTTAGAAAGCTGTACAATTTCTCCAGGCTTGTCTGCCACACCTGTCCTTCCAAAAACTCTATTAATAGAGACCAAGGACTGTGACACACAGAATGGTCCTCTGTAAAACTAAGCTAGGTGGCTGTGGATCCTGAAGACTTCTACCAGTGATTGCAGCTTGTCACCTAATTCTTCAAATATCATCAGAAAGCTTTTGTTACAAATAAATGTACTGAACAAGTAGTTCTTCTCTACAGAAATATTTTTTTTGTGTGTCTTGTGGATGCATAATTTTCCACCTTCATGCACACAAAGAGGATCCAGCACTAACCAGAGTCTTCCTTTCCTTTTTAAGAGTTCACCAGCTCAGCCGACATTCTGACAGTCACAAGCAGAGGCTAAGGGGATTTCCCTTGCTTTTACTCACACATTTCGATTTTGGTTTAAGTAAGAAATTAAAACAACAATTTTATGCCCTTTAGGGAATACAAATAATATGGTGTTTAACTGAAATAGATATAATAAATGTCACATAGCCCTTAAATCTTACTGAGAAAAAAAAAATCTAATTCTATCAAGAAAAAGCATGTTAACTATGGTTGGGATTGTGTGCCTCCCACAAGCAAAACATTGTCATTCTTTCATTTTCACTGCTAATTCCTACCTTAAAACATAGCAGGCAAATAATTTCTTAATTAAATAACTATTCTGCTTGTATGTTTTGTAGCAAGTTCTTGGCTTCAGGATATTTCCTTTTATTTATGAATGATGTTCACCCTGAGGACAATTTTTTTCTCTTTCTTTTTTTTCTTTTTATTTTTGGCCAGGTGCAACTTTAAAAGCTTATTGGGGCCTCCACATTTTATAGCTAGTTGTATAGGATACATGGCATTATTCTGTCCAGAATTCTAGGTATGTAATTTACTATATAGTAAACTTCTTGACTTGTCTTTTGAAGTTATATATTCTCAATACCTGCACTATTCTTGTGGTGATGTTCTATCAAAACTTAAATAATGCCAATATAAACTATGTGTGCATTGATGCACATGAGATAACTGTTAGAACCAAAAATGAACAGTAAGCTTTTTTGCCTCATATACTACAAATTCTAACAGGTTTAACATTTACCAATTTGACATTTTCATGGCATGACACCAAAAATATTTTCAAAATAAAATAATTGTCTTAAAAGCTATGATTAGGAACATTCATGCTGTCATTTCAATGTTATAAATTTATTGCTAGAATTTTATGAGCATACAGTTCAGTATTTTTGGAAAGATGAAAGTTACATATTTTATCTTGAAGAACTTAGACATTGGATGCTTCAGCATGCAATTAATTATATTTCTATTCACCTACATGATTTGACCTCTCTCTTTTTTTTTTTTTTTTTTTTTTTTTTTGAGATGGCACTATAGGTTTGCATACTTAGTTGACTGAATTGGGCCAAGCTACCTCAGCTCACAAAAACTTCCAGCAAAATGACAGTAGCTGGCACTAGGATTGTTAATCTTTTCAGGACTCAAAATAAATGAATATAAAGGCTACTTTACAGTTGCATCAACTGAAGCTGAAGTCACAGATATTGTTGCTGCATATTCAGATCTTTGGATTTTTTCCATAACTGTTTGAATCCAAGACTAGTCACCTCTTTGATCTTAGTATTTCAATCTGGGAAATGAAGCATAACCATTTTTTCAAAGAATAAAGAAATATAGAAGAGCTATTTAAAAACAGCTAAATAGGCTATATTAAATCAAAAGAAATTCCTTATAATTTTAGAGCCACGATAAAAGACATAATGAGGAAAGATACACTCTTTCTGCAAGTGAGTATATTTAAACACTATCAATAAGGGAAACCAAAGTGATATTGTGCCTACTTTTGTCTGCCATTACCATTGTGGTGACAGCTTCAGGGCTCCATGAGATTGCGCGGTCATTTTGAAGGGACACTGAATGAAGAGCTGGGGCTAAGAGATGCCAGTTGATGTGTATAGCGTGGCCTCTTGCACCAGCAACAGTCCTCACTGTCACTTCCAATGGACAGAAGTAGCAGCAAGCTTGACTCTTCCAGACTTCTTACCTGGCTCTATCTCCTCCATCTGTTCCTCCTCCCTGTAAGCAGGTATGGCTCTTACAGCCTTGTCTAGCTCTACTGTGACCAATTAATCCACTGGTCAGCAAAATCCAGAACATTTTTGAGAAAGCCTGTGTCATTTCTGTTAAGCTAGACTAACTAATGTCTTCTACCATGCTGTCACATCACTAAAATGTGACATTGCCCTGACTCATCCTTCTTCAGCTGTCAACAGGTCTGTAACAGCACTGGAGACAGAAGTAATCATGAGCCAACATAGTTAGCAAATACCATCTGAGTATTTCCGTACACTAAGAGAATATTCAACCAACAGGAAGGCTACTTTTTGAGAGCAACACTAAGCAGACAGAATGTTCCCTTTTTTCCTCTGCTCTGATAGTAGTTTTTTGTCAAGAGCTTGACACGATGCTTCTGAAATGTATTTCCACCTTTTTGCCACTTCAGTGTCAATAATACACACATCTTGTCTGCTGTGAACTGTTAAAAATATGCACATTTCACACAGTCTTCTTCTAGTGTTTCATGGCCTCAAGACAGTCTTGACCATTTAACCTCTGTATCATGCTGTAGTGGAATTCCAAGAGTATTTATTTAGTTGTATTTGACATGTAAGTACATGACCACTATGTTGAGGAAAAAAAAAAAAGAAAAACAACACAGAAACGTACCTGACTTGAACTAGTAAAATAACAAAAGCATACCATTTACAAAACATTTTATTGTAAATATTTTTGTAAAAAATATACAAAATATTTACAATATTTTGAATTCTGTTATTAAATATCAAGGTTATAAAAAATGTAGTTCACAGTCCTGTAAGTTGTATCACAAGCATGAATTTTAAGAAAAATAGTTCAAAAGTTCAAATACTCAGAGTAATTGAAAAAGAAAATTAGAAAAAAAAATCAAAACCAACTTCGCTGAAGGTTGTATCTGAAGAAAGATAAAATGGATACCACTGTTTTTCCTTCTAATTGCAAAATGTGTTTTAGTGAATTTGACAGCTCAACATTCGGGTTGAGTACATTATGTCATGACAAATTGAGTTGAAGTTGCCAACTGTTGTGGCTGCAGTTTAAGAAAAATAATTTGGACGTATATTTGTGACAAAAGCTGTTTTTTCTCTATGAAAAATTATGTCTTCATGGCAGAGCCGTATAAAAACCTATTATGAAATCCTGGCATATGTGAAGGTAGTGGCAGAACTATTGATTCCAGTGAATCCAGGATTTATCTTTGCTTTTTGGTACAAATATTGAGCATCAAGCATGAAAGAGCTGAGCAAGTAGGCTGTATCGTGTTTTCATCTGAACTCATCACAGAAAATGCTGTAAGCAATGTTTTTTGATATCAAGGAGTTACTCTCTGTGTAGCTCACAACAAATCCTACCGACTCTTCGGGACTAGTCTAGTAAACACAGTCTTTTGTTTTACATGGTATGAATTTCTCTCCCCATTTCTTCTTTCTTTTAATATATCTCTTCCGCAATTTTTCAGGAGGTGCAACCAGGAAGTGTACAATTGTAATGAGGCATAAAAGGAGGGAGGGTCTTCAGTACTTTCCCATTTGATCTTTGTATATTATTGTCAAAAGCTTACTATGAGCATAACCTGTGTGTAATATTAATGTTAGCATTGTTTTGCAAATTTTCTAAGAGATATTTTCCACCTTACAGCCTAAGTAAATACACATGTATGTAAGCAAGTTATTTTCAAAATTTGTGGCATTCAGCCTAATAAAGCAATGAAAGAATATACATAAAACAGTATCAATAGATTTTTAACATACTGAATATTTGACTATTCATTTAATAATATTGAACATCTAACCAGATCAAGAATACTCTTAAAATGGAAACTAAATGAAATCTTAAAAGATTTGATTTTCTGTGTCGGTACCAATGAAAAAGTACTTAAACAAGTAATTATGCTGGATTTGCTGTTGCATTTGTTACTTGTAAAATACACTTTGCACAAATATTTTCTTCCACCTGCCTTATATTCAACAGCATGATACCTGTAGCTAGCAATACTAAACTCTTTTACACTATCCCTTTTTTAATGCAGTAATTACATTATTTTGGGGGGGCATGGAACACTATATTTTCATAGAGTTGCAGTAAAAAGCAACTGTTTTAATCACACTTACCACATTTAGAGAACACATAGTATGGCAATTGGAAAAATAATTACTCCACTGGAATGCTTAGCAAGTTAAAGCATGTTGCTGTACATAGAGTATGTTGCAAATGAAAGTGATAAAGAGTTGGCAGAAAAAGGCAAGTTCCGTACACTTCCAAAGCTGGAATCCTTTTAGCATTGGGAATAGGTTTCATCTTTCAGATAGGTGATTATCTATAGTGTTACAAGAAGACAAATATTTATCTTACTGCCCTTATTGCCAATATAACCCTAAACTTGCATAAATGCCAGAATTTGCATCTTTGGACCTACGGCTTTTATTTAAAAGTATTTACAAACATATGTATCAGACCCTCTGCACCCCTTGCAGCAGTCTTGTGGGCCCAGCAGCCCTCTCAGCCACCGGTGTGCTTTGTGGTCCCACTCTCCACCAGCCCTACCTGCTTGCACATCCCCTTGTTACCCTTCATAAGGTATTGGCCCATTTCTGCTGTCTGTTGGGGTCCCCAACTGGCAGTAGAAGCCCCAGACTATGTGTTAACCTGTATCAGTATGCTGAGAAGTATCATTTGCAGTCACACCCATGGATTGCAAGAGGCTAGGACCTACCCTGCTACTTCCATGCTAGTAGCTAAATCCAACTGGTAACAAGTTTTAAAATCAAAGCCTGATTGCCTGCTGCTGACCAAGCAGAGTCTAAGCATACCTGGAACTGCTGCAGCACCTGTGCATACCCATGGTTCATCTAGTGAGGGCTCCTCTCAGCTGTGAGGTTCTCTCAGGCTCAGGAGGCAGAAGGCCCTGTAACCTGAGGGGAAGGTGTTCTTAGGAGGAGAGAGAAACCATGTGGGGGACAAAATGGCTTTTAGTAGTTGGGATTTGGTTATTACTGCAGAGTTAACTTGCTAAGTTGTGTAAGTAACTGACAGGGCTATAAGATCCTCAGCAGGAGTGAAGGAATACAATCAGCAATGTGAAACTGAGGGAGGCTGGCAGACAAGTAAGTAAATGTTTTAAAATATTAACAAAAGAGCTGTAACACTGTGTATGCAAGTGTAGCAATGATTTTTGAAGTGAAGAAAGTTTTTTTTTTTTTTTTTTTTAGATAATACTAGACCTACTGGAAAATGCTAATAGATCTCTTTAAACAGCTACTAGCTTACATGTATTTATGCTGTAATCTTTGGAATCTAGCCTAGCAAAAACCTGAGTAGACCTCTGTTTCTGGATCTGAGGACTATTATACCAATATATTAATGATGATGGGGTTTGTGTTAAAGATATTCTTATTTTTAGTAAGATTTTTTTTTTTTTAATTTAAATTTGTTAGGTTTGCAGTTATCAATGCTGAAGCTCTTGAATTCGAATAAATGTATTGAGCAAGTTGTAAATTTGTTAGTACCATACACTTAAGAAAATATTGGTAAGGCTCTTCCTTGTGGTAAAACAATATATCCTCTTTGTCTAACAATACATAAAAACATTAAAACATTGGTTTAAGTGAAATTTAATAATGGGGTATTGTGATTTTACCAGTACTTGAGCCAAACCTTAAATAATGTATGCAAACACAACTGCAAGAAAAAGAAGTCTTATATTCATCTTCTGTTTCATGATTAGAAATACAAGATACTAAGATGTGTGAAGGTTAGTATGGCTTCAGATACTCTACTTGCCACGTGAACCATAAATAGTTAAGGTCAACCATAGTTTGAACAGTATTTACAAAACTCATTGCCTTGCCTCATAGTGAAACTTTGCTGCTTTATCTTTGAAGTGTAGAGGTGGGGGGGCGGGAAAAAAAACTTGTCATTTTTTCTAAGTACTTTCTTAGACATTCTTTGTGCAAATATGTAGAGCATCACTCTGAGAGGAATTTTGACCCAATTCAGGCTGTGGGAGGTCTTGTTGAATACTGAAAGAGGAGAGTAGGATGTTTCTGTTTTCCAAAGCTGTTTAGGGATTAGTAGGAGAGCAGTTACAAGGTACCTTGAAAATATCAATCACTTGTATTCTTACGGAAGATGGGAATGTTTGGTTACTGAGTAAAATGGTCTGGAGGTTCAAAATTATCTCCTTTATGTTTGCATGTAATCACTAAATGAATGTGGAATAGTGGTAAGAAGCTTTCAGCTGTGCGCATTAATCCAAGAACAGGAAGGACAAAAGAAACACCTTTGAGAACACTTCTGCTTTAATGAGCTCATAGTTATGTGGCCTTGCACCTTTCCAGGTGTATGTGCTTCTGGCTAATAGCCCCTCTCCTGTAGGTTATCAGTCACGGATGGCTACAGACATGTGCTCAGTGCAGGAAAAAACAGCTTCTATGTATAAAGGATCTGTTAGACCTCTGCTGGTAGTAGTAGCAAGCTTCTTACTCAGTTTATGTAAAGCAAAAGTAATGTTTTGCCCCAGATACAGGTGGTATGGACACTGAACTGTAGATTCCTGTCTGCTGTGATTGCTAGTATTTTATAGATCTGTGCATTAGGTGCTTCTTTGCTCCTTTTAAGGAACAATAGAAAAAAATTCTGTCAAGAATTACTGGTACTCTGAAAGACTTGCTTTGAAGTGGTCTGTGTTTCAGTAGATGATTTGATAGACTTGGCTGCAGCTATTATGCAAACAGATAGGTGTTACTGCAATATTATCCTGTGCTACTGGTGAACTAGGAATCTTTTCAGTAATAGCTCACCAGATCTTGCATTATAAATCACGGGCCCTAATACTATAAGCTCAGAATAATATCATGTGGCTTGTGCTATAAAGATATTTCTCTTGGTAACCTGCTGTTTGTGCCCTTTCTACGTTCCCCTGTTACTAAAGCTAAAATAGATCAAGTAGCTGACATTTTATAATCTGCCCCATGTGCAGCACTGATACATCATCTCATTTTTTTATATATGGTTTTGAGAGAGGATTTAATTTGTATTATCTCCTCCAAATAAGATTACAAATTTTTTCAAGACATTGTTGCTATTCTTGAAATGGATACACTGTGAAAGTGTAACTGTAGTTGAGACTCAAAATTGACAGGCTTTGGTCTCAGATTTTTCAGAGTCTTTAAGTTTTTACTGGTTATGATGGTAAACACAGTGCCTTAGAAAGAAATGATTCTCAGTATTTCAGCTGATGAAACAATAGAAACAATCCAGCAGTCATGTTGTGCTGGATAAAGCATGTCTTTGGATTGAGGCTACTGTCTTGCATTTCAGTTAAGAACCTCATTCTGTTTGTCTGGAACATTCTACCTTAGTGCTAGAATGCATTTGCTACTCTATTAATAGTGAAATGAGAACTACTTCTCACAATAGCCTAGTGATATTTGCATCACTCTGCCATATTTAATTGACCATATTGAAAGGCTATGCTGTTAAGGATTTACCAAAGATAGGGTGTATGCTAAGGAAGGCACTTATTACTGGTATTTCAAAAACCCAGCCATATCATCATTGGATGAGCAGAAACTTTAATTTTATGTAGTTATATCTATCAAGACACCATGCTTGAACAAAATCATAATAGCTGGTGTCTTTGAGGGAAAATAAATTGTCTTTTTATATTAGAAGTATCTCAGAAATTGCTGTATCTTACTGATCTTCAAATTGAATGATATTCCTACAGTCAAAACAGACTTGTCTATTACAGTATTGATGATTGTGAAATAGATGAAGCAAGTGATGTAGAAAGTAAACTCATTTTTTCCCTGTATGGTGATTGTGCTACCTGTGTTCTGTATTGTTTCCACAAAAAAAGTACTTGCCTTGGTGTTGGATCAAAATTCAATAACTAGAACCTGTCAGTTAATGCTGCATCAATTGAAATCAGTCACTAATACATGAATCTAATACCATGTTTACAATTTTTTTTATAATCCTTATAAAAAGGATTACTTGGAAATGATAGAAAATAAATGTCTATTTCTGAAGTAGTTAACCTACTGCAGTACTTTAACATCAAAACATCTCTCTTTCTGTTACAAGTATTATTATATATTTACCATACTAAGTAGAGAGGTGTGACTAGATTCTCTAGATTTTTTTTTTTTTAAGCCTATATGGTGTTTTGCAATACTACACATATGCACTTAATGTTTGACTTCTTAGATGTTTTTAAGAAAACAAGTTTTCAGCTGATTTACTTTATACTTTGTAGATAAAACAATTGAAGATTTTCAAGTGGTTTACAGAAGAAAAGGTTGAAGGTCTGGAATGGAATCTCAGTATGGAATCTCTCGTTTTAAAAATCAGGTAGCTATGCGAGAAGAAAATCAGTTAAAAGATATGGCCACAGGGTGTCAGTCTTGACTCGAGCATGAAAGAATGAAAGGTTGTGGGCCGTGCTGATTGAAGATGCTTGATTTGAGATGGCTGACTGAGGAATAGCAAGACTTACATACTTGTTTCGAAAACTCTAGGAAATCGATCTGTCATATACAAGTAAAAGTGCTGTGACTATAGCCACTCTAGTTCCAGAAAGCAATCAAAACATATAATGAGGTGGCTTTATTGCTTTGTTGTCAGATTGAATGCTGTGTTTGGGCGTTGCGCTTTACCTGTTTATCAGAAAGAATCAGAAATAGTTCTTCTTTCCTCCTCCCTGGCTTGAGGAATGCTGTCATAAATCAGGGCTGAGCAAGTGCTGGTCTGAAATAAGAGTGGGCTTACACTTATTTTGTAATGGAGAGTGGGCTACTGGAAGTGTCCTTGCAGTACAGAGTAAGATCTTCTGTTATGAACAGCATTTCCTGCTAGAATGAATGAGATACAGACTTTTTGAGTTAGCCTGGCCTGATTAGTATATTTACTGTGCTATGCTTACACTTTTTCTTTATATAAGAATTTGGTCTTTTTTATGGTTAATGTCATGTGATGACATTATGATGGACTTTATCATTATGATAATGATGGTCTTTCAACCTTCTCCTATACAAACTACTTGAAAAGATTCTATTGTTCTGTTGCACAGAAAAAACTGAAGTGTTTTTTGTTTGTTTATTTGAGGATAGCATTTCTACACTCTCTTCCCAAACATTTTTAATTGAGCTTTGGATATTGTGTATGCAATAAATATCTAAATCTATATTACATTTAGTTATATTGTACTTATATATCCACCTGACAAACAAGGAGATAAAATTACTTCAGGGGACCACAAAAATTAGTACATGAGCTTTGTGCCCATCTCTGTTTGTGAATGGGGTTAGACTACTACTATTCAGCTGAAACTAAAATGCTGATTCAAAATACTCCATAATGTTTTCATGGCTAAAATAGATTCTGTTCTGAATCATCTCAAAGTATGAAGACTTTCAGGAAAAGTATAGTGAAATTCAAGGGAAAACAAACAGATGTAATACTAGTTAAGAAAAATTGTTCATTTTAGAAAGTTTCTGAAATTAAATTACAAGGTCATATTTTCTGGTTTTCTGGAGATCCAAACATAGTCTAGCAGTTTGCTCCTTCCCCCACTTATTTAATTGTCTGCATTAATTGCTTATATTTTCAAGAAGTTTTCTCATCCTGATCAAACTGCTTTTTAAGGGTGATGTGGTAATACTGACAAAGGTGATATAAGTGGGAAGGAATGTTTCTAAAAATTGAGAAAATTCCAAGTGCTGGATTCTTATATTCTTGATGCTGTACATTGAACTGAGATAACTTGAGGTATATGCTAGCTGAATATTAGAATGTCCAAGTACTTCCTGTGGGCAGAATCCTGAAGCATCTTCATTGCATCTTTTATGTTCTATCTAAAGCAGTTAATTCTGTAGGCATGTCAGTTACAGATACATGTATTAGAAATAAATGATTATGTTGTAGAGCATACTTGACTGCTTCACGTTTTTGCTAGAGGGCTGTGGGACAGAACTGCCCCAAATGTCTCAAAACACACCTCCATAAATTATGTAATGACAACTGCCACATGCCTGTGAAGGTGGTTCTGTGATGAGGTGATCTTTCTTTCTGTTCCAGAGGGGACTGGGAGAAGTTTCATGATACCTAAGGTTATTCTTTTCAGCATGCTCATGAAGCGTGACCTAGACAAAGCACCAGGCACTTAAGCTTGTAGTGCCTGGTGCTTGTGGTGTAGCATAAAGAAGTGAAACTTGGACTTTGTTACCCCAAGAACCTCTTACATATTGGTTTTGAAATTGGCTTGCTCTTTTTGGAAGCTCCTTAACATGGAGTCAGATATGACAAAGAAAAATATGTAGCTGGTGTATATCTTGGGCAGAGAACATTGGTGTGAAAGCTTTAGCTAGGAGAACAGGCTGCAGATGGAGTTAAAGCTGTAGTTAAAACTGCTGACCATGTGGCTGTTACTGTGGGTGAAGTGCCAGCTAAATCACTCTTTCATTCAACCATAATTGTAAGCGTCTGAGAAGCAACCAGTGACTTGGTTCAGTGGCTCTTGCCATAGGTCCCCTGTATTCCTTTTGTTATGCTGCTGGTCTGTTTTATTGGCCTGGAGTAGAACTTCTTACCACATATACGTATTTGAAGTTCTAGTGGGAGGATTTAAATAAAAGGGAAGTTGCCTGAGTAGCTGCTCCTGGTTCTGATCATTATATATTATGAAGCATGCTATTGCATAGTTAGGACAGTTACTCTGCCAAATGAAAGCAGGAAGAATTTGCAAAGTTCATAAGGATTTTGATAAAAGATTCTTTTAAGTATTGAGCATTTCTTTCCTATAGCCTTTGCCATGTCAGGTATTTGGTCCATCTCAGCCCCATTGGTAATGGTTGCTATCAAAAAGAAGATAAAGCCATGATGGAAGAAGTCCTTTGTCCAAGATTGAGATGTTAAGTGTACTGAATGCATTACTGTTTTATTTGCTTAGTCATTCATGCCATAGGCCTTCCTGAGGAGACTCTTGCAGTCCACGTCTGTTTCCCGTGTCTGTTAAATGTCACCTCAGAGATCAGGAAAAATTTCTCCTCCTCCCCTTAAACCCTTTTAGCCGGGGCAGCTGAAGTAAAGATTACTTCAAAGGCCAGGCATGGTTTTTCTGTTCTTACTGAGCATTGCACTGGCAGTAGCCCTAATTTTCCTCTTACAGTTAAATGTTACAGCCATGCCTGGTACACGTCATATTTGTACATATCAGGAATATCTCTTGTAAAGATGCTGGAATTGCAGTAGCTTAAAATTGGTGTAGTAGGAAATGGAATAATTCCCCATGCACATTAAGAACTCTGAGGCAGAAAAGACATGTGACTCAATATCCCTTATCTTCAGCTAATTCCTTTCAGGAGTGCTTAGATAAGATTAAAAGAACCAGGCTTCCTTCCAAACATCTCCGCTTTTTCACCTGAAGAAATTTGCTGAGAAAGGAGCAGAGTCAGCTGCCAGCATGTCGCAATGCATGTTGAATTCAAAGAAAATAGGGCTCATTTCTGCAAATGTGCATGTGAAGCTGCTTTTTTTGAGGTTGCAGTTAAGTTGATAGAAAAGGTTCCGTTGACTCCTCTTTGTCATTAATTTTCAGTGGAAAATTATTTAAAACAAATAGCAACTCCAAACAACAATCTGAAAGGATTCTGCCAGGCAGTTTAAATAAACCAAGTTCGACAAACAATTTGAGCTGCAAAGTTAGGTAGTGTAAAAATGTAAATACTAATGTTGCCCGAAAACTTTAACTCTTCAAGTGTATTTTTTTTTTTTTTTTTAATCTTAGAGAAACAGGTGCCAGTAACAAAGATCTCTGCTTTGTTTGTCTGGTAGATGAGGAAATGCAGACACAAAGACAAAAATGACATTAAAAAGGAAGATTTGATAATATTGTAAGGTAAAGCCACCAAACCAAATATTTAGTGTAATCAAATTGTTTATCATGGTTTGCATTTATTTTTTTGAGCTCTCCATTCTGAAACGATGCAGTGAGTTACATACGTGCTGCAAGAGTGACAGTGTGTGATGAAGTCCCCAAAATACTGAACTGCTTTGCACAGAGGACTGAATAAAGCCTACTGTAAACTTACCTTGTGCTTCAACAGGCAGACATTGCAAGTAAGGTATCAAAAAATGCAACGAAGGGAGTATTCCTGTAAGTGTTGAGACCAAGGCCAAAGATTCCATTTATGAATCTGATATGAGAGTTTCTATGTTACAATGTTTTTAAACTGAACACAGTTGGGAGTATCCACAGTGGATGAGAGGCTGGAAGATGAAGCTTTTTCTTCCCTTACTACTCTTCACAAATCACCTGAAATAACACCGTATTAGTTCTGTGCTCTTTTCAGTGTGATTTACTGGTATAATTAAACTTATACAGTGAGTCAACATTGTGCTTAACTACTTCTGTTCTTCACAAACACAGAATGGATCAAATCCAATTAAGGTATCTTCAATAAAATTACATAAGATATATCTGTATTCCTGGGTTGTCTGTAGCCATGATGTGATGGTAAGGGCTGCATATGAGTGTGTCTTGCCCTACAGCTGGGTGGGGGGGTGCTGTAGAAGAGAGGCAGCAAGGAAAGGGGTGGGGGGGCAGGGAGTGGAGTGGAAGGACTCTGACTCCATTGTCCTGTGGGCCCTGTATGTTTTTCTAATACCGTGTGTTTCTGAGGCTACTTTTCTACTAGAGACTTGAAATCAGAATGAAATACCAGCATACTGACTTGGATTTTCCTGTCCTATTAATATTTATGTGCTTTTTTTAGACACTGTTAATATTTCTTTAAAATGTAGTATTGGCTTTTAAAATTTTGAAAGCAATAGATGGAATTTAAGTAGCTACCAATTGCTGTGATAGCAGACTGGGTTTATCACAACTCTGTGTAAGTAGGATGTAAACATCAGTTAATATATTACTGTGTTTTCCGGAGCAGGAGATAGCATTTAAATGTTGTGTCTAGAATCTGTGCAAGTCCATACATAAAAATCCAAGTACATATTAATGTCTAGACTTCTTAACTGCACTGGACACCAGTATTTCCAATATTTTTATTATTCAGGTTTTAGTGATAAAATTACTGTGGGAGTAATTTTACATGCTTATTTGATAGTGGCACCCAAAAGACTAATGAGGATTAAGAGTTAATTGGATGGAACAGTGTAAAAATATGATTAGGCACCAAGATAATAAGTTTTAATGTAAAGCATTGCTTGAAATATCCTTATGTCCTCTGTACTTAGAAGAAGTGCAATGTGAACAGGGATAGTAGCAGATTCTTTAACCTGAATTTGCAAATGACTCATGGAAAACTACCTTTTGTTACAGGGGGAAGAAAAACATTCATCTCCATTCCTGAAATGTCTGAGAACACAAAATTCAATTGTATCCCTTTGGAAAATGGTCTGATGAGACAAGTTTTTAAATCTAAAAATAACACTTCTATTTGGTATTCTAGTACGTGGGAAAGCCCTTAATCTTATATTTTTAACCATTAGCAGAATTCCAGAGAGAATGGTACTTTGAATAGCTTTCTTCTAATTTGACCCAATTATTATACTGTTTAAAACCTAAAGGTCAAACTTGAATGGAAAGCTGCCTCCAGATCCCTAGTCTTTCACTGTCTTAAACTCAGGATGCGTGTGAGATGATGACAGGTGGCTTTAAAGTACCTTTTGCCCTTTCCTAATCCTGGTTTATGGGGATTTAAACATCACAGATATAGTAAGTAGTCAGCAAACTGCTCTATCTCATACATAGTTGCCCAGGGATCACTGGGAAGTATGAAAATAAAAGAGACTGTAGTGTTTTACCTTCGTCTCCTTCTGGTATGCACTCTAGTTGTTGTTGGGAGCAGGATCTGCTCTGGTGACCTTAACCCATATTCAGTTTCTATGAGGTTTTGTTGTGGTAAGTTAGTTCAAACCAGCAGCTTCGCAGCTTCATCGTTGTTAGTCTGATTTTTTTTTTTTTTTAATCCTGTACTGCAACTTGATTGATATGTGAGCTTACATAAAAAGTGTGTTGTACTATAATAAGAGTAATAAGAACTACTGCACTTATTGACTATACTCTTTTTGTTTGCAGTACTGTTTTCTGTCTTTTCTAACCTCATCTTTAAAGAAGCAAATTAATGTCTGAAAGGAGACATTAGGAAAACAAGAAGGTATAGGGAAGGAAGGAAAAGGAAATGACAGTTTAAAAGAATGTGATCCATACTGGGATAATGGAGGGAATAGCAATAGAAATAAGAAGAGCAGGATGTCCATTAAGAAAACAGTAAATGGCTCTTGGTACTGTAGGTCTACAAGTAAGATTTGGCTCTAATGTTCTCATTCATCAAAAAGACCTTGGTGCAAAAATAGTAGAATGCTGGCAATAACACATTATATAATTTCTTCTGAAATCTCTGCTGATTGTAGTAAATATTTCAGTATTTGAAATTATTGTAATCTGATGATAATTGGCCAAGTTGGGTGATAGTAAAACTTTGGAGCAGTTTCATGTATCTCAAATATGAGGTCTAAGTTTTATTGAAGCTCGCTTACCTGAATTAATTTAACAGATGAAAAAGCTTCTCTAATGCTCTTGTATTATTAGATTCATGAGACTGGTCAAAACCTGTGCAAGATGGAATCAGCAGTGATTATTGGCAATAAGGTGCATAAAGGAGCAGTTATGACAAACTCATATTACACGGATGGCATGGGAAGCCTATGTTGATTGAGCATGTAAATATTTGTCTCAAATCTTTACTAGGTCTCTTTGCTGTGTATAAAGAGAGAGATCTCTATTTTGTGGGAAAAAGTAAACATGACTCAGCAGAGTTTCTCTTCCTTGGTCTTTACTTTACCTTTTCTTATCATCTTCTGTTTCCCTTAGGATGATGATAGCTTTTAAAATGAGAACTTTACCATTCATATACATGTCTTTGCTCTTCAGATTGAATCCTTTTATTATGCTCAATAGGTAGGAAGTCTTGAAGACCTCTCAGAAACAAAGGCTAATAAAAATTTAGGAGACTGAAAGTTTGACTGGAAAAACTAACTATTGACTACAATGTCTTGCTTCCATAAAGGACAGCTAGATAACAAGTTTCTAAATCTATACATACTCTTTCGTCATCTTTTCTTTAAAGATACCTTATTTTCTTCCTGCAGTTGATCCAGTCATCTGATGTTTCATTTGAATAATGGCTTCAGGGATTCAGTATCAGGGTCACTGACTGCTGATGAATCTTAGCTGAGACTACTGAACTTTGAAGCTTTCCCTTGTTAGTATAATGGAGCCACAGTTTAACCTTATGTCCCCAATTTATTTATTTATTTTTCAATCCAGAAGAAAGAAAAAATAACTGTGACCTGTGGAAATAATCTGAACGTTTTGGGAATTGAAGACATAAATGGTGGTACCTACTTGATCACCCATCAGCTTTTCACAGGTAGGTGGCAATAGTAATATATCAGGACTAATGAAACCCCTCTGCTTTTTTTTTTTTTTCATCGTTCAATAATTAACTGGTTATCCAGCTTCATAATTCAAAGGTCTAAGGTTTGAGGCTTGTCCTCTTAATTATTTCTGGAGTTTTGACTACAACACTACAATATGAATAAAACATGACTTTCAGGTCAGTATGAGGGTTCAAGCATATAGCCTTCAAATTAATGAAACAATGCTTCTGGTGTACCTAATCAGCCACAAAGGATTATGGGGACCTAGGGCATTTTCATTAGTATCTCTTAAAGTGCCTTGACACAAAGTAATACAGCTCCAGTTTTTCTGGAAAAGTTAAACATAAAGCAGTCTTTCATATGGAGCAAAAAGTTTTTAATATCTAGGAGAATGTGGTATCTAACCTCCTATCTGTTTTTAATGGCTTGTGGCTCTGATATACAATAATGTTTAAGGACAATTGTTTATCTTCAAAAATAAATAAATAAAAAATAAATAATGAATCCACCTATCCCTACCTCTAAAGCCATTTAAGACACCATTATGACACAGGTATGTTGCATAGCTCTGTTGGTATACATTTTTTTTCAAACTATTTCCAACTTGTAAACTACTGTTCCAGTGGAAATGTAAGCACAGTGTAAAGAATGTGTTTCAATAATTCTATGAAAATTCAATTTCTTGACTGTGCCCTTCACCTTATGGTATAGTGCAGCTGCCCTAGAAACTCCAAGTGTTACAGATACAAAACTTCTTAAGCTAAGCACCAGAGAAGTGTTTTTAATTTAAGATCTTATCCTGAATAATGTGGATCCCCAGTCATCAAAACAGTAAAACAGCAGGAGGTATCCTTTACTGTCTCCTAATCAGGAAAAAATCTTAAATTCTGCAACTGTGGATTATACAATAATAAATTCAGTATGCCAGAACAAGCACCAAGAAGGAGGAATTCAGTTAGATATCTTGCAAAATACAAAACACACCATTAAGCTGTTTTTGATGGTCAACTTTCACCTCAATTCCCTCTTCTGTTAAGTGGTTATAAAAAATGACATTGCATGCTTGCTTGCTGGTAGTTTAAGTGGCTCTAGCTTCTCCAGACACAGAGTTTGCTAGTTCCTTGCGGATTATAAGGTAGTCTGATGAGATGTTGGCATGAACAGTGAAATTGGTTTGACTGTTGTGTCTCCTACTGCCATTTGCAGCTCACTCCTGCATCTGTGGAACTGTGCTGTAAGGCAGGCACAGCAGTTGCCTCTCTCTTGAGGACCTGAATAACTGAGGGGACAAAAGGGGGAGTGAATTGCAATGCTGAAGCTCAGAGGGAAGATGGATAAAGGGGGAAGGGTGGACTTCTCAAGCCAGTTACCTTGCTTGCCAAAGTCTGTGTTCACTGAACTGTCCTATATCTCATTCCTGTGAACAAGTTCCCCAAGGAGGAGAGGTTTTTATTTTTATTTTATTATTATTTTTTTTTAATTATTGTAATCCTTTTGACCTTATATATTAATGAGTTTGGTCTCTTCTTGTCAAAGTGGTTTTGCAGGTTGGCTGAATCAGGTAGTATTTTCAAAGCAAGTGATTTGAGTATTGTTCCTCTGCAATCAGCTAAGAATTGCTAAAAATGTATCTATTATCTTAAGCTATCGTTTTCTTCATATTTTTCCATTTAATAGAACAAAAAATATTTGTACATCAGTATACAACTCAGTGGATGTTATGCGCAGAGTGTTTCATGGTAGCTGTGTTTTGGTCATACACTAAATAACTTTGTTCTCAGATTTTCATAAGCCTATTGCTGTCTTTTTCAATGAACAAAAAACTTGTTCACAAAATTCATGGGGTAAAACCATATTTTCAGCTTTTCTATTAAACTGGCAGTGGTTAATCTCTGGCTCTCTGAAATAAACACCAAAACTGTGAGAATCTATCACCTGCACCCCCTGTACTGCTAAACAATGTTCTCTTTTACTTAGTGTTCTTTCTGTCATTCTGTCCTGAAATTCTAATTAATATACTACTAATCTGAAGGAGTATTAATTATCTTTTCTCAGATGCTTTTGATGGACTGCCCTTGTGATCTGTGGAGCATTTGATCCTGGCTGTTGGAGAAACAGCACATAACAATTCTTAGCATGTGATAATTCCACCTTAGAAGAAGTTCATCCTGAACACCCCTGAGATCTGCTATTAATAGGGATGTATGGCAAAGAAAATCAATAACATAAGATATTGACACACCGTTTCACAGTTGATATTGTTGCCTATTTGATAATTAAGTTTTTGATCCAACTCTGGGAAGTGAAAATAAAAAGTAATTTGTAGGACAGTCTAGCTTAAATGGTATATTAAGAAATAGTAATCTTACCTCTTACTAGGTTCACTCTGTCATCTCTTATAACATCACATCTGCATTTACTTGTAAAAATTGCTGAGGTGGATGGTATACTGTTTTCTCTTCCTGCCTTCCATACTATGTATTTTTTTTTTTTCTGAGAAGAATACTATTTTCCTTTTGGATTTTTGTAGTTCTCATCTATAAAGTGGTTGAGAGATTCATCTAGTTTTATATGTAGGAAACTAATGCACAGAAGAATTTCGGTTAAAATCCTTTGATTTTTTGGGTACCTAAATTAAGACATCCAGGACTCAGTTTTGGAAAACTTGGTACTACGGATTAAAAGTACAGCTCCCATGAACTTTGTTCACAGCAATGAGCATTTCAAAGTTTTCTTAAACAGGCCCAGGTGTCTCAAATCAGAAAATGAATGCTTCAGAAGTTTTAAGTGACTTATTATATAGAAGGGCTATTGCCTAGGTAGAGCTGGAGTATTGTTCTCTGCTGTGCTAAATGTCTTTCCTTCTTTTTTGTTGCATTGGCTGTATGTATTTACATTTCTGCAATAAATGAGTCAGAAGATCTCCTTTGGTACTTTGTCCTTATCGATTACCATACCTGCTGGAATGTCGAATGAGGTAGCATCCTAAGGAAAACACCATGTTCAGGCTTCAGAAATGATGATACTTTGGCTTTTATTTTGAGTCATGAAAATTTTCTATGCATTTTTCTCCTTTATGAAATACCGTGCTGAGACGTATAACCTTGTATTATCATACAGAACACTTAAATGTGAGAAAAGATAATATTTGCATTGTTTGTGTCTTATACACAACGACAGTGAAACGCGGGATATATATTCACTGAGTAATTTTAATAATTATAAAATAATTATTTTCTACCATATGAACACTCTAGGGAAATCATCAAGAAGACAAGGATTCCAGTCTTGATTTTTCTCAGCATAGCTCAATCTGCTCTTGTAAAGGGTCTTCAGAGTTAGTCCATCCTACCCTATTTCCCTTGAGAGCACCCCAACAGGTTTTTAGAATGCCCCTTTACTTCTAGTCCTTCTCAAGTACAATTTCCTGTGTTACTTTCTTGCAGGGTTCAGACTGGGTGCTGAGCAGTTGAGCTTGAACAAAAATGAAGAGTTCCTCAGAGATGAAGAGCCAAAAAAGTCTACTTGCAGTAAGGCAGGTACCAAGAATTTTGCTAATTAGGTGTACAGCCAGGGACAAAGCATACTTGCCTTTGTTTTGTAACTGTTTCCAGGATGGGGCACAGGGACTTGGAGGTTGAACCAGACAGTCCCAAATGAAGGGGGGAGAAGAGGATTGGGACTGTTTTAGTCCTTATCCATTTCCTTCCACCTTTCACATAAAGAAGCCTCATCTCCATACTGTTATTGTTAAAATCGATTACAGGCCCAATGCTGCAGGGATAAAAATGAGGGTGCTGGGAAGTTTTATTTTGTGATGGTCTTTGCTAGTCTCACTTGTTCAGCGGCAGTTACCAAAAAGACTCACAGTTCTCATGCGCTGCTTTTTGTTCCAGGGTGCAGTAATATAATTCCAGGTTGAAAGAGAAGTTGTAATATGTTACTTACCAGGACATTTTCGGAAACTTCTTGCCATGGCTCCACCTGCGTTGTGCAATCCTTACTTTATGGGTTCTGTTTTGGCTGATTCACATCTCCTGGGTTTAATGTTTCTTGTGTTCATGTGGGCTAGGGATCCACCTTTGATCCAACGTGTCTGTCTTCTGGAAATCTGTGCTCTACTGATCAGTACTCATTAGATGCTTGAGAACAACATCAAGGGAGGTCATCTTTTTGTTACTGTTAAATTGGTTTGTTGTTGTTTTTGTTTGCTTGCTTTTCTGGAAAATATCTGCCTGGAAAATAACTGCCATTATTTTAGGTATTGTGAAATGTGATATGGCTTATATCAGAAACTTGAGTTCAAGTGCTGTTTTGTGCTTTTCTGTTAAATTAACATGACACTTTAAATTGTAGAACAGTGGAGATGGATGAAATCTGAGCAATGAACTTGCTGCTGTTGGATTGTTACACAGGTAGAGACAGAGTCATTTTTAGTTTATATTTGTATGACTTGTCATGCCAGTGCTCTCAAAAAAAAAAAAAAAGAAGAGGCAGGAAGCCTCTCTTTAGTATGACTAAACAAAAATAATAAAGGAGCTTGCCATGCTAAAAGCTTAGGATTTGGTCATGAAATTGGAAATACATTTTATGACAAAATGTTTTCAATTTGGAAAAACCTGGGTTTATCCAAGGACAGATTGACCACAGGATTACCAAATGCCAATGGCAATTACAGCTTTACTGAACGATGCACTGGGCAGATCACCAACCTCTGTAAAATGTCCTAGCCCTGAGAAACTCAGAATAGACAAGAAATTTACAGGTATCAATCTGACCTGCTTCTTCGAGTGATTCTCTCTCTTTTAAAAAAATCTAGCCATCAGCTTTGTATCTTTATCTAGTCATACATCAACCCTGGTGTTTCTGTCTATTTGTTAAGAACTGGATGAGTTTGGGTACTTCAAATTAGAGCTGAACCCTGGTCAAAAATCAGGCCTTTTTAATTTTTAACTTCAGTGCTTAGCATGCATCTTTAATGTGTAAGCAGCATGGCTGTTTGTTGAAAATTACAACTTTAACAGCTTTTCTGATTGCTTGCTTACAGCAAAAACCAGGCAAGCAACTACTTCACAAACTATATTTTGAATTAAAATCAGAATTCAGTGGACAACTGTATTACCTATGTTTTTTTTTTCCCTCTACCCTTCTAACAGTTGTAATATGCATCATCTTAAAGATGAAATAATACACCAAAAATCCCTAGGTCTAGTTTAGTCAGAAAATGTTCAACTGACTGTCAACAGGAAGCTAGGAGGGAGACGTGTGCTACACTGGCAAAGACAGTCTCGGATGTAGTTAAGGGAAGGCCTTGAGTTGTTTGATATTGCAGCTAAAATCTTGCTGAAGTGCTGCTTGATGGTGTCCAGCAAATCAAGAGTCCCTTTAGCTAGGTGATGAGCTGCCATGGTAAAGTGAGAGGAGAAAATTTTTAGACGAAGTAAACAGAGAACAGCATTATCCTGTGCTGGCTCCTTAGTGACTCTCATTCTTCGGCAGTGAAGCATCTGGGCATCTCATTTAATTTCTCTTGAAACACAACGAATAATGAGTAAGAAGGGCTGGCCCACTGTCTCTGGACAGGGCTTTCCCTCACTGTCAACAGTGAGGGAATTATTTCTTATTTCTGTTTAGAACCCTTACTTACACTTTATTGCTTACACTTCTTTCTGTTTAGAATCCTTGTTGTCTGGGAAATGCTGATGTGTAGAAATTATAATGGTGAATGAGGCAGGAACATGACTTGCAAATGCCAGTTGTGTAGGAGTGAAGCAGGTGCTTCCCAAAGTTTGTTTCCCAGTCACCCCAAACATGCAATGACAGAAGTCTGCACGTAGCTCCCAAGCACTGTCTGCCCTGTCTGTGCATTGCTGGGGAGTGAACAGCTTTAAACCACTTGCCTTCTAATTAAGAATGGTCAATCTGTGTGTTGGCTTTTCAGGCACCCATCTGTACAGAGCGGATCTGCTTGCACCCCTCTGAGGATCTCTTCCTTCCCTCCCCGCTGGCGTTGTTGGGGGATTAAAGCAGCGGCGGCCCCATACACAAACGCAGCTGGTTCCGTTTGGTCAGCCTGAGCCTTGCTGTGAAACCACGACAAGAATTCCAGTAAGTTGGCAACACTGAAACACAAAGAAAACAACAATAGGAAAAGACCTTCCGTGCAGAAAGGAATGTTTCAAGCACTGTTCTCCTACAGTGAAAGGAGAGAGGGTGGGAGGGAGGAGAGAGATTTGAAGAGGGCAGGTCCCCCTCCTCCCCCAGCAGCTCTGGATCTTGTGATGGAGAGATCTTATCCTCTCTTTGTGATTCAGAGGTGCCAGGAAGCTAATTGAATATTCTGATCTGCCCCCAGTGTTTCTTGTGGCTTGACCCCGGTGCTGTGTCGTACCACTACACCAAACAGCCCTGAACCTGCATAAATCACAACTTTGCAAAAGCCTACGCTCCACATCTTCTCCCCCTTCCCTCCCCCCCAGCCCCCCTTTTTTAGCTTGATAGATAGAAAACCTTTACAGAAAGGTTTAGGGAGCTTAGTGCTCTACAGATCCTAGAGGAAAAATCGCAATCTGCTAATAAACAGCAACGTGTTCCTCTGCAACTTTTGCAAAAATAATGCAGGCACCTCCACCCCTTACTTGAAATTGCAGTTCAAAGCAAAAAAAAAAAAAAAAAAAAAGTTAATATTTTGAAGTATCACTTAAGTTCTGCTGCAGTGTCAGCAAACACTCATTGCAATGTAAGGAACGTAGCACGAAACAAACATAAATAATATATGGAATTTATGAAGGTGAGATCATTAAAATTAATCTGGCAAGTTTCTTGCAAAACAAGCAGACCAATCTCTCTCCTATGGTGTATATGCATGGTAGCATCTTTCTGTTCACATACGTGTGTGTGTGTGTGTGTGAACACATGCATAGTTATACCATGCTGTTCCTTTCTAAGTTTTCTCTAGTATTTCTGAGCAATATCCAAGTAATTTAGCTTCCTTTAGTTTGTGTGATGCTCTTGCTCCTGCAAGGAAAGCCTCCAAAATGTTTTTGCCCTCTTCCCAAGACTGCATTCCATCCTGAAGTATCAGGATATCTTTATCTTTCCCCCGTGATACCATGCCCTGTTCTACCCTTGTTAGTAGGTATATGATTCCTGAAATAGCAGCAATAAAACTCAGGCAGGCATTTCACATGTGCTGTACACTGTTAGAACCAGAGTAAGGTGTCTCTGATATCTTAAGCATTCACAGCCAAAGCACTTCACCAAACTGATTTTATCTCCCTAGAAGGTGCAGAAATAAGTTTCACTGCTACAGTTTCCCTTTTAAATTTTTTCTGTGAGGAATAAAAAAGCCCCACCTTCTAGGCTTTATCCCCTGCATTGGTAAGGAGGTATTTCTAAGTTGTCAAGTACGCTTTCCTTGGTTGGAGCATGCCTGTGGGATGCTAAAACCTGGGCTGTATTTCACTTGCAAACCTAAATTCCCCTCAACTAGCGCCTACAGTCGGTGTGGCACCACGGCCCCCGCTCCCCAGCCTGTGCAGAGCGGGACCGGCCGCATCCTGCCCCCGCTGTCGGCGGGGAAGGAGGGGCAGAGGCAGCCCGGGGCTGCGGGGCCTGGAGCGGTGCCTGATTCCCTCATGCTAGTTCCGGGGCCGCCGGGTATAAAGAGCTTTATGCAATGTCTGGAGGGTGGGAGTTTATAGAAAACGCGATGCCTCAACAGGCGAACGCGCCTTTCTTCTGCAACTAGCGGGACAAGCAAAGAGACGGGGCTCCTTGCGCGCTGCCCTGCAGCCCGGCACCCCCGCGTCGAGCGGCCAGCTTCTGAGGGAGCTGGAGCATCCCAGCCCGGATGGGACCGCACCGTCGGATGGACGGCAGAGCAGCAGCTGCCTGCAAGCTGCTCGTTTTATTCGCCGCGTGCATACTGCGGGGCAGCTGCCAAGGTAAGCGCTGCGCTCCCGCCGCCGCGGGCGGACAAGTCCCGAGTGGGGCTAATAGCGGGGCTCGCTCGGGCGCTGCCGCCGCCCCTCGGCAGCGGGAGCCGGCGCTCCCCAGGAGCCCTTCGACGGACTTGGTGTCTCTGGAGGAAAAGGCACTGGCGCCTTAAAAGAAAAACACCACAGACCACACCGGCTCTGTAATTTCGCTTCATCTCAGCTTTAAGTTATCCTTTTTTTTTTTTTTCTTTTTTTTTCCTGAGTCGTGCAAACTTTTATTTATTTATTTATTTATTTATTTTTTCCCGGCGCGTTGCACCAGGCAGCGCCCCGTGGCTGGGCACCTCGCGCTCACGGCGCCGTGCGGGGCCGCGGGCTCTGCCTGAGGTGAAAACCCGCGGGGCCGGCGGGCCGGGCCCCGAGCAGCAGCGCACGAACTTTGTCTGCGGGCTTTGCCGTCGCTAGGCGACGCGGCTGCATGTGACCCGCCGCCGCGGGCCCTCAGCCGGCCGCGGGGGGCGGGCTCCCCTCGGGGCTCCCCTCACAGCCCCACACAGCCCCGGCTCCCCGCCCGCGGCACCGGGCTGCGGGGAGCCGGAGGGGCCGAGCGCCTGGCGGGGCCCCGGGGGTGAAGCGGCGGCGCTGCTGGGTGAGGGGTGCGTCTGCGCCTTCAAGTTGTTAATCTGCTTTCCTCGCTCAACTCTTAGGTTAAGCTCCTTAGGCAGAATCAAGTAAGTAATTATACAGCAACTGCTGCTAGCGGCTCCCGCTTGGGAGCGGCAAAAGAGGAGATAGCTAATGGGCTGCAGGAGACCTGCAAAAGCCCTAGCCAAGGAGGTCACGCTGGGCAGGGAGTTAATCCGGCGCCCTGTTAGGTTACACTGGGCAGAATGGAAGCTGCAGAGCTCCTCTGGAAGTGCATTTCCTTGCTCTGCTCCCACTTTTCACTCTTCAGAGTGCCCAGTAAGTGACATAACTGAGGGAGAGGAAAGCTCCGACCCCTGCTCGTAGGCAGTGGACGCGCAGCACTTTTCACTTTGTTGGTTCCTCCGGCTCCGCTCCCTTCAGGGCAGTAGAATAAATAATTGTGCAAGCAAAACAGTATAGTTCTAGTAATGGCATAACTGGTACCCGTATAAAACACCTGGATGGCAATCTTGACCACACTGATTGTTACTGTGAAATACTTGATACGTTTAAGTTGAGATCCTTGAATCTTGAGGTTGTGTCAAGCCCTCATTAAAAAAAAAAAAAAAAAAAAAAAATCAAAAATCATGCAAACAAATCCAAAGAAATCAGTGAAAATTGTATTATCTTGACTAATCCTCAGTATTTTGAAAATATGCTTCCAGTAATATTTTTGACTTTGTCAGGTTGGTGATACCTAAATGTTCCCATATCGTGACAGCTACTACTAGAACGAGTTTCACTTGGCTACTTTCTCAGTTGATCCTGTCACAACTCTTCCTTCAT